ATCTGTTAGCAATACCAGCGGTCGAAGCATGGGAAAAAACCAAAACTTCAGCCCGCGACGAAGACTTCAGGCAACATATATCACAACTACTTCCACCCAACCTAGAAGAACTCTGGCTCGATACCAGTTCGCTTGTCGCGTGGCAACCGCTCGAGGGCCGTTGGGATCAATCTATAAGGATTTTCGAAGAGACGCTGGCTTGTATCGTGGCTTTGAAGGAGACTTCGTTCCCACGTCTCTGGTCTATAATTTTCAATCGTCCGTTATTGTTCCACCATCCTGTGGAATCACAAGACAAGTCTGACGAAGAAACGAAGTGGATTGAGGCTTGCGAGCATCTACCGTTTGATGAATACATGAATGCAGGTGTGGATCTTTACTATCAATGTCAGGACGACCGGTAAGTTGAGGACTCCCTCATGTTGCTCCCCTTCGCTGACTTGCGGCTTAGGTCTATTTGAGTCAAGTGTGAAGCTATGAAACACTCGCTCCTCTTAATGCCACATCATCGTTTCTACCACTCTCCAGTCCCGTCTCTCCTAACCCCTCCAAGATCCCCACAACCTCAATCTCCAATCCCCCTCCCTCTCCTGCCACCTCCCACCCCCCCATCTCCTTCACCCCTGGCGGTCCCCAGCCCAAAACACACCCCAACGCCACCGCTTCCACCTTCTGCCCGACCTCTTCCCAGGTACTCACATTCTTAATCTGCCCCTCTACCGCCAATATCCTCAGGTAGCAGCTCTCATGATTCGTGATATAGGGTAGCTGAGTATACGATTCTGGCGAGGGAAGGATCTCGGCGTCGAAGAGACGACGGCGCGATGCGTCTGGGAGGGATTGCAAGGTTTGCGAGAGGGCGAGGCAGTGGGCGCCACCTGGGCGGTAGAGGGAAGGCGAGTCCTGCTCTGTATAGCACTGTGGCTGGATTGCTATGACGAGGGTCATTGGAATGACGAGTACAACAGGGAACAAGAAGTGCATGGTAGGTGAAGACGTGTGCGCTGCATGATGGTTAATGAGGCGCAAAGACTTATATTGGGGGGAAGGAAATATGGCTGGAAATGAGAGACTGAGGCTCAGATGATGGTGCGCCATGGATGCAGAATTGATCGCTGGTTATTGATAGAATGGCTGGTTTGGAGTGAGATGTCTTGATTGTGCCGCCTATGCGCTTTGAAACAGTGGGAGGGCGCTTTTGACTTGGAGTCGGATATTGGGGACGGCGAGATCGACCCCCTTTGAAGCACAATATGCCAAATGCAATTCTCCTATGTGGATAGAATGGTCATATTCTCATCTAAGCTGTATCGAGAGGCCTCAATGTTGCGCTTCAAGCAGATTTTCAGGCAACTAATTGCATTAGACTTCTGGGTTGTGGTCAGAAACAAGAAGTTTTTGCTCAACATCGCGGTGTGGAAAGGGATGGCAATGATCCTCTCAAACAGACGCTACGCTATGTTATGGAGGTGAAATATGTGAAATTCGAAATAGAGGTTCCAGCAGGTCTTCATATAAAGTACGTAAGGTCATGCTCTATTAAGAAGTGAATGATCCTTAACACATATTATTGACACTTCATTACGTCACCGTAAACAATCTTCATTTGTGACCACATCACCTCCTTGCCTTGCATCCTGTGTTCTTCTCGATACTCCTGACTTCGACATCCGGTCCGGAGGCCTGTCAAAATGACCGGGCTCCAGTGTCTCTCAACTGAGCTACTCCTAGCAATAGTATCACATGTGCCGTCTTCTGACTTGGTATCCGTTGCATCTGTCTGTAGATGTCTCAATGTCGTAGCAGTCCCCAAACTCTACAAGGATGTTCAAGTTCTGGAGTCCTCTGGGCTCGGATTTGGAGCGGAGCAGTCAGTGACTATTCACAACCTGGAGACTTTTACTCGAACCATCTCTCGGAACTCGAACCTTCGGCGCTGGGTCAAGTACCTGGGTGTTAAATGGGATGAGAGAATGTGCGAATCAGTTCAACGGTGTTTACAAGCTTTGAGCTCGGAGAAGCTGAAGAGACTCTATTTAGTACCGCCTAGCCTAAATAACCAGTTCTGGGTAACGTCCGCAGTCACCTCGCTGAGCCTTGAATACCAGTACCTACCTTGGGGCACGCCAGACTACGTATACTATGAAACGAGATCAATTCAGCATCTTTATTTCTTGATGTCCATTCCCACACTGCTAATGCTTCGCATGAGCAAATCACACTGGGGCAATGCCTTAGTCCCACCGACCAAGGATGCGCGAGTGAGGAAGACTGAGGAAAAAGGGAGTTGCAATACTGAAGTGTTGCTGCTGGGCGAGTTGGACCTGCCCACTGAACAACTCCAACAGATCTTGGGCTGGCCGAAAGCTCTACAGCATTTCTCTATCGAGATAGGAAGTTCCGAGCTCGGAAAAGAGGATCTATCCGTTATAATCGAGCAGCAGCTTGAAAGCCTGAGAACTATAGACATCTCAGAGGTGAATTCATTAAGTCAGTCAGTCCGCACCATCATTTGGATTGAATTAACATCAACATAGACCCTCGAGGCTTTAGGTTGCTTGCTTTGGGGCGATTTCCTCGACTAACTAGAGTGATCATGACCGCCAAGGATCTAATTATTTCGATGATCAAGGATTTCAAGAGCTATTACATAGGACAAGAAATTGAGATCATCTCCGAGCAAGACATTTGCCGAATGATACCTCCAAATCTGCAAAAACTTGAATTGTGTACACGAGGGATCTCCACAAACCTACGTAGCAGAGCATGGGGTGCAAAGTGGCCCTTGGTTGTTCCCGACCTTCATCAGGTACTTGTCAGTATAGTGGCTTTGAAAAGCACACGATTTCGTTCATTGAGTGCTATTGTGTTTCGTGAACCATTCCTCCCAGACGGGGCCGGTGGTCAGTATCTGCCGCTTGACGTATATGAGAGGGCGAATATCAAGCTTCTCTTCAAATGAGGTTTTACGTGATTGAAGGAACAGCAAGATATCGCTGATCGTCGAAACCCAAAGCTACTCCTCCTGACCTAGGCGCAAAGAGTGTTTTCCGCGCAATTGACTGCCCACACATGACTTTCTTCAAAGGACAGGTGCATTTTCTCAAGGCTTCAAATATGACACGTCAGAATCTTTGCCTCGTCATCAGTACAGACGAATCAAAATGAATACCTGGTGAAGCACCCGAGAAAGGGGCACGAGCTTTCCCTATGAGAAATACACATCACCATCGGCAGGAGGCCAACAAGTCGCGTCGATAGCTTCTACTTTTGAATGAAAGAAGTAAGCAAAACATCCTTCTTTGACCACTGAGCCGCACATGAAGATATGAACTTATCCCCTTAGAACCATCGCATTCCTTTCTAATATTACTTCCAAACCGGAGACTCACGCATCATCTTCCCCAGCACAATCCATCATCTCATACTCTTGCGTCACCCTGCCTCCATCTGCTTCACCTAGCTCTAGGGTGGCTTGTCAAGCAAATATTTCCAACTGTTCTATGTCAAACGAAGCTGTTGGCATCAAGATGGACCTGACATCGAAGCCGGTATCATATCTAGGCAAGAGTCAGCCCAATTTCTTGCACGAGAAACAAATCTTATTGACGCACGAAGAAGAATGACGGACTGAATATGGCAGTGCAAGAAGTTTTGTTCAAGGCTCATGGAGTCAAGAAGCTGTAGGCTAGACGCGACCATGTCAATAAACTCGTAAACGACATACTTCAAGGTGTTGCAAGAACCTACTATATCCAGGAAGAACCAGTTGCAAACATAGCCTTATCATCAAGAAACACAAAAGCAATTACGAAACTACAGACTGTGGCAGTGAAGCAAGCTAGCGCCTGGAGGAGCGAACTGATCTGATCATTAAGTACTTCTCTATATCATCTAAGTCTAATTGCGAGCTATCCATCCTCCGCATATCCAAGTGCTAGCCCTGTCCAACAGGCGTCAGCATCAAAGCTGCGTCATTACAATAAGTCACCTGATCCGCCGTCGCATAGAAATACATATGATATCCGTACGCGCCGTTTCGATCTCCGCTACCAATATTGGCAATGCAGAAATTATACGTGAAACCTGTGGTTGTATTTCGCAAGAACACCTGCGTGTAGTTGCTACCATCATTCAGTGCGACCCCATACCATCCCTTCCCACCATTTGCTCGAGAACTATCCCAGAATAATTTGCCGTTCGAGCGACCGGCGCTTCCTGGATTGACGTAGTACCACCCGTTATTTGTGACGGAATATAGTTCTCCCAGGGTAGAGATTTCGAAGACTTCGCGCTTGTTGGGAATGTAGAAGTTGTCAGTCATGTGGTGAGAGTCGTCGGAAACAGCCCAATTGGCGCCACCACCGTTAGGATCGGGGACGATCTTAAGATAATTAGGTGGTGCATCCGGGGCGCCAGATGGAACAACAATAGTTGTCGTAGTGTAGATGGTAGTTGTGGTAGTAACGGTGCTGGTGGGATTGGTAACAATTCCAGAAGTGATAGTCAGCGTATTAGTGACCGTTCGGAACGCAGTCGGCGCAATTGTTGTCGTTACGCTGGTCGCATAAACTGTGGTACTGGCTACCGTTGTTTGGGTCTGAATGACGACAGACGTCTGAGTGACCGGAGTAGCTTCTTTACTGCAGGCTGAGCTGAGGATGCTTGCAGGGAACGTGGCCAAAGCTGACGGAGTGACTAAGGTAGAAGATGCTGCTGCTTGGCGAGCTTGAAGTTCTCGTTTTTTCTTCATTGCTGCTCTTGACGTCACCGCAATAATTGAATAGCTTGTTATAGTGCTTGTGGAGTAAGGCTGCGTTGTTGCTGACGGCTTCACTGTCGTCTGGACCTGGGTGTAGTAACTAGTGGGCGTTGTGCTGACAACGACTGTAACTGTGGTCGTCGTTGCTACTGATTGAGTGAGAGTACTTGTGCCTGTCGCGAGAGGTGTCGTATACCCTAGGAGTTGCGAGCAGAAGGGTTGTAAGCCTTGCGATTCTATGATAGAAGTAGCTGCTGCAACCAGGTTGATCGAAGAGGAACTTGAGGACGATGTTGTTGACGCTGCTGATGTAGTTGTTAGCAATGAAGAGCTGACAGCTGTAGACGAAGACGACGCTGTGAGGGACGAAGAAAGCGTCGATGTGAACGAAGTAATCAAAGTGGACAGGGATGAGCTAGGATGCAATCGAAGTGGATAGGGATGACGCAGACGTTGTTGACAGCATTGTTGACGAGGTAGGCGTAAAGAGACTCGTTGAAAACGTTGATGAGGTCGTCGTTGAAGGGGTAATATATGTACTTAAAGTTTGCGTAGTCGACGTCAAAGAGGTACTCGTCATAGTGGACGTGTATATACTGGAGGTCGATGATAGAGATGTCGATAGAGCAGAGGCTGAGATAGAAACATATGTACTTGATGTTGACATAGTTGAAAATATTAGAGATACTGCGGATGTGATTGACGATGAGGAGGCTAACGTAGACGAGGACGTCGTTGTTATACTCGACGTAGAAAACGCAGACGACGAAGTGGCCAGCGTAGATAAGGCTGACGATAAGGTTGACGTTGAAGCAGACGTCAAAACGGATGGAGATGAGGCAGAGGTTATAATGCTTGCCGACGATGATGTTGTTGAGGGAGTTGTGCTTAGGGCAACTGGCGTTGTAGACGCTGAACTTGAAGCAGATGTAGATGCACTCGACGTAGTAGTCCCGGCGGTAGAAGTACTAGACGCGGACGCTCCAGGCGTGGTTGTCACTGACAAGGACGTGCTAGGTGTGGACGTGCTAGGTGTGGACGTACCAGGCGTGGATGTGCCAGGCGTGGATGTGCCAGGTGTGGACGTGCCAGGTGTGGACGTAGTAAAAGCTGGAGTCCCTAGATCTGTGGATAAGGTCGAAGACACAGACGTCGAGCCAGTCGATGATAGTACGGCGGTTGATGACGAAGACGTCACTATTGCCGTTATAGAGATCGAAGTCAGAGACGAAGACACTAGCGAAGGAGACAAGCTGGAGGCGGAAGTAGAGGAGGCAAATAATTGCGAGAGACTTGTCGCTGATGTCGACGATAAAAATGCAGTGGAAGTCTGTGATGCCAAAGATGACGATGACGAAATTGATGCGGATGTTGGCAATTGTGATACGGATGATCCTGTCGTGGAGATAGACGATGCCGATGGAGACCCAGAATAGTCTCCAGATCGATTATCCCCAGAGGGACTGTACGGAGAAGCGACCCCAGGTGATGATACCGCGGTTGATGTAGATAAGGTTGAGGACGTTGTTAGTAAGGATAATGACTCTATCGATGAATATGAGGACGATGCTGTCGAGGATGAAGACGCTGTAGAGGAAAGCGAGGATGTTATCGACGAGTATAAAGACGTCGTAGCCGAGGATGAGGTTGGTATAGATGATGGTGAGGATGTGCCCGACGAATATGGAAACAGTGTAGAAAACGTTGAGGACGATGAGCTCGATATATCTAGTGTTGGGGCAGCAGTAGGTGATGATGGCGATGATAATGACGAAGGTGAAGATGAGGGTGATGACGAGGTTGAGGCCAAAGAAGCAGTCGACAACCATGATGAAAGTACGGCTAAAGAAGACGAAGATGGAGAGGTCAACGTACCGACTGAAGGCAAAGTGCTCGTACTTTGGGTCTGCAAGATGCTTGAGCTCTGTGTCGAACTTGTCGAAGGCGACGGACTACTTGTAGCGCTTGATGTAGGCTGATTGATTGAAGCGTAAAGTTGGATCCTATTCTGTCCACCACAATACTGTGTCGTATTGCCGGTACATGTAATGTCTGCTTGACCTGAGGCAGGCGTTGGATTGGAAAGCAGGACATTGCCACAATAGCATGTGTCGCCTATCTTTACATCAGCTTGCTTGCTTGAATGTGGAACACGTGGACCTTACCATTTTCAACGCCAAAGTAAAGATAAGTTGAACAGTAGGATGCGCAATTGTTCACAGACATTTGACCACTCGAGAAAGTGCTTCCGTTTAAAATCTGAGCACCAGGCGGGTCATTGAACAGGCCCTGATTTCTGAAATTGGCTTGGAGCTGGACGACGCTAGCTGATGGCGTCTGACTTGAGGTCGATGAAGAGAATGAAGTTGGTGTGCTGATATTTGTTTGGCTAGGCGAGGGCGAAAAGTATGAGGTAGGATTGCTCGAAGTTGGACTGCTCGAGGTTAGACTGCTCGAGGTTAGACTGCTCGAGGTTGGACTGCTCGACGAGGGACTGCTGGAAGACATTTGACTGGAAGTAATAGAGACCGACGAGGCTTGCGTGCTCGAGATCACCTGACTATAGCTAGAGGAAGAAAACGAGGTCCTACTGCTCGTTGTGGGCTGCGTTGGACTTGAGGTAGACAAGCCGCTTGTGCTACTCGTGGATGTCTGAAGGGCTACAGACGAAGAAGACGAACTTGGGCTGTTCGTAGATGACTGGCTAGGGCTGAGCGAAATTGTTGGAGCGGTGCTGCTCGTGAATGACCGAGCAGGAGTCGGCGAAAATGATATGGGCGGACTACTTGTTGTTGGGTTGCCTGCGAGGGAGACACTTGCTGTCGACGAAGCGCTTGAGGATGTTGTTATTGAAGAGTATAATTGCAGCGCGTTGAGGCCTCCGCAGTAGGCGCTACTATCCCCTGAGCATGGTCTGCGAGACTGACTCTGTGCAGCACTAGGCTGAGAGACGAAAGCATTACCACAATAGCATGTATCTCCTGATCCCTCGTCAGCTTTTCGCACGATCAGAGAGCATATTGACAGACACTTACCGCCCTGAACTCCAAAGTAGAGAAAGCTGGAGCAAAAACTTGCGCAGCTATTCACTGTCATGGAGCTACTCGTGTACGTGCTGTCATTCAAAATCAGTGCGTTGGATGGGTCGTCGAAAAGGCCCTGATTCCTATAACTTCCTTGGATCTGTACAATCGTTGGCGTAGCACTTGGCGAGGCCGTTGCACTTGGCAATACTGTTGGAGTAGGAGAGGTCAACGGGGTCGAAGTAGCTGCTGAAGACGCTACGATTGGAGTACTCGATGGAGATATGCTCGTGGGTGTTGCAATAGATGAATATAATTGAAGTAAACCCAGACCTCCGCAGTATTGCAACTGGTTACCAGTGCACCGCTTGTCAGAAGCAGTAGATTGATCAGCAGCTCGAGCAGCTCCATTGCTCAACACATTGCCGCAATAGCACGTGTCCCCTACAAATCATTTCAATTCAATTCTCAGCAGTTGACTTGGCCTTTTACTTACCATTTGATACTCCAAAATAGTAGTAGCTAGAGCAATGCGAAGCGCAGGCTACAATTGACATTCCATTTTGGTCCGTATACGAGCCTGCGCTACTCAAGATCTGGACGCTCTGGGGATCGTTCAAGTTGTAAAGTCCTTGATTCCGATAATTCCCAAGAGTCTGGACAACACTTGGCGAAGCAGTGGGTGATGTCGTTGGACTACTTGTAGCTGGCGACGATTGTGTCGGAGTTGGCGTTGTGCCTGATGCAGAAGCAGATTGAGCCCTGGAATATACTTGTACGAAACCTGAACCTCCACAATATTGCAAGCCGTTGCCAGCACATGCAACGTCGGAAGAGCCAGACTGATCTGCTGCTAGCGTCGGTGAGCCGTACAAATTATTGCTACAATAGCATGTATTACCTACAGACCTCGTTAATTGTTCCTCCCGCGGTTTAACAGTAAATGCTCACCATTGACAACTCCAAAATATAGGAAGCTGGAGCAATGAGAAGCACAAGTATCAACTGACATTCCATTCGAATCTGTATATGAGCCCGCATTTGGAAAGATTTGGACGCTCTGTGGATCAATGAAATTGAATAGTCCTCGATTTTGGTAGGCACCTTGGGATTGGACAACGCTCGCAGATGGCCTTTGGCTTGAGGTCGAAAGGTTTGGGACGCTTGAACTATCAACAGAAGATGTCGGGGAAGCGAGCGAATACAGTTGTAAAATACCAAGGCCTCCGCAGTATTGTAAGTTGTTGCCCGTACATACGACGTCAGAATTGGAAGATTGGTCTGCAGCCGGTGTTGGGGTGCCGTTCAGTGTATCCCCACAGTAGCATGTATCTCCTAAGGGTTGAGCTCGTTAGGCATATTCTCAAATTTGGGAAAGAGAACTCTCGTTTACCATTCGATACTCCGAAGTACAGATGACCTGAACAATGAGTAGAGCATGCATCAATTGACATGCCAGCGGCATCCGAGTATTGGGCAATGCTTAAAATTTGAACATTCGTAGCATCATTCAAATTATATAGACCCTGGTTCCGGTAGCTACCTTGGTTTTGCACGACGCTCGGTGATGGCGACTGCCTTGGCGTCGTCAAGGTCCAACTGTTCGAGGTAATGACGCTGGAAGTAGGTGTGTTTGGAGATGCATACAATTGCAGTAAATCAGTGCCTCCGCAGTATTGTAATGTATTACCGGTGCACGGTATGTCAGAGCCACCTGACTGATCTGACGATAGTATTGATTGATTGTCAAGAGTGTTTCCACAGAAGCATGTATCACCTGCCCGAGACGTCAGTGAATGCTTACGTTCTCGTTGATTATGTTACCATTTTGTACTCCAAAGTAAATATATGCTGAGCAATGTGAACTACAAGCATCCACTGTCATGCCACTTGGGTCTGTGTATGAGTCACCATTAAGGATATGGGCTCCACGAGGACTGTTGAAGAGTCCCTGGTTCCTGTATTTGCCTTGATTTTGTACGATAGTTGGCGATACCGTTGCCCCAAGCGTTGTCGAGGAAGATGTGCCGCTAACATCAGATGGCGCAGCGTTACGGTCGGTTGAGGATCCAGGTCCCGGTGGTGTAGCCGTGAGTGGAACGCCTGAGAGGATGCTTGCAGAGGAACTCTTCGAGTTACTTGGACTAGAGCTAGAGGGCAGATTTGTGTCTGAAGTAAGCAAATTGCTTGCGATGGGAGGCGACAACGGCGCTGTATAACTTGGCTGATTGAAAGTAGCTGTTGTGTTTGTATCATTGAGGGGCGGCGGTATTGTGACAAGATCGAAACTATAACAGCTTCCTGGCGTCTTTCCAACTTGTGCTACGTAAATTGGTTGAGCCTGTGGAGATGTACTGCATGTATAGAAAGTATAATTGCGGCCAGCAGTACCTGCGGACAACGTGATATCGTTCAAGTTGAAACCTGAGGTAATTGCATCTGGAGGTGGATTTGGTGAATATTGTAGCTTTGGATCATCGTCTGTGAAAGCTCGACGATTTCGAGCCTTTAAGGCATTGCCCTTGGGAACAAAAAAGACAAAATTGCCATCCAAGTCTGTCATATTCGAGGCCCTGTTGATAGTAAGGATAGTAGCTTCAATAACACCGCCAACAACCAAGTCGCCATAGCCATTTTCACCAACAGCAAGCTGATCCAAGCCAGGCACATCGTTGAGAATGTAAAGTTGAAATACTCGGTCTCCATTCGTAGAGCTTGCAGAGAGAGATGAAGTCGATTTTGTGGGACTGGAATTGCTTTGAACAGAAAGTGTAGGTATGACTGTATCTGGAGTAGAAACGTAAGGACCGCTTGAAGGCAAGTTCACCCCGTTGCCAGACGTACCAGAGGGAGGGTTGGTGATCCCAACCAACGGAAATGAATTTGATGGGCTTGCTGCAGCGGGGCTTGACGAGAATGAAGACTTGGCATCGATTGATGGAGTTTGTTGTGTGGAAGAAGGATGACTGTTGATACTGCTGGACCCTGGGCTCGCAGCACCTTTAGATGGATTAGTGGTCGGGCCGCTGTTTCCAGCCGATGCAACAGTACTGGGAACCCCGCTAGAGTACGTTCCTGGAAGGATGGAACCGCTGGCGTTATTGGGCCCTGGCCCGACTGGTGGTCTATTACTAGCATGACCCTTAGATGGAGGAGGAGGGTTGTTCATGCTGAAATAAGGAATGGAAGATAAATTGCCGCTCGGTCGTACGTTTGCAGACGGCCCAGTCCCAGTCATTGGTCCTTGAACTTGCGACAGTGCTTCTCCAGGACCTGATGTTTGGACAGGTATAGGTCCCCCTCCAGGCGCTTGTGATGTTCCCTGCACCGAGCTGCATGAGTCCGTGACAGTTGATGTTACTGTTGTCGTCGTCCTCATCGTGATCGACTGAGCAACCTGATCATCTGAGCCTTCCACCACCGTGTATTCGATGATACGTTCATAACAATAGGTGTAAATTATTTGATCGTCTTCCGTAACAGGGCTGCCCAACCTATAGAAAGGCTGTGCAGCCCAAGTCTGAACCTGAGATTCTGTACTCTGAGGAGCGTCTATGAGCACCGTGACCGTCCTCGTTCGATGAAAATTCCAGTCCCAATATGGCGCAACAAACTTTGTTATCGCGTCATGATTTTTAGTTTGCGACGTGACAGGTTGGTTCACGTCCGTGATCAGGCCAGCTGGACATGTTTCGCAAGCAGAGTACGAGAATGGGTACAACCACAAAGGCGTTTCGAGTATATACTGTGTTGTCGTTGTTCGATATATTGTACAGTTCGACCACGTCCAAATCAATTTGGCAAATGATAATATAAGAATAGAACGTATGATTGACATGTCGGCGGGCCGCGGTGGCTAGTTCTGTTCAAACCAGGTCCATTAGGTCCCAAGGTCTTTGGGCATGGAAGGTAGACTCACTTGGCTGTAATGCTCCCACTTTAAAGGAATCCCCAGATGCCAGACTCGTGCTTATACGAAGAAGCGGAGTGGTTCAAGACGGTGGAGACAGGGGGGCCTGCGATTCAGGCGTACAGCTGAAGGAGCGAACGTACTAGCAATCAACCTCACCATCCCCGAATGCAGTGTCCATCGTATCTGTCGAGATGAAAACGTCGACGACGTGTGATGCCAAGTTTCGCGTATTGAGCATTCCTGCTCAAATTGGGCACATCTCACATTCCACGGGCCCGCCTCGGTAAACCACACGTGGTCACCGATTCATTTGATTCCAGAAGACATTGGACCGTTGACAGTACTCAGGCTTCAATACGAAGAGCGCAAGGAAAGAGTGAGCGAGACTATGGCATTGTTCGCCTTGGAGCAATTCTCACCAAACAGAACACGTGCGTATTGTGGCATGATTGAGTCCCAAGCATGCCGAAGCCCCTGAAAATACTTTCGCAATATTTCATCCACAGCAGGGTGTTCTGGCAAACGGTGGTCATGTTGTGGCTACCAGCCATGTCTACCGTAAGATGGAAGCCTGGCTGGTCGTAGTCGAAAGCACCCTTGCCTTAGTCTTGTTAGACACGAAAGGTGCTTGAGCAGACTCGGATTGAATTAACTCAGGCTTGATAACCCGACCGACACCTGATGTTCGACGCGAGATGAACGCTCCAAGAACGGATCAAGAGAGACCAGCATTTGTTTTAGTAAAATTGGAAGAGCGATGGGAGGCTTTTCCAGTGAACTTCAATATGCATGACTACCAAATGAGGAACGTGAGAGGCAAAGCGTCAGGGGAAATCGCAGACTTGATAATGTCCTGGTAGGGCAGCCCCTTTGCGATCATTGCGTGGGTCGGAGGAAGCCGAGAGCTTCCCCACACTCATGCGTGACCCCGCACAGTCTGGCTCAGAAGGAGGCTTTCAGAGGCCCATCGATTTGTAGTTGAGTTCTATCTGCAATTGCAAACTCACCTCAAACGCTTCCAAAGCTAAATGGAAACAGAGCAAAAGCTGGCATGTCCGTAATCATCAATGCCAGCCGGCTTGCTGGGAAAGTTGCCATCGTGACAGGCGCGGGTATCTCCCAATCAAAGCCTCAATGTAGCTGATTCGTTCTGTAGGTGGCGGCTCGGGCTTTGGAGCAGGCATAGCAAGAACCTTTGCCGAACAAGGCGCCAAGGTTGTCGTAGCAGACATCAACGAGGATGGAGGGGAGCAGACCGTCTCAGCCATGCCAGCTTGCATGCGCTTCCAGCGTACAGACGTCACAAGTCAGGCAGACTGGGAAAAGCTCGCCGACGCGTCAATTGACGCGTTCGGCGGAATTGATTGTCTTGTCAACAATGCTGGGACCACTTACCGCAACAAGGCGAGGACCCATCACCTGGGAGATCTTTCAATCCAGCTGATTCTAGTTCCAGCCTTCACTCGAGGTGTCGGAGTCCGAGTTTGACAGATGCTTCAACATAAATGTAAAGAGTGTGTTCTTCGGCACGTCTACGATCATCCCTCGGCTGCTGGAGCAGAAGCGTGGAGGCTCCATTATCAACATTGCGTCTGTGGGAGCCACAAGGCCACGGCCGGGGCTTGTATGGTATAATAGCTCGAAAGGAGCAGTCTGCAATGTATGGATCGGTCTTTCATTTTTGGCTCCTCCTCTTCTGTTTGGTGTGACCCGACACTTGTCCGTGGGCTGAATCGTTCGTCCAGGGAACGAAAGGTCTCGCAGCAGAGTTCGGGCCCCAGAAGATACGAGTCAATTCCATTTGTCCCCTCCTGAGTGGCACAGGTCTGTAAGTGCCAATGATTGACATTGCTGAGGCGGACGGTACCAACGTTGACGCGTCGTTCACAGTTTCGAGTCGTTTGCGGGTGTGCCCAATACACCGGAGAATAGAGCGAAATTATTGTCGAATGTGCCACTCGGTAGGCTTACAGATGTCTCAGATGTAGCATCAGCATGTCTCTTCTTCGCATCTGATGAATCAGCCTTTGTCACAGGCATCAATATGGAGGTTGATGGTGGTAGAGCTGTGTGACAAGTTGACCACAAGCTTGAGGAGAAGGACCATGGCATTTGCAAATCAAAAGCTTGCGCCAGCCATGCTAGCAGAACATAAGGATTCCCAGAGCATCAATCCTCCACTGGTCTTGACCTTGACAGGGACAGAATAATGCAGCCGTTGCCCCACCCCCTGCCAAGCCCGCTCAGACCGGAAACGGCGCTCCAAGGAAGTCTATCGATAAAGAAACGGCCCAGAACGTGGGGTTGATTTTCCGCCGTCCTTCAAAGCTCTCTAGCAGCACTCAACAATTCAAAATTTTCCAGTGGGCTCGCCGATGCTTCTGTACAGCTGAGGGGTTTTGGTCATAAGCTAGAGTTGCCTTGATCTCGTCCATTGAGTTCTCTCATCTTGTCATTTCCTCTCCACCGCCCACAATGGCTACCACGACTGCCCGCCAACGCAAACCCTCCACCAGCGCTCGCATTTCTGACCTGAAAGGCCCAATTGGCCCCGAGGGCATCTCTCGCCCGAAGCACAAGCGAACAGCGACCGGCTTTGGGCCTGGTGAAATAAAACACGTTGAATCCAGTATACCCGAGGGACAGAGATCGGCTTGGAAGAAACATTCTGCCCAGGGCTTCACCACGAAAGAGCAATTCGAAGATGAGGCGGTTCGACACATTGAAACTACGCTCGCCCGATCACTATACAACTGTGATGAGCTTGCCGCGTATTCCGGCGCTGCCCTTGCCTTCCGAGACAGACTTGTCATCGACTGGAACAAGACACAGCAAAGACAGACCTTTGCCGATCAGAAGCGGGTATACTATTTGTCGTTGGAATTCCTGATGGGCAGAGCATTTGACAATGCAATGCTGAACGTAGGGCTCAAAGATGTTGCCAAACAAGGACTGAGTGAACTTGGCTTCAGAATGGAGGACATCATATCACAAGAGCACGACGCAGCGCTCGGGAACGGTGGCCTCGGTCGTCTTGCTGCTTGTTTTCTGGATAGTATGGCAACCATGAACTTCCCGGCATGGGGCTATGGGCTTAGGTACAGATATGGAATATTCAAGCAGGAGCTTGTGGATGGTTATCAGGTGGAGGTGCCAGATTACTGGCTTGATTTCAATCCTTGGGAGTTTCCTAGACATGATGTATCGGTACCCATCCAATTCTACGGAGGGGTTAGCAAAAAGACGTGAGCAATTTACAAGAATTGGTTGGTCGCAAAAGCTGATATTGACGATAGCAATGACAAAGGCAAGACGACTGCAGTCTGGGAGGGAGGTGAGGTCGTGGATGCTATAGCATATGACGTCCCTATTCCAGGCTATGCAACACCAACTACGAACAATCTCCGTCTGTGGTCCTCACAAGCATCAAAAGGCGAATTTGATTTCCAAAAGTTCAACTCTGGCAACTATGAGGGCTCAGTAAGCGATCAGCAGCGAGCAGAAACTATCTCTGCGGTGCTCTATCCAAACGAGAATTTTGACCAAGGTAAAGAGCTTCGCCTCAAGCAGCAGTATTTCTGGTGCGCAGCATCTCTGTTTGATATAGTCCGCCGCTTCAAGAAATCGAAGAAGCCTTTGTCAGCCTTTGCCGATAATGTTGCGATACAGATCAATGACACCCACCCAACCCTTGCTATTGTGGAATTACAACGTATCTTTGTTGATTTGGAAGGCTTAGAGTGGGATGAGGCATGGAATCTTGTGGTCAATACCTTTGGATACACTAATCACACGGTAATGCCAGAAGCTCTGGAGAAGTGGTCCGTACCTTTGATGCAGAATCTTCTCCCAAGGCATCTACAAATAATATATGACATCAACATGAAGTTCCTTCAGATGGTGGAAAAGAAATTCCCCAAAGATCGTGATATGCTTGGACGGGTCTCCCTGATTGAGGAATCCCAGCCAAAGATGGTCAGAATGGCTCACCTTGCCACTATTGGAAGCCACAAAGTCAATGGTGTTGCCGAGTTGCACTCTGACCTAGTCAAGACCACTATCCTGAAGGACTTTGTGACGATATATGGCCCAGACAAATTCACGAATGTGACGAATGGTATCACGCCAAGGAGATGGCTTCACCAAGCAAATCCACGTCTATCAGATCTCATTGCATCTAAGCTGGGTGGTTATGACTATCTCACAGATCTGACGAAGCTCAACAAGCTCGAGGCGTTTATTGATGACAAAGCCTTCAAGAAAGAATGGCAGGAGATCAAGGTCGCTAACAAAATGCGCTTGGCGGAGCACATCAAGAATACAACTGGTGTCAGTGTAAACCCCAAGGCGCTGTTCGACATTCAAGTCAAGCGCATACACGAATACAAGAGACAGCAGCTCAACATCCTTGGTGTAATTCATCGCTACCTAACGATCAAAGCATTAAGTCCAGAAGAGCGCAAGAAGCTTGCCCCACGCGTATCGATTTTTGGTGGTAAAGCAGCGCCAGGCTACTGGATGGCGAAGACTATCATTCATCTTGTCTGCGCCGTAGGTGAGGTAGTCAACAACGACAAAGACGTTGGCGATCTCTTGAAGGTCATCTACGTGGAGGACTACAACGTCAGCAAAGCCGAGATCCTCACTCCAGCTTCTGACATCAGTGAGCATATATCGACCGCGGGCACTGAAGCCTCAGGCACCAGTAATATGAAATTTGTCCTCAACGGTGGTTTGGTTATAGGAACGTGTGATGGAGCTAATGTGAGCTTTTTCCTTTGCCCCTTTCTACTTTACTACTTCATTGGGCAACCATTGATCAAGCCTCTGTCTCTAGATCGAGATCACCCGAGAAATCGGCGAGTCGAATATCTTCCTCTTTGGCCATTTGGCAGAAGACGTCGAAGACCTTCGCCACGCTCATCAATTCGGCAACTTCCAACTCGACCCCGACCTCGCTAAGGTCTTCGAAGCCGTCAAAGGGGGCATGTTCGGTGACGCCGATCGCTTCAGACCTCTTTGTGATAGCATTATTGACCACGGCGATTATTATCTTGTCTCTGACGACTTCAATTCCTACGTCGAGACCCATAAGCTTGTTGATGAAGCTTTCAAGGACCCGGACACGTGGCTTGAGAAATGCATCACCTCTGTTGCCAGAATGGGCTTCTTCAGCAGCGATAGGTGCATTCAGGAATATGCGGAGGAAATCTGGAACTGTGAACCCCTGCCGCCTCAGACGAACGGGGCCTGATAAGAGGACCCTTGATGAAAGGCGCAGATGAAGACGAGGAGATATGATGTGAACGTTGAGATGTTGAGAAATGTTCGAAATAGAATTTTGGTATAGAGATCATAAGGTGGATAGATTGTCTACAAAGCGAGAGTCTCTAAGACCGTGTTGCGACATGCAAAATAGACTCAAGCATGACTGCTTAGTTCTTTTCTGCCTCGTCATATGGTCTTCATCCTTTCACCTGTAGAAATAACTCTCGCAACCAAACAATGTGGATACGGAGAGTGTCTAAGACACAACAAGCCGTGGAACAATATCTTCCGCGTCGAAGTGGGCTTCAGAATCTCACGCGTAGGATCTACTGCGCTGATGCCAAGCAGGCAACAAAGTCGGTCGATTGGCTAGTGATGCATGTCGCCCTAGTCGCAAGTGGTTACAGTAAAAATGATTCGATCTAATGGTCTGAATGTCTCGAATGACATTCAGCTCACATGCAGCTACCCTCCTTCGTTGGTGAGAAAACATGCGGGAGCCTTGTTTATAGACGCCTGACTATCTGCAGCACCGCATAAATGAAGAGGCGCCATGTCAAACGTCTAAGCACCGAATTTTGTCAATATCACACTCGAGCGTAGACAATTGCAATATTCTTCGCAATTCCACTCGACATGGGTCATAATTCAAAAGGTGCTAATGAGGATGAGGAGCAAAACACATCGCAATTCAAATACAACTTCAAAACTACATACTGTCCCTTATTCTGCTTGGCTGAGCCTCCAGACGAGGTAGAAGCAGCCATAGTCTCCAAGTATAGTCAAAATGACTGATTGGATCTTTCTTTAGTACTTCAATATTCTTGCCAGGCGGCCTTTAGATCACTCATGGCTAAATATTACCTCGTCAGCTACGTCCTTAGATCGTATCCTTGAAGAGATCGAGCGCAACGCCAATGAAATCACTTCAGAACCAGCTCCCTTACCTTTCTTAGGTTCCTCTTTCGATGAGATCGATGAATTCTACGAGGAAAAGCTTCGTCCGCCGCGACAATACACAGGCTCGATCAATTTTTGCCATTTTGTCTATCTTTTGGTCGACCAGACTTGTCTTCGAAAAGACTGGTCGGCATTCAATCCAGAGGGGACAATTATACCTCCGAGCCTTAACCCTGAAGACTGGACTATTTGGTTGTGTAGCGATGCTCCTGACTATGACGAAACGGAACGTCAAGTCACGCTCAAAATGCTTCGTTTCCCGCTATCTGGAGTCATGAACCAAGTGACAGTGTGCGAGACTCTCATTAATACCCCAAGCGAAGCGTCGAATTTCGCCTGGGCTGAGGTCGAAAAAGATAGTGAGACAAAACAGAGTCCTACCGGACTCATCATGAGGCCGCCGCCCTTCATGGTTTACGAGGGACTCAGCGAAGACGGGGACAGTAAATTATACCGTGTTGCTTCACGATATGAAGCGAGAATGAATAAACGGAGAGGCCTAATGATGGCCGAAGAGTGGAAGAGGCAAACGGGGGAGCCGCCGGGCTTGAGAGAACCATTTGTCGAGGGTGGAGGCAGCAATCCGTGGGCTGCCGACACTGAAGTATTGGTTAGTGGTAGAGTCATGGGAACACTTCCTGCATGGGATGAGGAATATGTTCGGAAGAATCGAGCTGCACGTGGGGATGTTACAGGCTGAGCAGCCGATAGTTATGCGTTTTTGCTGGCGGGTGCGCCTCATTCGTCTAACAATCGACCGAGTGATGTGTGCAAACGCCGCCCAAGATGATGAATTGAACCATTTCTGACATGAAATCTACCGTGAAAAATCTTTGTTCAGAGAGATAGTTCCCCAAAACTACCTGCACAGCCCAGAGTTTCGACCCCACCATGACACAGCCATAACAGCCAAAGACGGACCAGAAATTTCAACTTTCACCAATACACACGGTTCAAAGCAGAACCACATTCTTCCTTCGAGCCTAAAGATTCTCGTCTCGGGGAAGTCTCCCCGATTCACTGAGCCTAGGGTGTCTAGAGGCTCATGAGCCCTTCAGAAACTATGGCTAGTAAGTTGCGTGTACTAGAGGGTGACTGACAAGGCTCCAAACAGCATGTGGAGAAATAGCGAGCCTTGCCTTCCATTGTAAGGTAGCAGCCCAGTCTTGGCGCCAAGATATCAATTTTGTCCTGCAGCCCTCTCCGACGATTCCGCAAAAACTCCTCACAAACATTCATGATGTCGTCTATAACCACAATGCCTCCAGTCTTCTACCGCTGTCTGTCCGCTCCATCATTCATCTTGTTTCATCCAGCAATAGACTGATACGTTACCCCAAAATCTTCACTGAATCCCTCATACATCGAACATTTCAAATCCACTCACCCACCATGCCAACGGATGCCAGGCCTGTCATCTTCTTTGACATCGACAATTGCCTCTATCCCAGATCCGCCCGCGTTCAAGAGCATATGGCTGCCACGATAGATCTATACTTCCAAAAACACCTCTCCCTTTCCTCCGCAGACGCCACCCTCCTACACACCAAATACTACACCGACTACGGGCTGGCTATCTCTGGGCTCGTCAAACACCATAAGATCGATCCCATGGCCTACAACCGCGAAGTCGACGACACGTTACCAATGGACCAGCTCATCAAACCTGATCCCGGGTTGAGGCGGCTATTAGAAGGGCTCGATAAAGAAAAGGTGAAGCTATGGCTCTTCACGAACGCGTACATTACGCATGCGAAGCGGGTGATCAAAATACTGGGACTAGAGAGTGTTTTTGAAGGAATCACGTATTGTGATTATGCGCAGGTGCCATTGGTGGCGAAACCGCATAGGGAGATGTTTGAGAAGGCGGAGAGGGAGGCGGGTGTTAGTGTTGGAGACGGGCGAAGAGGGGATTGCTATTTTGTGGATGATAGTGCGTTGAACTGCAGATTTGCAACGGAATGGGGGTGGACTGTTGTGCATAAGATGGAGGAGGGTGATCCGTTGCCAAAACAGCCGGTGGCGAAGTATCAGGTTACGGATTTGGAGAAGCTGAGGGAGTGCTTTCCACAATTCTTCAAGTCCAGTGAGGCTGAAGGGAAGAATATTGGAAGAGAAGGGCATATGAATGGCTCTTCACTTTGAGGCAGCATTGAGTGACAACATTCAGAGTGCTTTTGTATGAGCTTAACGAAATGACCAGTACGATGGCTAGACATAAACTTCTGACCGTCAAACCCGAGATTTGGATCACGAAACAAGCAATCTATCGCTTCAAAAGCCATCGTCATTAGCCGCCAATAGCCGCTGCAAGGGAACCGACCTTCCTTCTGCGGAGAAACGACATCATTCTCGAATCACAACCACTTGCGACTTTTCTCGACTACTTGCCTACCAGTTGAGCTCCTTGATAATTTTATATCGACCGCGATCGCCCAGGTCTGCTACCATGTACGGTTCCAGCTTCATTGCTCCGGTCATCTGTCAATAGCTAATCAAAGAGATAGGAAATATACGGCCTCTGACGCGTTCTTTGAGGCTTTGTGGGAGGCGAGTTCACTGATTCGTTGATCTTCAGCCGGTCTAGGGCAATACTAAAATTTCCACAGCTAGGCATCAAACATTGCTTTGTCAATTTAGGCTCAGATCATCCTTCTCTTCTCGAATCCATCGTACGTGGCCAACGCGATAAGCCGGCGCAGTTTCCGAACATCATAACATGTCCAAATGAGGTACGCCTTGGTCTTCACCTTAATTCCACTGTTCTGATTCGGCCTGCTCTCAATCCTAACGCCCTCTAGATGGTCGCTCTCTCCATGGCCGATGGCTACGCTCGTCTCACAAATGAGCCCCAGTGCGTGATTGTGCACGTGGATGTCGGTACTCAGGGGCTTGGAGCCGCAGTTCACAACGCAAGCTGCGGGCGGGCGCCTGTGCTTATTTTTGCTGGCTTGAGCCCGTATACAATGGAGGGGGAGCTGAGAGGTAGTCGTTCAGAGTATATCCACTGGATACAGGATGTTCCTGACCAGGGAGCTATTTTGAAGCAGTATTGTCGTTACAGCGGCGAGGTACGTTGAAATGGCGACTTTCGTTTTGTTTCATGCGACCCCTGCTCTGGCCTTTGATCCACTGGAAAGAAGTTGTTTGAGAACGGAGACCATGCGCTCATTTTGCCTTCGAAAGAGGTAGAATCCGTCAAGTGGAATATGGTTAATAATAACACTCTTGAAGATCAGGCGCGGCGTCAACATCAAACAAATGGTTGGACGCGCATATCAATTTGCCATGTCTGACCCAAAAGGACCAGTCTATCTCGTTGGATCGAGGGAAGCCATGGAGGAGGAGATTGAGAGCTATCCCTTGGAGAAGCGGATGTGGGAAGGTATTGGCCCAGCAGCACTGACTGAGGATGTCGTGCGCCTAATTACTGGAGCTCTCCTTGAAGCCGAGGAACCCTTAGTGATTACAGGATATTGTGGTAGAAATCATGCGACCGTTGAAGCCTTAGTCCGCTTAGTGAACAATTTTCCAGGACTCAGAGTGCTCGACACAGGTGGCAGTGATATGTGCTTTCCAAACGATCATCCCGGCTACTTGGGATTAAGATACGGTATGGATGATAGCATTACTACCGCAGATGTCATCATCGTCGCAGACTGCGACGTTCCTTGGATCCCAACGCGATGTAAACCAAAGTCTTCGGCCCGAATCTTCCACATTGATTCAGATCCCCTGAAATGTCAGATGCCGGTGTTCTATCTACCGAGCGAAGGCCGCTGGAAAGCGGACACGTTCACCGCTTTTCATCAAATAAGCGAAAGTCGTGTTTTGAAGATGGTCGAGTACAGCAACACAATGCCGGAGAAACTGGCGCAAATCAACTCAATGAGCAAAGATAGGCAGACGAGACTGGTGGCTTCCGGCACGAACCGTGACGAGAGCATAGCAGACTTAGCGTTGCCAACGATCTCCAATCAGCTGAATCCGTCGTACTTGGCAGCAGCCATACGCCGTGCTGTCCCTGATAATAGTATCTTTGCTGTCGAAGCCGTTACCGTAACGCCTTTCGTAGCAGACCAGGTCAAGCCTACAATCCCCGGTACATGGCTCAACTGTGGCGGCGGAGGCCTTGGCTGGTCAGGAGGCGGCGCTTTGGGCATTAAGCTAGCCACCAAAGATCGCGGGGAACAGCGTTTTGTATGCCAGATTGTCGGCGATGGGACCTTCCTCTTCTCTGTTCCCGGATCTGTCTACTGGATCAGTCAGCGCTACAAGCTTCCGGTCCTTACTATCGTCATCAACAACAAGGGATGGAATGCGCCAAGACGATCGCTGCTTATCGTTCATCCCGAGGGAGAGGGCAGCAAGGTCAGCAATAGGGATCTTCACATTGAGTTTGAGCCTGGGCCGGACTATGCAGGGATCGCCAAAGCTGCAGCTGGTGGGAGACTGTGGGCTGGGAAGGCAGCCACGGTAGGTGAATTGGAAGCAGCATTAGGGCAGGCGGTGGAAAGTGTAAAGAACGGGACTGGAGCTGTGCTAGAGGCAGTCTTGGAATCTGAAGAGCCGGTGGATGGAAAAAGCCAGCAAGCTAACGAAGGAGAGATGCCTGGCTAGCTGTTGATGGACGCTATGACAGTGACGGGCTCGACCATCGTACGACCTGATTTCCATACAGCTCGAAGAGATCGTATGGGAGTAATTGGTCGAGGCCATGATAGGCGAGCTGTACTACTGTTTGCCAACGCAAGATTAGTCGATTGCTCCGAATGGGCTCCGATAACGCAGACAGTGATCCTTCGACGGAGACACCGCTTCTTTATTGGAGCAAGATCAATTGAAGTCTTAGAGCAAGCTAAGTCAGAGTATGTAGCGTCGACTAGTCGCGTTCTATCACCAGAGTTTGGTCCGTGCTCTGTGCTTGGCAATGATTAAAGTCCCCATCAACGTTCGGAGAGCGCTTTGATGCCCTTATTTGTTTTTTGATATTGTTGACCGAGGTGATCAAGTGCGATCCTCTTTTACTCCCAATCTGAGTTCCCATCACTACCAGCAGGACACCCGCTTCACTCGATTTCTTTCACCGCGGACCTAGGTAAATCTTAAGTCCGAAAGCAAGGCACTGATTGTGGAGTGCATTGCCCAGTCACTGCTCTGTCAACCACCTTCCTTCCTCTTTCCCACGCGAACCATTCTCCAGAGTCAATAATGGAAAGCTCAGTAGTCAGGGTAGCATCAAGCACCTCGGCTCCATACATCGGCATATGCATGTCGAGCACAGAACAAGCGTCGACTATCTGATCGACCCCCGCAAAGCTCGAAGTCTAGATCTATCTGAAAAGACATCTGTCTTGTCTGCAAGATGCAGAGAATGCTGCACGATCGTTTTGATCATGCAATGAATGCATCGCCGTTGGCCGTTTATGGGGATCGACCACCAGAAAAGGCCTGAGTTGAAACCCCTCACTCTTTAGGCGCATCCCAGCACGGACTCTTGGTTGCGCATAAAGATTAACGAAACCTTTCCGACGTCATCAATCGCACTTAATTGCGCTCAAAGGTGTTTGATAGGACAGCTACGGTGCGCAATCCCGCTATTTGCTTCGACGATGCTGCATCTCCATCAAAGACCTGAAGATGCAGCTGTGGATGCCGACATATACCGTGAGCGCGTCCTCTGGTGGCATAAACACCGCGATGACAAGACAGGTAACAGTGAGTTCAAGCTTGTGGAGAACATGCACGTTCAACGGTTTCCCCAGCTTTTGGCGCTTGCAGCACCGTTACACAATCACGACCGTTGATTCCGCTAAGGGAGATTAGGTCTCAAGCCGCTTTGCGTGACATTTCTCATACCATGGCCTCGTTGAGACAAGGATCTCATGACCCGAGACAATGCTCCGTGCTCTACGGCGTGGCTAAAGGCCTCCCTTTACTTCCCATAATCCCCTCGAACCTTCTATCCTGCTGCAGAGCTCCTTCAAGCTCATCATGTCGACCACGCCGATGGCCCCGAGCAGAATGTCGAGTAGAATGTCAAACAGGCTCTCGAACGCGAACATGTCAAGCACCAACGTCTCGTCCCTCGAAGATAAATACTACATGAACACACGCGACCCAGAAAGTCTCCGCACCGTACCCCAGCAGATATACGAACCTTCACAACCATCCCGGTCGAAAGCAGGCGACGCTTCACCCCTCGGCCTCCTCTCCTTCGCAACGGGCGTATTCCTCATAAGCTGCTACAGCGTCCACGCCCGCGGTATCGTGACGCCGAACATCCTCCTCGGCGTCCTGATCTTTTTCGGCGGAATATGCCAATTCATAAGGTAACCCCCTCTCACATGAAGAAAGCCGATAGTCTATCGAATCGGCCCAATCTGACTGAATGTAACCAGCGGCATATCCTCCCTAGTAGCCGGCGACACTTTCTGCGCCACCGTCTTCCCGTCCTACGCGGCCTTCAACTTCTCATACGCCTTCATCTACATCCCCGGCTCTGGCATCCTGAACGCCTACTCTGACCCCAACGAATTCACGCAGGCGCTGTCGATATGGCTCTGGGCATGGTTCATTCTCACCTGCATATTCCTAGTCGGTGCCGTGCAAAGGAATTGGATCCTCATCTCGACGTTAGCGGTCTTGGCTGTAGATTTAGCATGTCAGGCAAGTGGGTTAATGCTGGGGAGCGAGAGGTTGGTGTTGGCAGGGAATGGATTAGGGTTTATGGTGTGTTTTCTGGCTTGTGAGTATCTTCCCGGGTCGTGTTTGAGAAGGGGAGGAGCTGACAACCGATGTAGATTATGCCGGGGCGGCGGGCTTGTGGGCGAGCGAGGACGTGCCGATACGGTTGCCTTCGTTTCCGGTTTCAAGAGCGAGGGAATGCTAGATGTCGCAGTCACTTTAGTTGTATTCAAAAATTATTTCATCTTCTTTGAAGTTCAGCAAGACTAGGATGTTCGCTACCAAGGCGCACTTCCGAGTCTTTCGCGTTTTTCTTCCTTGGCCGTCTCTGAGATCCCTGAGGCCCTTCGTTTGTCATTTAGTGCTTGTAATCCGTGTTTGGTAATTTTCATCGAGAGGGACAACAAATCTTGAAGCCTTTGGCGTCTTGTCCGGCTATATTGTGGATAAAGATGATGTTTGTCTCCTTTGGTGCTCTCACAGTAAGACAAGGGCAGTGGGCACGCATCTAAACAAACATGAGAGTAAGGGAAAACCTAAGGTGAGCAAAGATGGTCCTGAAAGACCCACGCATGGATACCGATTGCTTCCATGGTTACCTGCATCAAGGAGACGCTAGGCACATTCAACACGTGTTGGTTTGCAACTCTGGTTGTTTGCCTCTCTCCTACTACAAAAGGAATTTACTTCCATAGAAAAGCTTCATCTTTCATCCAACATCGCTTAGGTCTGTCAAACTAAAAATGGCATCTTCGACGAGAGCCCCCGGCAACAATGACGGTGGAATTGCAAGCGTAGCAGCAGCAACAGTAGCCGCTCTGAACAGTAAGTCCCTTCACGCCATCCCTTTTCTTTTCTCCACCGCTCTCTTGTAGACCACTCATTTGAAAGGCACAGCCTGACTCACCCAGCAGACCTCACCATAGCCCCTCCCCAACATCATTTCATCCAACCACTCCCCCTCACCACCGCATCCGCCACCACCCTCGCCCCAAACCCCGCCCCACAACCCTACCCCCTCGCAACATTCTTCGCCAACTACCCAAACTTCAACTACAACCCCACCGCGTCCTCGTGCGACGAATACGCCCGCCTTGAAAAGTTCATACCCCTGTCAAAAAGAGCTGAGAAGAAACGTCATGATAGATTCCGCCTCGCCATGGTCCGCTCCTTCAACCAGGTCTTCGGAACGGACGATAGCAGCCTTGCTGCGTGGAGGAATTTGTGCAGACTTGTAGGCTTGAGCGGCGTGTTTGGGAGTAAGACGCAGATGAAGAAGGTGAGTTTATCCATACTCTGCCTCGCTCTCTTGTTCCTTTGCGTGTTTCCACAAGATTTGAGGGGCGTGGGCGTGGTGAGGAATGCTTTGCTGATATGGTGGGTGCGGTGAGCAGGCACTTTCGAACCATCATATCAATCTCGCCGACGCTCTCGATGCCGTGCACCAGGGTAGAGCTGTTCATGTGTTTAGGTCAAAGGCGGCGCTGAGGAAGTATTCCTTGAAGAAGGACCGTATCTTTCCGAATATCAAGGCTGAGTGTGGGAGGTTGTTGGGATGCTTGCTCAGGGAGTTTGGCGGATATTATGATGGGCATGGGAAGGTTTACAGGAACTAGGGAGGAGATGTGGGGTCGAGGTGAGGCTGAACATGGTGATGGGAGGACTGAGCATGGTCACCTTCCAATACCCGTGATTCTATGCATATCTTCACATAGCAACATACAACGACCACGTTCCCCACGTTTTGTCTTAGACGTGTGCAAGGTTCGGGAAACTTGCGGGTCTCTTCCCTGATCGCGTATCTTCACTGAATTCTCACCGAGGGTTTGGGCAGCCTACCTTGTGTCTGCAAGCGACGGCTACTGAAGAAGCGACGTAGGTTACAAGCGGTGCGTTACCGACCGGTCAACCCACTTTTGCACACGCGAAGTTGACTAGAGAAGTCTATCAGGGTTTCCTCAGATTTACCAGTCATCTATTGGGACTTCAAAAGCTTTCATGGATGATGTCTTGGGTAATTTGATCGTTCACCAGGCACCACTAATTGGGAACTCGACTTCTTCCAGTGAGGAATCGGCTCATGGTACGAGCGGTAAGCTGTTGTGAGGCTGCATCCTCCAAGACTTGCATGAGGTCGTTTGAGCCGACTCTACATTCTGTGCTTTGGTTCAGATCCTGCTATTCATATCCCAAAGCCCCATGCCTTTCCATCACTGAGTGGCCAGATCATGCTGCGATGAAGCTACTTAGGTGTCTGACCCCGCTGCCCTAAGCGCCCTTGTCGTCACACACGTTTGACATTTACTCATAATTGAGAAAACCAAACCGCTTGACTCTCTGGGGATGACCGCTGCACCAAGGCTCTGAACTTGGATATTTTCTCGTCCTTGGAATGTAGTAACACGTCGCTCAATATGTTCTTCCACGCAATTGTCGGCATCCTCTTGTGCGTTCAAAGTGCTTGCATTGGGGTTCCAGATGATCTAAACCAATCGATCTCTTCAAACAGTTCTGCTATCTCGCATAATCCCTCGAATGACCCGCCAGAGTATATTGTGTATTCGACACAGCAATTAGAAATGAACCAGCGAGTAGCCCAATTCTTGAGGGATTCAAAACACACGACCGCCTTCAAAGAGTTCCCTGGGCTTAGAACAGGCCTAGGCTACTGGCTTGTCAAGTTCCGGGAAGGGATGATTGAGGTGTTCAGGACAGCGTTTCCAGATGTGAGTTCATGAAAGGGCGAATCCATGCACTACTAAGCCACGCAAAGTTGCAATTTTCGCTGAACGAGCCCGTCGTATTCAGGCAGCAGACATCGCTCTTGAGACCAGTTGATTCTCCTTATAACAGAACGAGCTCGAATCATACCTTGGATATTACCCAAGCAGGGGCTGCAGCCGATCTACGTTTCGTGTCCCAAGCTCCTGGTTACAAGGTAGACCAGCTGAGAGACTACGTCTATCAACATCATCCGATAGATCGGGCGAAGATTTATGTAGTCGAGAATGGTATCGACCCCGACCTCAATGTACGGTCACTCAGCACCGAATGTCCTAAGGATTCTAACAGTCCGTAAAGGAATTTCCTGGTCGGCTAAATTGGCATTACTCTGACCGTGTAGCACATACATCAAGAGATGACGACTCCACCAAACACGGCTCGTGCGTTGCTAGTCTGGTCACAGGCCGAGTTTGCGGAGTGTCTAAGGATTTAGATCTCAATATCATGAAGAGCGACACCACACAATCTGATGTTATTTGGGCATTCACTCAGATTTACCATGACATAGGATTATCAACAATAACCGAGCGGGAAAAAAAGCCGATCATAACGTGGGCATTCAGTACACTCCGAGTGACGCAAATATCAGAAGCGACTAAACGTCTATGGTCTATTCTTAACGGTATATTCACTCTCCTTCAAACCTTGTATGGCGCGGTCATAGTTGTGCCATCTGGAAACGGTGTCAACATGATGGGCGCTTGGAAGGACATAGACACATTTCCTGCTTTACTGACGTTGGATTCGATGCGGAGGGACTTTCCTGGGGATAGAAGAGGTCTTGTAGTAGCTGGATCTGTCGACATCAACGGCTTCAGATCGTCTTTCTCTCAACGCTCAGCCAACACTGTCTTCGCCCCTGGCAGAGACGCTTTATGTATTCAGAACGGAGCGCCTATGAAGCAGACGGGGACTTCATTCTCCGTGGCAATGGTAGACTTGTCATACTGAACTCTAAAGACCTTGGTCGACTTCCTAGGTTGCTGGACTCATAGCATATCATTTCTCGTTGCACCCTGACAACGGCCTACCGCCCGGAGGAGTAGTAGATGTCATTCGCGAGAGGTACAGTTGGCAGCGAACAAAAGCTTTTGGACTACTCCGAGGAAAACGACTTGCCATCTGGAATGGGGAACTGCATCCAACAACAGTGCAGAGCCCTGCCAATGCTTCAATATCAGTGCCAGATGATATTTCTTAGCCTGTCAATCAGAGGAAAATTCCTGGAAAAAAATAGGAATGCCTTACAGGCTTCACCCGTAGATAGCTCCGAACGTCTAGAGAGGTCTGCAGAGCTTATCGACAACGTGATAACGAGCCAGAATATGAAGTAGAAAATGATTAATTCTCCATGTCCGAGTTTCCATTGGTCAGAATCAGCCGCTGGAAGCCACTCCAAAAGGAAAAGAGTTGGCTTCTAGGGAAAACTCATAAAGCAAACTCCTTATTAGGTTCCCTTGGAGCTCCTCAGATAATTAGATCTGACACGGCCATAATTCGACGAACTTGCCCTCAACCGTTCTTGTACTTAATATGCGTTGGATGAGGTTGTTTCTAATAGCTACAGTCGTTCTTCAGGTATCACAAGGCTAGAAAAGCGCGTAAGGAAAAAGAAAAGAGTACATACTTTTCATTAACAGGGAATCCTCACTACGCATGCACAGTATCTTCGTCTTCCCACTTGTCCTCAAGTGAATACAGACTATTAGAGGCACAGCAAGTCAGATTTCTCCCATCCTGGATATCATGACTGCTGAACGCTACCTTTTAGAGTAGATGGGAGACATCACTATTAGATGCATCGGCCTTTTTCAATCTGGTGCTAAAGGAATCCATGTAAGGACCGGATAACGAGCATTTAGTCCTAGTGCTTGACTCATAGTGTTTGTCTTCGGATGTTGATATAGCAAGCATATTCATTATCGCACCCAAGCACGCACTTCCTCACCTTGATATCTGGACCTGACCTACTTGAGATTCCCCGCCCGGTGATACCTGTCCTGCCGCGGGAACGAACACGACATCAGCATCATTTGAAGAAGTACATGTCCCATTCGCGACTCCTGCAGCCCCTCCAGCAACCGTCCCATTACTGCTTCCCATCCCAACACCCTCCGTCCACGGCGGCTTCGTAATATCTGGAATATCCCTACACTGATTCATACCCACTACCACTCATTAGCAAATCGCCCATTTCCATACCACCTTCCCCACCCCATCATACTCACATTCCAGAAACCCCACAACATTCTTCCCCCTCTCCTCCCCCCGTGTCCTCACATCTTCGTTCAGCGCCTTGTACTGAATCGCATCCGGTGAATACCTCACATCCCTCGTCTCACCAAAATAGATCGGCAGAAGCGCCCACAACAAAATCTCCCGTCTCCCCTGCTCAAAGAAATCTTTCTCCTGGAACATATTCCCCACAACCCTGGGACACAGTTCCTGGCCCCGCGGCTTCCCAGGAGAGGTATTAAACGGCGGACAAACAAACACCTTCCCGACATCGGGCTTCGTAACCCCTGGCGCGGGGCCCTTCAAACACGCCTCCCTCTCCTCCTCCGTCAATTCCCCCTCGCCCGTGTGCGGATTCTGCTCCGTCACGCAAACGAAAACAGGCTTCCTCGGGCTAGGCTGCAAATACCTCAACGGCTTCTGGTCAATGATATCCTGCAGACGGCCGTTGATCTCGCGTTTGGCGGAGTCGCGCGCGATGAGGAGGGAGAAGATCGGGTGGTCGATTTCGAGCTGGGCGTTGGTGAGAGCGACGTTCATGCTGAGAAGGACGGAGCGGATGGCGGATTTCCAGGGCCCGTTGCAGGTGTCGAATAGGGGGTCTGGTTGGATTTAGGGTGGGGAGGGAGTGGATGGGTGAAGGGAATGATGCTAGACGGGGCGGAGGAGGAGGGCGAGGGGGAGGGGGATAGGGGACGTACGCACCGACTGGTAGCGCGGATGTCATGGATATGATGATGCAGCTCAGGAAAAGGAGCGTGGTACTGCGGGTGAGGGGTTTGAACGGCATGTTGGCAGATGTGCTTAGGAGAAGAGCTCACAGTCCATTCTTCATGAATGTACGAGCGAGATGAAGGTCACTACCGCAAACATCAAGGCCGCCATCTGAGATTCGAAAGATTACAAGAGATATATGAACATCATTGCAAAGTAGAGGAAGGGCTGTGAGGAACTTGAGTCCCAAATCGAGTAAGCGCATGCGAACATACATGTTGGTGTCTAGTAGGGACGTTGCCGTGTCTGACATACGCCACTTTTATAACCTCTCAGAGACTCAGAGTCCTGAATTCTCGCGGCTCTCGAAACGGACTTTCTGGAACATCTTGTTGTGTGGTTCTGTGTGCGCTGAGCTTTGTTGGCTGCAGATACGGGGCCATCTTTTTCTCCATGAATAGGAAACTCTTGACTTAATCCCGCCGCGACAGCGATGTCATTGGACATATTTCTATCGTTGATCGGTAGATAACAGATATTTACCAGTGGGTAATTTCGAGCGAGATATCACTCGGTTCAGTGGTAGTCGATCAACATAACATCACAATCCATCTCTCAACTCCAACGCTCACTCATCACGACGTCTCCACCACCGACGAAGGCACAGCAACCCCCTTCGAAGCCACCGCTGCATCAACACCATTCCCCTTCCCCTTCCCCTCATCCACATTCTCAATCTCCAACTCTCCTAACCAAATCTCCGTCATCGGACCAACAGTATAATACGCACTCACCTCCACACCCTTGAAATTCCCTGGACTAAACGCACCCCCCTCCGCCTGTTGTGTCGCCTCCTCCGCAGCTATCTTCAGCATGTCAATAACATCCTCCGACGTCAAGACGGCTGGTGCATGCGACCTCGCGACATTGCGCGTCACCCTGACGGCGACCTCGTGGACGGTTTCTTCGTGGAAATCTTCCGTGAGTGGATTGGTTTTCGCGTACGGACCGCATTCGAGTAGCAAACCGGCGATGGCTTCGAAGTAGTATTCTTGCCTCACCTCTGGGCCGTAGAATTCGGTTTTGAATTGGATGCGCGGTCTGGCGTTGATGCTGTCTGTCTTGAGCTGCGTGGCTGAAAGGCTTACCGAGTTGTTGGTGCTTTGACGTCGAGATAGGGTAGATGTTGTGTTCTGCGTTTGGTTGCTCGCTCCGATCGTATTTCTGTCTTCGTCGAAATACACCCAGCTCACACGCTTGTTGTTGTCTAGACAGAGAAAGACGGCTGTGAGATATCGGGTTTGCTCGACGTAGAAGCGAATGATACTGGCGAGACTTTTCAGTAGATTGAGTGCAGAGACATCATTGCCTTCAGGATATCCTGAGGATGTGATATTGACGTCTCTGTACAGGTTTGTATCAGGTTCTAGATCTTCTCTGTAGTCTGCCTTGGCTGTCTCAGCCATTACCGATATAGCATTGAGGTAAAGGCCATATGAGGGCAAGAGCCTGGTCGTGGTAGTGGCCTTGCATCTGAACTCATCCATTGACGACAAGGAATCTTGACCTGAAGCAACTGACGATCCATTCTGTGGTAGAGTAAAATTTTGGAAAATAGTGGTTGAAAGTCCGTTGACATCTTGCTGAGGTGCTGCCCAGCTATGAGCCAGAAGACACAATGAGACGATACTGGCAAATTGCCACGAAGACCACCCTGCCATCCAAATCGAAAGTGCATAGAATTACACAAGCCTTTTGAGGTGGAGATCACTTGTGATACATTGACTTCAGAAACGATGGGTGCCAATCAGAGATTCAGCAATGTGGAAGCAAGGAATTAAAGAGTCAAGCTGAGTAGCGAAATACTTTAGTACAGAAGAGGCAAACATGATGGAAAGCGTTGTTGTCTCACATACCAAACGTTTGAATATGCGGTAGCAACATCGAGGCCAATACGCGACGATGCGCGATGCCTCTAGTCATGCCACACAGATTCGCACCCATTCTGGGGAAATTCATGAGTCAAGCAAGCTGCTCTCTGGCCCAAAATTGTATGCTTTGGAAGCACTTTGAAGATACTGTGGTGCCATTCTTCCAGGTGCATATTCACTACGGTGATCCAGAAATTCACGCAATCGATGAATGTCCCTTTTTGCTTCTTCAAAGACTCTGTGCACGTAAACCTCGCTCTTCATATCGCAAAAGCCTCGCAAGCCCAATTTTTGATCCTCGAGTTTCGTCAATTCGAATCGTTGTGTGCTCATAAGGTCAACCTCTTATAAATAAATACTACTCAAAACATCTTTCTCAAAGGTTCAAACCTGACTTCTGGGATACCTTCAAGGGCCAAATGTATGTTGTATCCAAGGGCCCAGAGGCCTTTGCATCTGCTTGAAAGACCTGCCTTCAATAAACATAACTTCGTCGTAGTATTTCGCCGATGCTACTCAAACGCGTGGCGTGACCTTCACGATGTTTGGCCAGGCGACCATAACCCCAGCTTACCCCCATTCTCCACAGCTTCAACATAGTCTCTTCAGCTGTAAAGCAGCGACTGAAAGTCGTCAAACCCACCTGGGCCATGTACCAATCATCTGGACGGATAGACTTCGTGGCTTCCCTCCTTTTGCTGGTGCAAAACGGTCTCAACGCTAAGTCATCCATCAATCACACACATATAAATCTGAGAAGCAGCGTCCAATCACGATGCAAACTCATCAAAAATGCACTCCTCTAATTCTCCCTTTCCCTCAACTCCGTCGCTAAGATACCTCGCCGCCGACACATACATCTCGCACTGTTCCGGCGGCCAAGGTCTGCTCTGCTTCTTCCCTTTCAAAACACCCATCTAATCGTAAAGCAGGCCACGCACTCAACTTCCTTCTCACCTCCTTATTCGCCAACCACGAACACACAGATTTCCTCCACTGGTACCGCCATCAAATCCGCGCGCGTATCTTCAAGAAACATCAAAGTCAACGGCACCAGCCTCTCAACAGCACAGCGTACCGCGCCCTACTCCTACGCGTAGACTGGACCTCTCTCGCGTCAATCACCGAGTTCCAAATGCTAGCGCAACCGGTGCCTAGAGAGGAGAGACCAGCGCCCATTCTCCTCGGCACCGAAAGCCGAAGGGAGTACTTCCTGGCGCCGGCACCCTTGACAATCGATGCGGTCACGCGGAAGGAGTTGTGCGATAATCGTGAGTGGCAGCATGAGTACATCTACCGCATTCGAAGTGTGGATGAGGAGGCGCCGGCGCCATTTGAGTACGGGTACTGCCTAGGCACTCTTCAGGTCGGTGTGCCTCATCCTTATTCTGAGATGCCTGAAGGGTCAAGGCTTTCATGTGTGACGCACTTCGAGGTATGGTTAGAGGTAGGGTCTGAGGGTAAAAGGAAGGGTGTTTGGCTTGTGCGCAACGGGAATCGTGGGTCGTTTAATTTCCCCTTCGATCCTTTGCTTCCGTGGCGTAGTGTTGGAGGGCCGGAGAATGGAATGCCTGAGTTTCAAGTGTTGAGGATCTTGGAGCATGTGAGTGAGCTTAGGAACACGGATAGGCGTACTGGTGGTAGCTTCTTTGACGGGCTGAGAGACACAAAACTCTTCTCGACTGGACCGGTGAGTCGGTGGGCCCTTTCGGTCGATGAGGTAAATGAGGCTCTACTTAAGCCTCTGCATGACGACAGCGACCCGGCTCTCTTGGTTGAGAGAATCGATATTTAGTAAGGGGCCACCTTGCTCGTAGATATGGGTTGGTAGAGGATAAGCCGTTACCGCACGTGATATCTTAATAGAGAAAAGCCGCCGCAAGGTTCCTCAACCTGCACCGTGCCTAATTCAGTCAGCAAATCAACGCCCACTTGCACCCATCTCAGTGAAGTCATTTCCGGGCCACAGGCCTTTGTCATGGTGCAAACAAATCTATTGCAATAAGGAGTATCTAGCAATGCTCACACGAAACCCACCATTGAATCATCACATCGTCTAAAAGGAGTGTATCCATAGCTAGCCAACGCACGCAACCCCACATCAATCCGTCCATCCATACATAGAGCAACGACTTATCAAATTGGTATCTTTTGCGGGTCCGGTGTAAACAATCAAAGCAAAATGCACAATCTTTTCTCTTCTCGCGTCAGGGGGTATTTCGAGGGTATTTTGATATTCCATAGCATAGCATAGCCAGTCAGTCATATTGTGGTATCTCTGTTGGAAAAAGGCGTCATAGTTTTCAGCAAAATAAAGGCAAGAAAGAGCTAGTGAGAACGATGTGACCCTATCGGGGCCGGGTATCCATTGGTAGAATGAGAAGTGCTGGGACGTCCGCTGTCGTGTGACATGCGGGGATCGTAGCGTGGGGTCATGTCGCCATTGATAAGTCCATGATGGAAGGGGAGCTTTTGCTCTGATTTGTTTTCAAAGCGAAGGGGCCATCCTCCGTTAGTGAAGGCTTCTTCACCCTCGGGTAGATTAATGCCACTATCGTTCCAGGGATTACGGTAGCCGCTGTCGCGGGACTCCATAGAAATGAGAGAGGCGCGCGACGCATTTGCAGAGGCTTGCTTGAAAAACGAGCCGGGTGAGTTGGACTGATTCTTGCGTCGGTCAAAGTAGGAGGAGATAGAGGAGATGCTGCCTGGTTTGCGGATCTTTCCGAAGAGGGAACCGCGATCGCTGACATCGTCACCGAAAGTCGAACGGGTGGGAGAGTCAGTGCCTAGAGGAGTAGGCGCATTGTGGAGCAACTTAGAGTCGAAGAATGGTAGAGAATCTTCAAAGGAGTCGGATTTAGGCCTGGGGATAGCTCCTTTGACGGTAGATGCATCCAGACCTTGGGAGATGAGACGCGAGACAAGGAAGTCAATGGCATCCTTGAGCCCGCCAGCGTTATTACGCGTGTATTGCAGCAAGAGACGCTCTTCAGCAGCTTCAGGCTCGGGTTCCTCACTGAGCTTCATGTTCTCTAGCTTAGAGTCATTGCGGACTTCCAGGTCAACTTCGTAGGAATTTTTCAGGGTAGGTCTTAGGTCTTGTTCAAATTCTGCAGATTTGAGGAATTCGCGCAACTGAGGTGTTGCGCGTAGAGAGATTTCGTGGCTTTCCGGCACCATTCCCTAGAATATATCAATAACTGCCAATCAATGATTTAAATCACGCAGGGACAAGACGCACCAAGAACTCATCAACAGCTTGCGGCACCTGATACTCAGGCCCGGAAATGGTAACGACGTCAGAAGCCATCTCTGTGGCAGGAAAATCAATTTTGCAATTCCATTTCTTTTCAAGGTCTTCGATCTCGTTCATTCGGGCAATGAGTTGTCTATGGTACAGCCGGTTGATGACGACGGTCTCGGAGACGAATTCCGCGTCCTTAAGAACACATCATCATGTCAGATCTCAGATATAAAAGGTAAACTAAGGAGAAGGGGTCTCTTGCTGCATTGCATCCTCATCGCCTTCTTCTGGATATTCATCAGGGTTACTGACCACTTTCTCAACCATGTCCATGATCTCCTGCTTGACCAACTCTAGAGCCTGAGCGTTGCGAGCTGGTGTCCGGCAAATGACATTGTCAATCTTGATATCGTCGTCTTCTTTTCCAGCCGCTCCACGATCCATTGCATTCGAAAATTTGACGAAGACGGAGTACCGTTTCATAATTCGTTGGATGTGTTGGCCTCCAATGCCGATGATTCGCTTGTGGTATTGATCAGGGACGTGAAATGAGATTGAAGCAGGCATCTCTTGTTCCACCAACTCCAGCCCGCTTTTTGTTGCATTGTACTGAGAGCCACACACGTCAATGTAGAAGTTGTACTCATTGAAGCCGTCGAAAATAATTTGCACATTGCCTTGATACGATCGTCAGTCGAGAGACTCCGCGCTTTATGCCCAGACGACTTACTCTGCCCCATGATTTTGTTGATCTTGCCATTCTTCTTTCCACTGACAAATTCTTTGTGCTCGTTTGCAAGCTCGATCTTGACCCGAATGTGGCACTGGGCGCGTTTGACAAATGGGATCTGCTGGATCACCATCATGGCAGCCTTCACTGCATCATCGGAGCCATTTATGGCGAAAGTCAGCTTGTCGAAACTGATCTCCGTACCTGAATTGGTGCATATATCAGACAGCATGGTACGGATTTCTGCTGGCTGTGGAGATCGCATAGTGGAGCCACCCGTAGACACTGGGTCCATAAGATGCCACGAGGCACTGTAAAATTGACCGGCCTTGCACTAGTTAGTATAGCGAGAATAGCAAGGGAAATAGACAGTCTTACCAAAGCCATGATTTCTCGTATCGTGCGCTCAACATGTAGAATCTCTGTTCCTTGAACTCTTATCGCGCCACGCTGGCTACCCAATTGGGGGATGAGCACGTATGTACCGTTTGTTTCCATGATCTTGCGGACTTTGTCTAATCGATCCAGTAAGATGCTATCAATCTTGTGTGCTGAAACCATGACGTCTTTGATGAAACATTTTGTTTGTAGGACCAGTTCACGCAAGCTCTTCTTGGCCATCTCTACGTTATGGGTGTTTTCGCCCGTAATGTATAGCTCATCTTCTCCTCGCTTGTTGACATTCGGAGGTGTATAACCATAGATCTTCGGAAATGGTGGGGGAAATAGATCGCCGTGTTCGTGTGGGCCTCGATACTGCGGACATGTTTCCGTAGGCGACCGCAGATAGCTTGATGCAAAGACAGCTCAAGTCTCATTACACTGAGGGTGCGTGAAAGCTAAGAGCGTCAGCTTGTGGGCTTTCCTTACAAGGACGACATTACTCACAATCTGGTCAATCATAAGTAAGACACGGGTCTTCGCATGCTCTGAGCTTTCCGGGTCACCGTAGATGGCAACCCGCAGTCTGTTATCGAATCTCATGCTCGTTCCATTGCCGAAGCTAGCACTGACACTTTCTTGGTCTTGGGGGGTAGGGTTGAGGACGAAAAGGTCCGTGCCGGTGTAATTGGCAATTCGATCAAGATATTCAAGGACATTGTCTCTGACGCCGCTGTTGTCTTCAGTCATGATTAAATTTGTGTCAATGTCGACGACTGCACATTTCTAGGGCCACGTAAGCGCCTGCCAAAATTCTTGGGGGAAAGCAGTATACCAGCATGATGGGCGATTCATTCAATATCTTCGCTCTCAGCTGTTGCACGATCTCTGCATCGCCAGAGACGCAGACATTTGTGATTTGACCCTTGATGGGTGTCTGTAGCAGTGGAATGGCTTTTGGCTCTGATGAGGTCACGGCAGCTTCTACTCTCCCGAATTGATTGCCCTCGGTCAATACGCGGCACATTCTCCTGAGCTGCTCAATGTTGTTGTGGTGCACTGGCAATCTATGAATGGGCGTGCCCTCTTCCGTGCCCTCCGGGAAGGTCCATCTCTCCAGAGCTTTGGGGCTGGCGTGGATTATTTCGCTGAAATCAGGTCCGGCCAAGCTCGAGGAGAAGGGTACATTGAAGGAGAGGTGGACGATGGTGTCGGAAGGAGTCATTGGGGACATGATCTGGCCATTCATGGGGCGTTTGGAAGGCTGGCCCATGGAGAGCTCCATAGGACTCGGCCTCGACATGAGCCCAGTCTTCTCGAGACCATGACGTGCTTGACCGGTGATGTTGGTGAAGCGCTGCATCACGACCTGAGACCACTGTCTCCCTTTCCTTCCTCCTAAAAATGAAGGAGCAACTAGCTGGAGCTATGCATGGTCGAGGAAGGCCGGGAAAGAGGAGGTGTAGGACAAGGTGGGAGGGATAGGCGCCAAGGACCAGAATGTCACGAATCGCGAGCGAGCGGGCTGTGCAGATAGGGTAAGGCTAAGATGACAAACCCCTAAATCAGGAGAACTCGATGCTTCTTTCACCCAGCTCTTCTGCTCACCACCCGTTCTCCAGCCAGGCTCTCAATTTAATTTCCAGACGGAAAGAGAGACATTTACGCACGTGTCTAGTGATGATTTGTAGGAACACTAGAGTAGAGTCTGCGTTGATTCTATAGGCGCAGATACGGGCGTGAGGGGGGGATCGACGGTCGCGCTCGGATACCGGACGCCGTAGCCTGGAAATGGCATAAATCCCCCCATAGTGGCGGGGGCTAGGGCACTTGAGTGACCTACAAATAGACCGGGGAAGACCAAGGGGGGGGGGCCTCATCAAAAAGCAGGTAACTCTTCCAGAATTCAGCCTTTCCCTTGCGAGATGGAGGTCGTCATGGCTGTTATGATGCATATAAAACTTGCATTTGATCATACTTTGATTCTGGTAGAGGGTTCTCCTCTCACCGCCCTCGGACCCTCATTGCTTAGTGCTCACCCTGACCTAACGAATGGATATGGCACCAGGGCATAACTGCCGGTAAGTCTCCAGCGTCGTGCAGTAGTCGAGAACATTCAATCGAAAACATCACTCATGAACCTCTCGTTCCTCAACCCTCTCCACCACTCCTCTGCCTCCCTTCCTCCTTTCTCGTCTCCAACCACAAATCCAAGCACTTCTGCTTCACAGCCTCTGCCACGCGTCCATGCCCACACACAAAGATCTTCGCCCCCTTACGAACCAAGTCCTTCACCTCCCCTTTCTCTTTCCAAAATCTGTCCTGCACATACTGACACCCTCCCCCTCCATTCCTCTCATATTGCGAGAAGGCATATCTCACCTTCACCGCGCCCTTCTCCCCCCAATCCTTCGACTCTGCAGCATATAATGCATCTTGTTCTGGATGTCTACACCCCACGAACAACACCGCTGGAGACAAGTCCTGTCCCGCCTCCCACAGTCTTGCGCGCTCTTGCACGAAACCACGAAATGGCGCAACGCCTGTTCCAGCTACCACCATGCTAACCGACACATTTCCAAAATCAGTCGGTAGATGGAAGGACGGGTGCGAAGGTTTCACGTTCACGTGCACGTGATCGCCAGGCTGAAGATTGGAGAGGAAGGTGGGGGCGACGCCGAGGAACCGTTTGTCATTACCTTCAGGCGCGGACAATGCGGGCAGGTCCAGCACGCCGACCGTGAACGTGCAGATCGTAGGGTTTGCGAGTGAGGAGGAAGAGATTGAGTATTGGCGGACGCGGAGCTGGGGGAGCATGGAGACATAGTCGGCAAAGGGTAGGAAGGTAGATGAGTACGTTTCTAGTTGGTCGAGGACGGTGGTGCGTTTGGTTGTTATTTCTACATTGAAGGCGTTGCCTGAGAGCGCTTCCAAGTGTTTTCTAGATGTCTCGTCAGGGGTAGCAGCTATGAGCTTTTTGAGATTCTGCAATTGACGTCTTAGAGAGACAGTAGGTGAGTCATTTTGGGTGGGGAAAAGTTATTCTTCTAGTAGTAGGCTGGCCAAGCTCAACATAGGATGCAACAAGATCGTACATGGACAAAGGGAAATCAGACGGCAGAGCAGTCTCGCCCGACTTGCAGTGACAACGGCAAGATAGCAAGATAATCACCAGCTTTGTAGTCCATGTCCGTTGGCAGCTGTATTTCGATATGGCGCTTCGCTGCAGTCGTGCCCTGGTTGAAAATCTCCTTTTTCAAGACAATGGCTTCTTTCACATCTTGACGAAGATGCGGCGATAGAAGCGTTGTAGCGATGTCGAGATTGATCCTTCCCTCCACCAAAGGTTTTGCTTAAAACAGGCCAGAAGATGCTGTCCTCCCACTTCTCAAAGTCATTGAGGACGTCGTTGTTTGCGGCATCGGCATTCCCTTGCTCGGCAGAAGGGAGATCCCCCTGCTTCTTCCGACGCAGCATGAACTACTTTCGAAATGCGCTGAAATGTATCCTTCTAATCGCCTGAGCGGTCATAAGTAAAGTCTTTAGTCTGTCAAAAAACAGTTTACTCACGATTTCCGTAGCCAAAAACCGCATACTGAACCCCTTCGAGAGTCTTATCGCCAATTTTATGGACCCACCTAACAAAATGACCACCATTATCAGGAGGCTCCCCTTCGTAGCTGGAAGTAATAATGATGAGGACTGGGCGATCCTTTGGCATCGCCTCATCTAAGGACTTGACCTCAGCCTTGTAACACGATCCATGAAGATACTGGCCGCTGCAAACCTTCGTCAGCCGAGGTCAGCGTCTTCTGAAATACCTCTGGTGCCCCTTTCTTTCCCTGAATGTAATCTTGTGAGACAAGGGTCTCGAAGGTCAAATGGACAATGGTAGATTATTGTTTTCGAGCTACATACGCTATGAAGACATTAGATTATCAGCTATGAATATACAAGAGAGATGTACAATGTTAGAACCGTAGTTTCCCAGCACCACAGGACGCTGTGTGCCATCCAAGCTTCTAGCCAACAAGCAACGAATAGGATTATCCACATCATATTCTTACAACTCTTCTGCTTCACCCTTCGCTGATCGGGCGCTCCGTTTGCTTGTTGATGCATATCCTCGTAATCCCTTTGCTCCTCTTCCTGAGGCGCATATTGATACAAACCATCTTGCTGCATTTTATGCTGGGTGGGCCGACTGTAAGCCGCCTCAGGGCGGACACTCATTTGACGGATGGCGTTCGGAGTGTTGTCTCGATGTTCTCCCAATCTAATGATACGAGGTTGCTGCGGTCGTACACTTGAAACACGGGAGACATGCTCCGGCTCATAACGAGATTGCAAGGTCCCCTCGCCTTGCACGTGCTCACGAACACCAGGCATCTCATACCGTGGCTCAGCTCTGGGCTCGTATTGGACGTAACGAGATTCGTTATCGAAGGCTATCTCGTCAGCTTCATCTTGGTCTAGCTGAATGATCCGCCTTTTCTTGGGCGGGGTCGAATACTCGGCAAATTGTGGCGATGTAGGAGAAACGAATTGTTGAACATAACGGCCCCTCTCATCAACAAGAATTGGCTGAGCTTGCTGGTAAGTATTTTGTGTGGTTACGAATTCATTGTTAGGGTTGAACTCCATGTGACGGTCTTTCGGTGCCATCGAAAGAGATCGCTCAGTCGGAACGGGAGCTTCCATGTACCTGTTGCCGTATTGGTCTACTACGATGCGGCGGGATGGAGGAGGCATCGCTACAGATGCACGGCGTGTTGGTGAAAGCGGGATCTGACGGTCTTGTATTGAGTTCCGAGGCTCACGTAACTGCGGCTGCACCGATGCCCGATATTGAGGTGGTGGTAGTGGTCGTTCTGCATTTGGGACGTACTGAACCTGGGACGCAGCTCTAACCACATGAGACTGAGCATTTGAATGCTGCACGTCATAGAGTTCTGGAGATTGGGGAGGCCGCATATTTCTTGTACTTACGACCCTACGGAGATCGATATCCCCGTTGGTAGCACGACGCTGTTCGTTTCGCGAGACGTTGGATTGTGATTGAGGAGTCAGAGGCCTGGGCTCTTGGTATGTGGGGGCCTGAACGTATGGTCCGTCGCCACTGTCGAATGAATATCTTGCTTGAGAATTCGGGGCCGGGCCTTCTATATACTGGGGCACTTGTTGAAGCTGTCGATGATTAGGTATGTAATTTGGTGGAGGCGGAGACACAGGCTCATCCTTGACACGAATCAAAGGTGAGGCAAACTGTTCGCGTCGGGGAATAACATTTCGGTGGTCGTTGCCTGGGTCGACTCTTCGTCTCTTTTTTGAAACTGATATTTGTGGACTCTGCTGGGCGGTTACAATATTGATATCTGAGCCTTCCCAGGACTGCACTTGATTATGATAAGGCTCTAGTGGCTGCTCATGAGGAAGTCTTGCGACTGTAAAAGGAGAGACACGGGCGGGTTGTGGGGCATATGGGGAAGCTATAGTATTCCTTATCACGCGTACCGGCTGCTATATTCAGTAAAATTGATCGTCAGCTTCCGATATTGCAGAGAGAGGGGTTATGGGGGATACGCACGACGCCATTCAAGTCTTTGCCATTTACTTCACGCCTACTCCGGTCTCGACCAAATTCATCTATATTAGGCCCCTGTGGCTCTCGTGGCTCGGGCACTTCTTCAGGCTCTCTCTCAATAGCTCGTGGCACAACGGCAGGTTTTGCAGGGTTTGCAGGATTCGCAGGTTTCTGCGATTCTTTCAGCTGACGCAATTGATCTTCTAGATCAGCAATCTTGGCTGCTTGTGTAACCTGCGTCTGATTGGCAATACGAGCAGAAGTTCTGCGAGGTTGAGGAGAAGGAGCCTTTCGATTCGCCTGCTCTTGAGCTCGTCCATTTGGTTTCGGCTCTTCATCGAATTCTACTCTCTTGACTATAGCGGGGTCATGCGAGAATGTGCATTTCTCTCCGTATGGGCAGGGCTTCCCATCTCGAAAGAATCTGCAAGCTTTTTGAGGACGCTGCCATGTCTTTTTGGAAGTATCCATTTCTTCTGCGCTCGATGTAGAATTCATCTGACTAGAGTAGAACGTGTTCTCGTCAAAGGAGTCACTAGATGACTCGTCGTGATTAGCAACATCACTTTGTTTATAGGGCTTGACCAGCTCATGAGCTTTTCTCAAGGTTTCTGTCACATCGAAGTCTGCCACAACTTCTAGATCATGCGGTTTTAACTTTGCAAGCGCCTTCTTGTGCTGGATCTGTTCTTCGAGCATACGCTCCAGTTCCCGCCTCTTTTCTTGTAGTACAACTTTGGCATCAGGAGAGCCAGCGCTTCTGGGCGCCTGGTTGGGCTTAGAGGAAATTGACGGTTTCTGAAGATCAGTAGACACAGGAGCTGAAGCAACGCTCGAACCAGGTGCATGCGCATTCAAACCGTTTGGCAATGCAGGCCTTGAAAGAAAATGATCGGTAGGGGCGGACAAGCCAGCTTTCAAATGTTCTGGGACGTGAAAGCGCGGATGTTTACCCGCAACAATGTCTGCTCGTAGCTTGCTGAGCTGTTCTCCCAGCTGCACGACTGACATGTCTACTGGTACATCTCCCTGGCGTAAGCCATTCGGAAGGTCGACCGCAGCAGCCATAACAAGCAATGAGACGAGTCTCAAGCTTCAAGTTGTCGCGTCCTAATTCAACTCTTAATCTGTTATCGAAACATGTTGACTATTAATTTGCAGGTTGCAGCTACAGCGAACGAGCGTGTTGACGTTTATGATTAAGGAGGCAGGGGATGGAAACGAGTACTTTGCTTCATCTCCGGATACGTGCGCTAAAGATAGATGTGGCTAGGGTCATCTCGCTGACTAAGCCTCTTTTGCTTCCATATTGCCGATTTGGAAGCATAGGGTAAGCTTATATTGATATTCAAGAGCCCGTTGCTGGACAATAACGAGATACGCAAATCATCTAATCACTGCTATCGAAGGTTCAATTTACACAATGAAGCCGAGTAGCATTCAGATCAGGCTCTAGAATATTCTATCATTCTCGATCTCGCATGCTAGCCTTGGAATTCATCTGCCGTCTCTTCGGAAGCCGGAATCTATGCTGGAATGCAAAGAGCGCTCGCCGCCGATGCATCTGATGAAATTCGAAATGTTGGTGAACATCTGATGCAAAATTGCACGCTGTCGACGGGTAAGGAAATTCGTACATAATCGTCATCACGTGGCTCGCCGTTCGTGACCGCCTTGTGCGTGGGCTTGCCAGCCTTGTCGTGCTCCACCTCCTATGCATCTAGTATTTTTATGACGTTATCACGCATACTAGACGCTCCTCTCGCGACGACTTCTCCTATTTGACCTTGGACTCTCGCTGCCCTTTGTAATGCCCGTACTTCTCTGCCTTCTTCAACCTTTTCTGATGCCTCTCCTCCTTTTCCTTCTCCAACTCACCCATTTCTTTTCGCGATTCCTGCACTTCTTGCCACTCGGAGTATGCACCCTTGATGCCGAGAGCTGCAATACCGATTGCCGCTGCATCTTGTACCCGAGCCTTGTTCTTCTTCTTTCGAGCATCTTCGGGTGACATTTCACCCTTCATAACTTCCATGGCGCGTTTGTCTCGAGCTTCCATGGAACTGTATACACCATGTGCTGCATGTATTGTGGCCACAGCAGCCAACCCAGCTGTCAACCATTCTTTCCCTCTCATCTTACGAGCACGGCGTTCATCTTCGCTGGAAGAGCAAACATCGGAAGACGACGACGAGGATTGAGATGATGAGCGTTTGCTGCGTCCAGCAACGGTCGAGTTACCATCACGGCGAGCCACTTGATTACCGGACCCGCCATGCAGACTTTCACTTCTCCCGTTGGAAATATAGCCAGCAGGCTTGTATCGTGCAGGGGTACGATCGTCGTCGTATCCTCGATCATAGCCGCGAGAGGAAGGTGCAGCAGTACTTCGGCTTGAGCGAGGACGATCAGCATTGCGACGACGCTCCCGGTCACGGGATCGAGAGGAAGAGCTCGAGCGCGACCGGCGTCTTCGGCCCTCAGCTACCGCGCCAGCCCCGGCTCCAAGACCCAAGGCAGCCAGTGCCCGATCCCCGAGAGACTGACGGCGTTTGCTCTTGCTTCGGCGCGGTGGCGAGAGTGAAGCTTCGGAGTCGGAATAGTCCCTACGACTGCCTTTTGACACTCAGGATCGGTCACAAGAAACACATAAGCCGTGACTCACCTCTTGATCGGTAGTCTCGACCATCGCGACCCACAGATCTTGTGCGACCATCACTTCCACGAATGACTCGCCTCGACTCCACGACCTCTCCGCGGTCACGGTCCGAACGGCGGTTGCGGTAGCCATCGGTTTGGGAGCGTCTCGGACGCTCATAATAGTCCTCTTCCTCGGTAGAATACTCCTCATAACCGCCTCTGCCGTTGTTCCTCATCTTCCTGACCTTGTGGAAACCAGCTCTGGCTTTGTCCTTCACGGGGTCATAGACTTTCTCGTAATTCTCAGTGATGGCCGGAACACCTGTCATAATGAGTTCAGCGAAGTCCTCCGCCATTTTGATTGATGTGGGCTGCTAATTGCCCACGGCAACAGTCAGTGTTCGCGAGTGGCAACTGTCAAGGAAAAAGAAAACTAGAGATTAGCGTACTCTTCAGAGCGAGTTTGAGGGCGGTCTCCGCCATGTCAGCCGCTGGATCGTAATGCTTGAGGTGATTGGATGTCGATGTAAGATAGCAAGTAGGATGTGGCCGGCGTGCAGCAGCTCGACAGCCAAGAAGAAAATGGAAAGCAACTTACTTATACGCGGGGTAAGAGTGAATGTCAACGGCCTAGTTCACTATGTTTTGCCAGCTGGGGGATAAGCGGGGGTCACGTCATGTGTTCACGGTGTGGTGGAAATTGTGTCTCCGAGGATTACACGATGCGTTTGGGCGTGTTGGTTAGTGGGTTGGAAATGCCGGGGGAGGGACAAATAATTTGATGAGAAAGCTGGCGAGACTCTGATTTGTGAAAAATCGGATCTGGCGAGTGAGAAGTCCCCCGCGCTAAACCAGTCTGTGCCAAGCCCTCTTCCGAAGGTCGAAAGTCACTGAACGACGGGACCAGATCTTCCTTCCAGGCTATCACAAGCTATCCAACCGGCTGTTGCTTGTTTGACTTTAGACTCCTTAGGCACCATGAGGCACAGCCTCTAGCCCAACCTAATTCAAGTCTCACTCACGTGTGACGATGTGAAAGGGAGCGAGGAGAAGGAAAATACAATGCAATTTGGCCACTTGAAAGTTGCATACGTCATCAGGAACCGTGGGCGAGATCTGCGGTGACCCAAGTATTACTATCTGCACGATAGAATCATCGACTTTAGACGTTTGGAATTCCGCACACAGCAACCACGGAGCTGATTATCATAGGGCGGTCAGAAAAGCCTGAACGACGCAGTTTCAAATGGGTGGGAGAGAAGTCACTCCTTTGACCGCAGGTCGTGAAATTTACCAAGAATGGCTCTGGCAAATCCACCTTAAGGGATGGATGCTCTCATAGGTAAGGTTCGTATCCGTTCCGCTACGGTCTTGGTCGATAAGGTAGCCTGAATGTCATGTTCAATGACACCTTGACCCACATCCTATCATCGTCTTTGAGAAGCTAGGTATGCTTGGTTGTTAGGACACGACGGCCTATGGGACATAAGAGCGGTCCATGAGTCCGTCAGCTGCTGGTAAGGGATGGACCCACCGGACAAAGAGTATATTCATTTCGATACCATTTTTCTGACAGAAAGAGCGGCTTGGCCATTGAAGAGTCGATTTCTTTGCCCACGGGAAATCAGTTGCAAATGCTCATATTGGTCAAACAATCGATCTTTGCGCGCTACTTCCCATCCAGTAATCTACCCAAAGAAGTCCCGAATCGAGGACCCCAACTTACTTGCCATCAATCACATAGAGGCTCAGTCTCCACCACCGTTACCACTGACTGCGATCTTCGGAACACACCTCAGTATACCCACACCCTCATCAAGTTCCCTTGACTGGATCTACGCAGTACCCTTAAGTCATGTGCTCCCCTCTCACGACCTCATCGTTGCCTGGACCGGTACGACCGACGACTCACTTGCATCCCCCGTCCTCGCCTTCGCAGTCACGCCCCCTCTCCCTCTACGCTGTCCATTGATCAATATATCGAACAGAATTTCCCTGTACCAAAAAACACGAACGTCAGCTATCTTCTCATGATGGAAATGTGCGCGCTTTCCCTTCATTTTCATCTCCCCATCCCTTCCACTTCACTTCTCTCATCGCCACTCACCCAAACCCAACCTCGTATTCCTCCAACTCCTACCCTTCCCCCTTCTGCATCCTCAAAACGGAGCCCCCAGCCTCCCCTCCCTCATCAAACAGCAGCCTAAAAGGAAAGAAGAAACAAGGAATAAGAAATGAGGAATCCAACATACGTGCTCAACTTCCGATTAAAAACCTGCAACCCCAACGCCTTAAGCGTATATTCCAACTCCAACCACTTCAACCCACCCCCGACCAACACCGGCTCCACAAAAATCGAATGCGTTAGTCCCGCCGTAAACGTGATCGTGACACCCGACCCCGGCAATGACTGCGCTGGCGGCAGCGACTTGTCGTACATGAGCGCCAAGCTGGCGACGAGGCCGACGAAGATTTGGTCTTCGGGCAGGGGGCCGGCGGTGGAGACGATGCTGATGGTGACGGTGCCGGCGGTGAGGGGGGTGGGGCTGAGGCGGCGGAAAGGGGCGTGAAGTCCGCGAGGGCGGTTGTGAGGTTTGTAGAGGCTGGGATGGGGTTGATTAGGGCGGAGACGTCGCCATTTAGTTGGATTTGGGTGGTATCTTGGGGTTGGGGTTGGGGCTGGGGGAGGGCATGTGTTAGGGGGAGGAGAGTGAAGAAGGTGGCGAGAGCGGCGAGGGGAGTAGGCTTGTGCATGCTGGTGGAGAGGGGAGGGCAAGTTGTTTGTCAGGAGAGAGGTGGAGTGGAAGATCGCTTGATCAGAATAGTGAGGCAGAGCAGGAGAGATGTAACGATACGGCAGCGGCAGTAGTCGATCAATGCAGCAGAGAAACGGGAGCTGTTGTACTCTCGTTTTCACAAAAAGGACCATCACGTTCAAGACTCAGGACTATTAAATCGAAGATTCCCCAAACACACACGCGCAAGACATATCCACAAAATTTATAGCGCCAAAGTTGGCGATATGCGAGCCATCCCATCCGATTGGGCACATCACTCGCCCCTACACCACTTCGAATAGCATTCCGTGCTCAGCGAGACACAGGTTTTAAGAATCAGTGGAGAATCTGCGCGGTTCTTTTCGCTGCTTTGGGTGTGCGATTTGTTCGTCGTCTTTCGCGTAATCTTGCAAGCGAGCGGTAAGTGATTTTGACGGTTTTGACGCTGGAGGTGGCCAGTAGCGATGCGCTTTTAAATCAGATTTGTAGATTGAAGGGGAAAGTATGTTGGGGAGTTGGGAGAGCACGTGTGGTCTGGGAGGTATTGATTGGTACATTGGGATTTGGGGATTTTGGTATAGTAGTCTATGAAGCTAATCTTGATCGGATATTATGTATTACTTCGCACATATCCTTTTTCGAATTGTTGGGGACCCAGCGTTTCTGCGCGTCAGGTCAAGCGTATGGTGATATTTCTGGATTTGTGTGGGTCTTTGAGGTGTCCTAGTGACAGGGAGAGGCTGCGAAAGTGTTTGCTCGTCTGGACAGGAGAGGGTAGTTTGAGGAAACGTATATAGTAGGTAGATGACTCTGCAGACAGCATTAGCGAAGCCCATACATATTTTGCAAAGGACATGCCGATTTAACTTTATTCTTCACCAGCTTCTTTTCCTTATTTGTCTTGCGCGCAATGGTTGTGCTGTTTGCGTTTGATCGCACGTGGTCCAATGCCGTGGCATTAACCCAGGCTTCTCCGGGTCTTGCTGTAGACTGCAGATTCCACTGCACGCATCACACACATCCTTGCACCGATTCATCATATCGGTCCTCGCCATCTGTAGCAAAGTCTGATCTGCATCTGGGGAGTAATAGCTGAGCGCTGCACCAGTCCCTACTATTTCGCTACATGGTTGTCGTGACTGGGCGTATGAGAAGTTGATTGAGAAGACGAGGAGGATGGTAGCGACGAGCAGATGCATCGCGGTTTATGAAAAAAGCTGTAGTGAATGTTTTCCTGGTGTGTCAACGAGTGAAGCAGCTGGGCTGCGAAGCCAGATTGCCCAAAAGCCCCAACAAGAGGTCGGCTGGGCAAAACTTATGTTGGATCGAGGATTCCACCTATGCCACAATTGGCAGGATGGAGGGGGCACAGCCGCAACAAAGCCGCATGCTAATTGAAATCGGAGAACATGCTTGATCGAGTATGGAGTTAAAACAAAGAGGGAAAGCCAGGTAGCGACAGAAAGAGTACAGGTTACAGGTGCGTAAGATGAAAGAAGACTGTACCTTTCTTATGAGGTGGACGTGGCGTACAGAAGCCTAGAGACAGGATAGACTGCTTGCCAACGTTTCCCTATGCCGCGAGCAACACACCCCCAGCGTTGAATACTTGCAATTAAGGGCCATCGGCATCACTGGTCTATGGGCAGTTGCTTGCTCTAAAGATATTCGTATCTTGAGACGTGCGGTAGAAGGATAGAAGCGCAAACAGGCGGGATGCCGACTTCTCGATCAATCTTCAAGCGATGGTGCATAGCATGCATAATACAGTCGGGGTTGCTATTATTGTTGTCGTATGCGACAACAGCCAGCTTTGTTCAGTCAATTGCAACCATATGGACGCAGACTGAGACTGACCCAAGTGGTGTTATTGGGGTCGTGGAAATCTTCCGACTCTCAAGCATTTAAGCTCAGGCGAGCTAGGCCATTGTTTACCTAGCGTCAGGGCAGCCACCAGCCAACGATGCCCTAAAGCTGTGCCACTCTGATTTCCCCTGAAGTCCCTCTAGTTCGTCGTCCTCCAGGGCACTTTCTCGGGGACTACCTCAAACATGCTGATGTCTCATCATCAGACCCTGTCAAAACTCTCCAGAAGATTGAGCCGTGGATGACGACGACCAATACGAAAGCGTACAAGCTTGCGACAGGTGTGACAGCTTCACCTGCAGAATGGCGGATGAAGTGGCCGTACGCCTCATCGATGGCTTGGGCGCTTCCTGGCCTGGTCATTGGAGGTCGACCTACAAGCATGATTTCCCTTCCCTAAGCGCCCAATTACTCCTCCCACCGAATCAAGCTGCACGCATACATCAGCTTGGTGACTCTGAATAACAGTCATGCTGACTTGAAGAACAACACATCCTCTGGCCCGTCTCTGTCTCGATCTTATGCAATCTGCTGTTGGTCCAATCCGGAGGCTTTTGCGTCGTCGCAGAAGAAAGCCGTGCCGCACCTCACATTCACCGTATCCCACGCTGTCTCCCCCATTGGCGCCTGTCTCGATCCTGTGGCGTGACATGTCTCGTCTTGGGCTCTAGTCTGAAAAACTCTTCCCCACTGTTCGTGAACGACGCCCAGAGATGAGGAGGCTGTTTCGGATTGGGAGCCTATATGGCCCCCGACCCGTCCGCCTCGTGCGTGGCCCTCGCTCTTCGTGCAATTGTTCAATGATGTGTGAATAGGTTCGTTGGGGGGAGTTTCTGGCCAGGTGCAATTGAGTTCCTCTGAATCTTTTGCATCATGGAGCGTTTGAATGGATATGTCATGAGGGCGCACACGACCTGGCTGGCCAGCTCCATCACCTGTTGTTTTCCAAGGTCGCACGACGAGCCTGAAGATGGATTGGAGAAGCTTGATGATCTGGAGTCTGGGACTTCGTCGAGAAGGCAATCGCCCGTCCCATTATCAAGTAAGATCCACAGCGCGACGACATCGGTTTATGCTAACATCATGGCAGAATACAACACCAAAGCCACTGTGACTTGCCAACCACCACAGCATGCCCCGCCTCGCCTCCACCAACGTACCAATTCTCATATCGTCGAAGAGCACAATGCCTACCAAGACCTACGGCGCATCTCAAAACGAACATCCGCCCCACAATGGTTCAAAGAGGGCCAGGGTTTGACGTCTTCGGCCACTGCAATGGCGCGCAGAATGTCGAGGCACAGCACGGCGGAGGATCCGGCTACAAGCATAAGGAAGAGTCTGTCATGCCGCCGGAGAAGAAAGCCCGAGGAACCCGCGGAGCCTCAGAGGGTGTGCATCTCACCAATACAGCATGTTGCGCCCTTCCGACCACTACAATTGAGCATCTACCTGCCAGGGTTTGAGCTACCGGAGCTTCCAATATTCAGTGACGACTCTAGTGATAAAGACGGGATACCTCCTGTGCCAGCAATCCCTCGTCCACCACAGGCTGTCATGAGAGCAAAGTCTGAGGCTGTCCTGGCTACGCCGGTGTCAGACTTTTCAGCACCTCGGGCTCCATTCCTGTCAACCCAGTCGTCGATGGAGTTTGGTCGCACAAGCACGGACAGCGAAATGACGATGGTAGAAACATCATGGCGACCACGAACAAGCTCGCTTTCCTACCATCGATCCCGTCGCCCTAGCAATGCCACGACGCGGAGCAACCAAGAGTTCATGGAACTGATCAACGCCCCGTTACCTGCCCTGCCTAGGATCATCACCAAGCAGCCGGAGACCAAGTCAGAAGAAGCGCATCCCACCATTGTCCGTAGCGCAAGTGAGCAAAGTAAGCGTTTACAAGCTCATCTTCAAGAGCGCGAGCAAGCCCAAGCAGACATTAGCTCCCCCGACTGTAGTACCATTGCTGAAGAGCGATCACCCACCACCTCTCCAAAACCCAATCGCCACCGTTCTCTATCCGCTCCTTCGCGAGCCTCCGTCTCTCCCCTTACTCCACAAGGCCTCGCGATCACGGACGCCGTCTCCCCCGAAGCAGGCATCCTCACCACAACCCAAGTAACCCAAAGCCACGACCTTGCTCCTCCAACCGCCTCCCTTTCCGCCAAACCCGAAGACGATGCTACTACCACAAGACGCGACTCCGCCTCCCTCAACCGCGCCGCCTCAGCACCTTCCCGCAGCTCCCAAGACAACATTTTCCCCCGCTCCTCCACAAGCAGTGCGACTCTTCTCAACCGCTCCGCCTCAACAGGAACACCAGACATCACTGCGCGTCTGCAATCAGCCACCATCGTCACAGATGCTTTCACAAAACCCTCCGTCACAACCACAGTCATCGCATTAAATGAAAAACCATCCATGACCACCGTCTCCCAGCGCCTGACCCAATGGCTCTCCCGCTCTAAATCCCTCAGCAGAGAGAGCCTGCGTTCCACGACCGCCACACCAGATATCATGCTCCGCTCCGAGCCTAAAGCTTCCCAGCCTACCGTTCACGAGATCCATGTCGCCCCTACCAACCCCACCCCCACAGCCGCCCCCGAAGCCGCCCCCGAAGCCGCCCCCGAAGCCGCAAGACCAAACATAGAAGACACCAAAGCCCACAGCGAGCCCGAACTCGCCTTCTTCACACCCTCCATCCTCACGTTTGCCGAGAGGGCTGATGTAAGGAAGAGCACGCTTTCCGCGGACGATAAGTCGGAGAGGTCTTGGTTTGATAATCGCAACTCGCACTTCTTGGATGTGGACGCGGATGAGATAGCAAGTGAGAAATGGGTTGTCGGCTCTGGGGGAGGGATTGTGAGGCAGAGGAGTGGGACGGAGAGTACGTATGTGGAGAAGGGGGTTCTTGGGGTAGGTGGTAATTTGCTAAAAGCGTTCGGTGAGGAGGCCGGGGGCTTTAGGTATGGGAGTGGACCGGATGTTAATGAGGTTAGTGCTGTGGGGCTTGCGATGTGAGAGCTCTTTGATTCATGGGGGGGATAGAGGAAGGGAAGGTATAGTGATGTCATGTATGCTTTTGGAATCGGAGTGATACCCTGTGCAGTGTTTGCAATGCGACGAAGACAGGTTGTAATTCTTCCTGGTGGAATGTGACGATAATGGATGGGATGGGACTTTCATTCTCTGTGGATAGACTTTCAATTTCAGAGAGACCATGTCTTTCAATTTTATCCTGTACGATGATCTTATCTATGAATCAATCATCTGGTCACTTCTACTCAATTGCTTCGTTACTCCAATCTGCCTTTCTACCAAGTCTCGCTCCATCTCGTCTGCGACGACCTCTATGTAGTGGATCGCGCAGAGAACGCACTGTTGCTTGATGGCCCAGGTGGGCCTTCCGTGGCACACCTCGATTTACCAATATTCTTTCAACATCCGAACGATGTACCGAGGTATGCTTTGACGTCTTCACAAGACACCAAACTTCACGTACCGCTGTCTATATGCATTGTTCGCTAAGTCCCCTCTCTCAGGTCTACGGGGATTCAGCCAAGAGAAAGACTCAGCTCTTTGACTGCTGTGGCTCAGAAAGGCTTCGAGGCACAAGCGCTTGATTTCTTAGGGTCTAAGGCCAGGTCAGGTCGACCAAAACACGAGTGAGAGGATGCGTTAGATGGAAGGAACGGCCATAGGCAATCACCTTTAACGCTTGAGTGATGAGCCTTGCTGTGGGGATGCTTGATGGTTGCTTCGGCATGACAGGAATTCAGAGTGGAAGTCCGTGCTTGATGATGTTCGGTTCTGTGGTCTCAGCCTCCAGGTGTTGCCCTACTTGCAAAAGCTTTCTCAAACTTGCGAATATCCTCCTGACCAAAGACGGAGCTCAGCATCGCCAAGGTGTCCGTTCCCAAGCACTCGGAAGACTCGACTGCTTGTTGGGTATCACTACCCTCGCTTGCTATGTCATAATCTGTACTCGTCGCATCGCTTTCGATGCTCGAAGTATCAGTGTCACTATCAGATGCTACGCCGCCAATTCTTGGCCAGATATTAAGTCGTGTCATCATGCTTTTCCTGGCTCTTTTGATGAATCCTTTGGCGCTCAGGGGAACCAAATATCTGCAGGCACCAGCATTGATCAATAACTCTGTAGCCTTAGACCACGAACTGGGGATTTTGGCTGCATCCTCAGATGCAAGACTTGTGCGCACATGAGCCACAAAAAGGCTCCATATTGTATCTTCACTATACCCAGTACCTTGTGACTCACTTGTCCTATACTGAAAAAAATATGCTTCATTTGGGTTTGCCCCCTGGACAATCATGAGATCAATGGTATCGACAATCGGCTCGGACTGTGCCACGCTTATACGGGCAGATATGCGACGGTCTTCGCCTGACATAGGGCGCAAGGCACAGTCTAGAAGCGGCCGGCCTTGCTTGAGCTTCACAAGACTCGTATCAATCATAAGCGTTTCTTGGGCGTAGCGGTGGAGGCCCGCTGCTATTGCGAAACTGAGGAAGGATCTTCCACAGAGCAAATCGGGTTTATCGACTTCGAGCAGCTGGTAATTCGTCCAATGGTTCTCCTTGTCAAAGCGACAATCCATGGGTTGGGCTGAACTTTTTGTTTCGTTGAAACGGAAAATGAGAACTTCGTCGAGCTTATCCATCACAATCTTAAGACCTTTATCATTCTGCACTCGTAAAGTCGAGCGTGATGCAGGAATTGGCGCAGAAATTTGTGACGCGCTCGCACGCTTTGTTGATGAAAAAAAGTTCCTATACATTTTGCCTCCGCTAGATACGCCTTGCAAATCACCATGTTGACATCGAAGGAATCATCGAGATGGGGTTCCAGCATCGTGCGTACCAAATTTGTCTGGAGGAAGTCTTTAACAGTTCGATGTAAAAAGCCAATCTCGATCTCGAAAAAGTAATCATCCAGGTTTGAGACCTGATGGGCCTCGAGTAATTCTTTGCAGCGGCTTTTCAAGCGCCGCGTGGCTGACGTACTTCGATCATCAATATCTTCGGGGGCGAAAATTGTAATGTTAGCTTTCACTGCGAATTCTGGATCTTTCTCCATCATAAAAGAGTATGCCATGAGGGAAAGGGATTCCGCATTCAAGGCTACTTGTAAAAGTCGAGCAGCTTGCCGGATGTAAAAAGGCTCTAGGGTACCTATAATTTGAGCGAAATATTCTTCAAGGTCGGATGGCAGCTCGTCCAGTCTTCGCTTCAAATCAATGGCATCGTCGTCATTTCTAAAACCTTCCAAGAGGGATTGTACCACAAGATAGACCCGGAGGAACACCCCAGCGGATTTTTGCACAACAGCCATTTCAAGCCGTGTGCACCCGACTGCATCTTTGCTCATCAATCGCTTGAATTTCTTGTTCTCTTCAAATTTTGCTTTGACATAGGACACAATATCATTATGTGTCAGATGCTGTAGAAGCAGTGACGGCTGACCCTCAAATGCGTCTTCGAAGATCGGCCACGGACGGCTTGAAACACAGACTTTGACATGCTCATATTTACTCAAATTGGTAAAGAGCTCGACAATTTCTGACCGAGCGATATCGTTCCCCTCAAATTCGTCGAGTCCGTCAATTAAGAAAAAGAAGCGAGCTGTATTTATCGAGGGTTCCACCAGTCTACTCAACGCGTCGAGAAGCTCGAGGTCAGTCCATTCGCTGACGCTTTCCAAAGTTGTTTCATACGCTTGCCACCGCCACGGTACTGCCACCTTGATTAGATCTACACGCTGGGAGAGGATCTCATGAAGCAGAGACTGCAGCAGGCCGTGCAATGACCTTTGTATTGGCGTTCCAGGGTTCCAGAAGAATGAGCTAGCTATAATTGGTTCGAAGGGGTTAGTCCACCATCGAAGACTGTCTCTTGTTCGTGGATCATTGTACAAATATTTCATGAGAGTTGACTTGCCGGAGCCTGGTTTCCCAGTTACCCAGTATAGACTCCCTTGGTACGCCAGATCTCTAAGCCAAAGTTTGAAATCTGCCCATGGAACCAAAGCGTCTGAAGGAGGTTCAAAGATCCAATCAAAAGTCTTTGCGTGAGCAACAGCTACTCTCTTGTAGCGTTCTTTTATCCGAGGGAAGTAAAGGCTACGCAGAATGGAGTTCCCAGTCCATTCCTCTCTTTCATGCCAAACAACGGTCGAAACTGTCTGGGAAACCTCTCCGAATTGGTGTCTGTGATCATCAATCCAGGAGTCAACGGTCTCTTTGCGCTTATCATGCTGCTCTTTTAGGATGCTTTTAGACAAGTCCGCAACGTCTTGCCGTAGTTGTCCTGAAGAGTGTTGTACCGCGGCGAGTATCTTACTTTCCAAGCCCCTATTACTCTGTATTACGAGTTCCTTGTCAAAGCTTTGCCTATTGCTAGATAGGTACAGTATAAGCTTCAGTACAATCCAAGACATAAGACCTCTTACTTGATCACAACCAATAGGTGTACAATGAGGTTTTCACGTGCCGATCGAAGCCGCTGTAGCATGTTTTGAATCCGTTCTTTGCTGCAGAGCGTCTTCAGTGCCTGACGAAAGCTTCTCCACCTCGTGCGGCTACCAACAAGCTTGAGCTTGTCGAGGGTGGAGCAGAACTCCTTTGCAATCTTTTCACATTCTTTCGTCACAGTCCAAAGAGCACGCTCTGCTGAATCTAGCGCATGGGGAGCCGCCACCGACGCGAGGGAGTTATTCAAGTCTATGTTGAGGCGTTTGAAGTGTTCCACATTCCCTTGTAGCTCTGCATTCTCCGTCAGGACCCCGTCCGGACTTTCATAGTACTTGTTGCCCTTGGATAGCAACTTTGAGGTGAAGTCAACGAACTGTACAACAGATGTGGCAAGACTCAAGGCAGCCAGTGCCTCGAGAACCATGATGCAAAAGGCTCATGGCCAAGAGCGTGGTCATGTTCAATTCACGGCTTGCTCTGGCTTAGGTCCTCAGCTTTGCTGAGTTGGTGAGGTAAGATAATGTTGCCTCATTCTACGAGTAATAATGGTCCTGTCCGAATCTAAGGCTAAAGCTACTCCCGCCGGCGGCTAGCCAGACTCGATTTAGGGGCACTTTTAGCTCAGGGGTTATCATCATCATCATCACTTCCTGTTTTGCGAAACTTCTCAAGACTTCGTAGTTCTGTGCAATATTCGTGCACGTGTTGCGACTGTTTCATCGAATCGTGGAGGGGTTTCCCAGTCCGCGCAGAAAAAACGCAGTCTAATCATTTCTCTCCCTGTCAATCCAAGTGTCTGAAGATGTCGCGCTGGGGAACTGATTGGCCGGGCTCATCAGTGCTATATATACAATGAATGCTCAAGTCCAAGGTATTTCGCTCGGCTGAGAGCCACCGGGCAACTATGTCATCCTTCCCAACCAGAAATCAATTAGCAAAAGCTACGTTCATTTCAAGAACCATAGCCTGCCCATGCCCGAGATGAAAGATCCTTAAGCCTCTATCATGTGCTATATATGGTTATATCTTCTCTTAATAACAGATCAGATCTTTCGGATCTGGTCTCTTCCGGCAAATTATGCAGGTTGCGATTGCATCCCACCAGCTGGAATCCTTGCGCCTGAATTAGACTGCCGCGAGGTGGCCACACGCATCTACTACGAGCAGGTCATTCGTGGTGAAGGAGGAGACAGGATATGGGGCCGGACCATCGAGGAAACAAACAAAACCCACGTCCATCTCCCGGTTGGCTTCAAGCTTACAAGAAAACACGAGTGGATAGAGCCCGCCCACTGCGAGATCCACATCGATAATGCTATAGACAGGTTTGGAGAGACAGACACCTTCACTATGCTCGACGTGGTCAATAGTGCGCAACTTGTATTCAGAAAATGCTACCCTTTATACGACACGGGCAAAGCATATCCCAGAGCCACCAAAAACGTATATGTGACGACGCTTTACACGGCAACGAAGGATCTTGAGACCCTCAGTAATACAAATTACACGGTCTACGGGCTGGACCCGGACTCAGATGCCGTCAAGCCTGCCTACAATAACAGTAACGCGGGGTCTCATGACATGCTGTATGACGGAGGACATACAATCATGTCATACGCAAGGTTGTTCTGATGCTCTCCGAGTCTGACTCCAGTCTTGGTAGCCGCTTCACGGACCAGCCGCAACTATGTTGGCAGCGCATATCACTATGACATATTTGGTGACATCGAGCTCAGCATCCACGCTCACAATTACTGCAAGGTACTTAGAGATCGCTGTTCGGGCTCCAATATGCATTTTTGAAGGCACATGATGAATTCGACATTGCACTGCGAGTCTTGGTACGTAAAACGACAAGAGTCATCAGGCAAGAGAAACTTGGAATTTGGTCATTTCAAGGCCTAACATGAGAAATCGAATATTACAGCTTGGGCGAATAGATTTCTGTCCGTTTCATGAGAATTACAGTCTTCCCTATAGGAAAATGAAGCATTATTTGCTGCTTTGTCACCTCAACGGAGAGCATTTCTAGAGCGTGACTGCTTGGTACCCCGACCTGGAAGTCAACTCCTCGGGGTTCATAGCTGTTATTACGGTCTCTTTGAATAAATCGCATTCTTGTCATAGCTTGTCAATTGCATACTTAATAAAGCGCGTGCAGAAAAACACTCAAGCATTTCACGTGACGTAGTTTCCACATTGGGCTAAGGGCGGTCCTCACTTCATCAGACGTAAGCATCCGTGCTCCCGACCCATATATATATGGCTTCAAATATCCACCACCTGATTTTTACTACCTCCGTGCTGACGACTCCAGGATCTCCTTTCGTTGACTAACGAATGCCACTCTTCCGTTAGATTCCGCTTCAGGACAGGGTTTAGGCAGGGTGTCAGCACAACGACGAACTCTTCTTTTCCTACACAAGCTGCGCTTACTCTTTGATTCTACCATTTAAGAAAAGAAGTACAGTATTTTATGGCAATATTCCTCATACTGGACTTAGAACATCTTCCTAAATGGCTTCCAACATAGGACGACTTGCAGCACGTGAGCTGCAACGGACCTATCCATGGATTTCACCTCCTTTCATCGTCGGCGCCCCTATGCGTGTGATTTCGGGTCCTAAACTTGCCGTAGCAATCTCCGGCGCCGGTGGTCTTGGTTTCATCGGCCCAGGTGCGAAGCCAGCAGACCTTGACGATTCACTGTCGCAGACGCCGTCCCTTCTTGAATCACTGCCACAATCATCTCCAACGCTCGCTCATTTGGATAGATATGTAATCCTACCTATTGGCGTAGGGTTCCAGACCTGGGCCGGTGATCTTGAGACCACGGCCAGAATCATGCGAGCACACCCACCACCGGCTGCAGCCTGGCTCTTTGCACCGCGACATGGCCAGAAGGAATTGGACGAGTGGTCGGTAGGTATCCGCGCTGCAACAGATAGTAAGACAAAGATCTGGATCCAGATCGCATCTGTGGCAGAAGCCAAAGCTGCAGCGGCCAGTAAAGAACGACCAGACGTTCTAGTCGTTCAAGGCGCTGATGCAGGCGGCCATTCGCGCACCAAAGGAGCTGGACTGATGACTCTCCTCCCAGAGATCGCAGACGAACTTAAGAAAGATTCAAACCTCCCACAAATCCCTCTCGTCGCTGCGGGCGGCATCATCGACGCCCGCGGTGTCGTCGCTGGAACAGTCCTAGGCGCAGCCGCCTCCGCGATGGGTACGCGCTTCCTTGCAGCGAATGAAGCCAATATAAATCCAGGATACGTACAGCACGTTCTAGACGCTACCGATGGCGGGCAAAGCACTGTGCGTACGCAATTGTATAATCATCTGCGGGGCACGATGGATTGGCCCGCTGAATATGATGCCCGTGGACTGGCAAATGCGAGTTGGAGAGATCATGAAGCAGGTGTGTCGTTCGAGTTGCTTCAAGAAAGGCATGCAGAAGCAGCGAAGAAGGGGGTGAAAGGGTGGGGGGAGGCGGAGGGAAGGATGGCGACGTATTCCGGGACGGGAGTTGGGCTTGTGAGAGAGAGAATGGGCGCTGCGGAGATTGTTGAGCAGATCAGAAAGGACGTCAGACGAGTGCTTGATGAGGCGAATACGGCTGTATATGAGTAATGTATGCAAAGATTGATGTTCGACGAATAGCGGATGGAGCCGATTTGATTTGAAAAGCTTTGCATGATGATATTGATATTTCGCCAATCTTGGGTAATGCACAACAGCTTTCGGTACCTTCAAGTAATGTAAGCCAGCAAACACCTATAAGTCCTTAGAGGTAGGTCCATCTTGGAAAGAAAAGAGTTCATTCTGAAGAAATTCGATCCTGACAAACGCTCGGGTAATGCTTTCTATGTAATCAAGAAGCGAACTTTGAGATAGTCGTGCGTCAAGTCAGCAAAACTGTGCACTGCACCAAAAGCTATGAGATCGTAATTCATGAAAGCCGAATAGGTCGATGGACAGCAGATAAGTTCTCCAACAAAGGGTCACTGATTTGGCCACTAGAAGGCTGCAAGTTGGTCCCCTTTTTGAAATCGCTGTGCCTACATAACGGTGATGACTTGTGTAGGGCAAACGTGTATGTCTACTTCCTGGAGACAGACATAATGTGATTTCAGCCCAAACACAGGTGTCCCTTTCCAAGTGTACGACCTGTGAATATCAGCTCCGAGAATTTGAAACACTAAAGAAGGATTCGTTGACTTGAGCAAAAACCCCTTCGAGGGGTAGAGGAGTCACAAGAAAGCCTCGAGTACAATAGTAGGGCGACCGGAAGGCACGTAGGTCACGAGCATTCAAAAAATTCAGATCAATTTCATTTTATAAGTATATATAAATTAACACGACAAGTCCTCCCTGGGTGCACGGGAGTAAGGCGGATGAAGTATGAGTGTGGTTGTCCGGGACACACTCACTCGTCCGCTCCCTTCTTGTCATTTTCAAATCCTGGAAGTCCTGGGTTCAAATCTGACACTCACAGCCAGAAAGTCCTTAAAGTACAGTGCAAGTATTTTAATATGGATACAGTCAAGGCGAACAAAAGTCTCTTTCTCTCTTCGTCATTCTCTTTTTGCCCTCGTACTTCTTCATTCTTTTTAGAGTATCGTTACTCGTGATATTTTACACGTGACCATGCTTCGCCACTCCGCTACCAGGGTGTTGATACTCTGCATTTCTCACATGAAACCACACATTATACTGTATGTGCTGATATTTGAAATACAATTACTACCTCAAGACTCACAATACGGCCCGGCTGGCCCATTACGTACCGCCACATATTCTCAATCTCCTACCATCCTGCGTCACTGCCATCAGGCCACTCAAACGGGGGAGAGAACGCCATTCGTGATCAAGAAGCGACAAAGTGAAAGAAGGAGAGGAAAAATGGGAGGGATTTATGCAAGTAAAAGATTTTGCTGCTTTAAGAAGCCCGAAAGGCTTATGCCATATTTTTTGACATGGGCAGATAATAACCCCAAACAAGTGTAAAGGCATATAAGATATCGCACGACTCGATGTATCAGCAACTCACTAGCCCAACTTTTCAAGAGCGGTTGATTCATGTCGTCTTTCGCCAAGACCAGCACGTCCAACCCCAAAGCTTCCGATAAACCAGCAGGTGGCAAACTCATTGACAGGATGGTCCCGCCGTCTTTGAGAACAGCCACAAGGCACTTTACCATTTCCTTCAATGCCATCACCTCTACTCAGCGTCCAAGTTCGCGACAGCAGCCACATCATTGACTTGAATACCTCCCCTCCTCTCAAACCCCGAATCATGAAACGGCAACCTCCACCCGCCCTTCCCCTCCCCTTCCCCCTCCGGATTACTCAACCACAGCCTCATCAAATGCCTCCTCGGCTTCGGCGGAGCATGATCTCTATACGCGGTCCTCGCATGCAAAACATGCAAATTACTCACAAACTGCAGATCCCCCACCTCTAGCACCATATGCAGCGCTTCCTCCTGACAAACCCGCTCCAGCACATCCATAGCATATTTCTGCTCCTCACTCAGCGGCGGGATCAGCGAAACCGGTGGATCGGAGAATCTCGACAAAGAACGAACATAGTACGGATCCCATTTACTGCTGACCCGTGGTTCTTTGCCACTTGGCGCTTCGCGCTCGAGGTACAGCACCGGCGCCCGGATGAAAGGGTCTTGGCCCGTGGACACCTCGCCTTTGCGGTCGAAATACCAGATTGGCTGCGTGAGAGTGCGGACGACGTCCGGGTGCGAGTGTTGCAGGATGTTGTAGACGTGGTGGACGGAGACGATGTCGGATTCGCCGCCTGAGAGGGCGCGGGACAGGCAGAGCAGACCGACTAGGTCGGAGGAATCTTGGTGGAAGAATTGTCTGTGTTATTTAAAGCTTAATTGATGTGCTGGGCTGGGGTGGAGACGCTTTGCCTGAAAGAATGGGGCTGGGGGGGAAGGAAGAGAGGGTTAGGGTACGTACCGTGCGTTTGTGCGGTAGATTCTCACCTTATCAATCTGGGTCGCGTCTTCACCTAGATCTTTCACGTGGCCGAGGACGTGACCTCGACCGTTCTGGCTGACGAGGTGGCCGAGGTGCACGCCGAGGCCCATGTATGCGATGGCGGATTTGTGGGCGCCCCATTCTGAGACGGGGAAGCCTTTGAAGAGGATGAAGCCTTTGCCGTTGACAAGGTCGTCGCGCACGGATTCTAGATAGGCGGAGAAAGTGGGGAGGGGGAATGAGGCCTATTAGTGGTGTGTTGTTAGACTTATTGTAAGGTGTGATTTGTGAATGTATGACCGTACCTTCGATATTGTGGTAAGGGGAACACCACTTTGGCTGAACTTGTCGGCTGTGTCGCTCAATTCATTGATTTCCTCTGATGTGAACCTATGGGTCCATCGTTCTGGATTGTCCTTGTAATCTTCCGTTCGCCAAACTGTCCGTCCATCAATGTGTTTCGGGAAATCCTCATACTGCTTTAAAGCCTCATATATGGGTGGATGTTGTCCAGACGTGATGAGGCCGTCCCTCACCTTCGACTTCGAAGCAACATCGCTGGTCCTAGAATCCGGATACGTACTCACCGCTGTTGGTGCCATTGACGATAGGAATCGAGCTTTTATGGGGTGAATGATATGCCTGCCACCAAGGCCAGCAGGTGTTGGAGATTCATAGATTCCGGTCGTAGATATGACGTAGTCTCTGATCTGCATCAACTCACAAATCCATTGGTCTGCTTATGGCAGCTTTGCTGATTGCGCAATCGTACGTAGTGCGGCGCCGTGCAGAACCGTTTCATTTAGCTTGGAGTATACGGTGGTACATTGGAACCTTGCAGGAATGCCCGTGGGGGTTCAACTTGGGAAGCCAGTGGAAATTGGAGTGTATTGCTGCAGTCGTCTTTCTGGTACCGCGAGACCAAGCTCAATGCGATGGAGGAGTAGGTACTCGTCGATGCTTCGAATGGGTCCCTTGTCGTCAAGCTTTTCCAAGCCGGGAAAGCCTTTGAGTCAACCTTATCTGATTTATCATCCCTGCGATTGCCATTTCATTTAGGAGGATACTGAAGATGCACACCTAAGGCGTGGCTGAGGTGGCAGAAAGAAGAGGGGAGGAAAGAAGGAGGTCGAAGGAAAACAAGCCAAAGACTTGAAGAGACTGGGAAGATAGACCAAACGTAATGTAGTGCAAGAACTTCCAATTGGCAGCTGAGTGGGAGCGACCTCTTACCGTCCCTGTTTCTCAGTCTCAATTTCCCTCCTCAGCCCCTCCAGCACACCCTCTCGTTCCCTCAGATGCCGTTCCAATCCTTCCACCATCTCCCTCACTCCCTGTATCTCACCGTCCACCCTCCGCAGATCATCTGCGCCCTTCCACTTCCCCTCGCCCGTTTCCAGATCCCTAATCTCCTTCCTCTTGTAATCCAGCAACAATTCCAGCTCCCGCTTCACCAATGCTGGCTTATTGTCCCTCCTGCCACCGCCTCCACCTCTCTGCCTCCTCTTCTGCGCCTCCTTCTCCACCCTCTCAATCTTACTTTCCAGCTCCCTATACTCTTTCTTCAGCCGGACTTCCTCCCATTCCCCATCTTTCTTCACCCCGCTGAAATCTGTGCCCTTGACCCCTCGATCCCCGACCCCCAGGCGCTCTAAATATGCATCCCCAAACTTGGCTTTTCGGCCTGTGGAGCTACTGTCATCGTACCTCCCTGCCCCCCTTCCTCCTTTCGTCCTAACCTCACCGTTAGAGCTCTCCATATTATAGTCGACCCTGCCTTCCTCAAAGCTCGCGCGCAAGCTAGCCGGCACAGACCGCGGGATGCGAAACCCCTCATGTCGCTGATTCAAGATATGTAAGAAAGCGACGGCGGCATTCTTCCCAATCGCCTCTGAGGAGGCGGGGTTGACAAGGTTCCAGGCGGAGCGGAGGTCTGTATCTGGGACATCGAGGCTTTCGTAGAGGGGAGTGAGAGAGGAGAAGGATATGTCGCCGTGGGGTGTCTTGTGTGTTGTGTAGATAGCGGAGTATTTCTCGAGCGAGGAGGGTGGCATGTACCAGTCGAACCCGTCTTTTAGGCCTTCGTCGTCTGAGGAGGTGGAGAGCGCTGGAGAGGAGAAGCTTTGGGAGGATGGATCGGATAGGGCGCGTGTGGCTTGGACGAGGTGAACCTTGGATTCGGGGACGAGCCAGTCGGGGAGGGTAGGGGGGACGTCTGAGTATTCCTAATGTACGGTAAGCCGAGATCTTGTCCGAGGGGGACGGCAAGGGTTGTGCAGCAGGAACGTACGCCGTTCACAAGGTCGAAGATTATGCGCATGGCCACGCAAAACTCCTCGAAATCGAGATTGCCGTCATTGTCCACGTCCGCGAGGTCCCAAATTCGTTCCAGTTGGTCATCTCGAAGCTGGCTGTTTTTGAGGACGGAGGCTGCTTGAGCGCCGGTGAGGTATTTGCCGCCGCCACTAAGGCTGGAGAAGATCTCCCAGTATTTCTCGATCTCAGCTTGTTCTATTCGCTTGTTAGACATTGTCGGAGGTAGAATTGCGAGCGTATAGACAGCTTTTCGTTGGGTATAGGAAGCCATGCCTATGGAGTTAAGACGGATTTAGCGGGATCGCCCAGATGGCCCAAAATATTCGACTCGCAAGTGTTTTTTCAAATTTTCCATACCAAAATCATGTAGACTTATAGAGGAAGTGGCCTCATAACACCTTTCTCTTTAGCAAGGATCTAGTCATGAAGTTGTGAACAAACTTGCAAGATGGGGTCGGTGCAGGTGTCCGAAGGGCATTGCTGCTCGCGAACTTGAAAAGACTTGTCGTGGAGCATGAAAGTATCTTTAGAATTGTTTGCTGAGAGGCTTGTGGCCACTCTGTCCAGACTCTGCTGCAGACATCATAGAGGCGCCATCATGTTTAGGAGGTTCTGTTAGGCGTTGCTTTGAGACAGTTGACAAAAAGTCTTGTCTACAACCTCTTGCGTGTCAACAGTTGTAGGAATACTGGGATGGTTAGGAGAATCTTCGTTAATTGTGGTCCAACAACGATGATAGAGACGTGTACTGATATTCTGTTGCATTGTCGCTCAAGTCATGGTACCGAGATATGAATTGCGTTTCCCTGAATTAGCTAGGCTGAACGACGACAAGTCGCCTTCATTAGGACGCAAGCAAGCCTCGTTTCTCCTCCATGTGCAAGGCTCATTCCTCACGCGTTACAATCGAGTTTTTGTACTATCTAACGGAAAATATCCGGACATGCCGCTTGCGCCAAAGCTGGCGGATAGAAACCTTCCTTCATGCTCGGATATCAAGAATCGAGTTCCACACATTTGAGTTCATATTCCTTATAATTACTAGAGAAAGTCGGTCCAGCAACTTCTTTACGCCCATCATGGCGCCCCAGACCTCCATTCCCGTCTCAGCCAACGTCCTGGGCACGATCGGCACAATATGCTGGTGCGTCCAGCTAATCCCACAAGTCATCCGTAACCATCGTACAAAATCCACCGAAGGACTTCCTGCTCTGATGATGTTTCTCTGGGCCTCCGCCGGCTTGCCCTTCGGCATTTACGCCATCGTCCAAAACTTCAATATCCCCATTCAGATCCAGCCTCAGTTCTTCACGTTTTTCTGTCTCTGGAGTTGGGGCCAGTGTTTGCATTATGGGAAGAATTGGCGAAGGTGGACAGCGACAGTGGTGACCTTAGGCTGTATGAGCCTTGTTGCCGGCCTAGAGGCGTTGGGGATTGTGTTGATGCGTCCAGCATATCGCCGAGGCGTGGAATGGCCGGTCACGTTCGTGGGAGTGGTGGCATCGGTACTGTTGGTCTCGGGGTTCTTCCCTATACCGTTCGAGCTGTGGAAACGGAGAGGCAGGGTTGTCGGGATTGACTTTAGCTTTCTAGCGATTGACTGGCTCGGCGCTTTTTTTTCTTTGATGGCCCTCGGTATGTGCTTCTTGATTTATTTGATGGAATGGCTGAGATTCTGACTAGTGGCACAACGGACTTTCGATGTCCTGGGTGGTGTGCTGTATGCTGCGTGGTAAGTGAACTACTCGCATGTCATACAGATTGAAATTAATGTAGGTCTGTGCAGTGCAGCCATTGAAGCGGTAATATTCATATCTCAAGGCGTTTGGCTACTTCGGACACGTAAGATCCGTCAACGTGCCAAAGATGCTGGAATGAAATGGGAGGAATTCCCGGAAGCTATGGCGTGGCAGGAAGGTAGAGCTGAGGAGGTTAGGGAATTGGTGGTGCTACCGGAAGAGAGGGTGCATGGAAGCCTTTGAGTTTGATAGTGGGAAAAGAAGCATTCAAATTGAGCCTGGCTTAGCATGAAGCGTAATCGGAATAGACGGAACGAGCTTGTTATGCCATTACAGGTGGGTCTGCTATTTGTAATTGAGCTGTTACGCTTGAGATCTTGGTGTCGATACAATCAATACAGATAGAAGACTTGGGTGATATGGCTCTGCATCGGACTAATTTCGGATGATCTGCATAAATGCGGGCCCTTTCGTTAAGACTAATAACTTGCAAAAGTGTCAAGTAGAGGCATAAGAAGCTAAAGATGGCTTGAATCTGGCCGTTGTCTCATGCATGAACCACTCAACTAGATGTTTACCCGCGTGCTTCATGGGATTTGTTATCTTCTTTCCTACCAAAGCACTAGCGTACCACCGTCATACCTATTACATGCTCACAGGTAGAGTACGCCTCCTCCGACCCTACAATCGTGGGTGCCTATTCAATAACAGCTCATCTTTGATAGTTTCTGGGCTCCAACAATTTTTTACGGGGCATCGAACGCTCGCAATAGTATCTGGTGCCATGCCAGCCACACTGGTGATTTTGCATTCCCAGTTGACCTGAACGTGAAGATTGTACTTTCCGTCTGTTGTGATCTATGGATGGTAGAAAATGATCAGCAGCCTTTACTCTCTTAAGTGCCCACAGAATATTGCGTACGCCTTGCATGTCAAGTCGGAAGTTTTGATCTTTGTGAATAGTTTTCCCATTGCCCCCGAGTGGAGGATACAATTTGCTGTTAGGCATCTTGTCGAGGAAGTCTGCAAGTGCTTTCACCTTTTTGCTAGGCATGATGTCGATTTCCTGAATTGAAGTTCTCAGAGATAGTGCAAGAGCGTCCTTTGGTTGATGTCGAATGATTACTGAGATGAAGAGTTCCCTGGCTTCTTTGTGGTCTTAAATACTCCTTTTTGTGGTACAGTCACCGGTCATGTGGGCTCTTTGTACGACTGCGCAGCTTTACGATGTAGGACACTGCAGTAAGTCGTACAGCTGGGCCAAAGCCGTGGCTCCACATGACTTCTTCGCTTGACATCATGAGTTATTCTAGAGGCTCTGATCTGGAGATGGGACATCACGATCTTTTCCCACAATCACAGACTCCACTTATGTCTGTTGCTGAGTGGCTATGTATCGGAAACGACTGAAGTTTGTCAACAACCGGGATCGGATAGGGCAACATTGCATGCTATATTGCTCAAGAAAATAGACGAGGAGATGTCACGCCTTTTCCGTCAAGTGAGTAAGTATTCCCATCGTCGAATACATTTATTCAACAGTATGTACATGAAATGCATGAACTAGTCAACAAGATAAGTTTTCAATACACCGCTGTGCCTGAAGCGACTCGGATATCTCAGGCATGACCCAACAGATCTTCTTGTTCAAATTTCATTGCGATTTCATAGGATCAACGATGTCGTCAGATGATAACAACATTTTAAATGGTGATGCAAATGACAAAACATTCGTTGTCTCTATTCGGAGACATTTGAATTCATGTGTTGTTTCAATATGGCTCCCGACACTGTCAGTCTGTCATCAGCAAATCGGACACGTAGTAAACGATCAAAGCAATTCTCCTGAAGATCTATTGAAGTTTCAAGTGAATATATGTTAAATGATTTGAAGACGACGGGGGATGAGGGCACATGCGAACAAGCTTTACGCTAGAGTACAAGCGGCTTGGCAGTAGCTGCCCCCTACTATAGCGGGAAATTTGCCTCGTCACCTCAGTCGCCTCATGTTGTACAAGGTAGCCGGTGGTAACACAATTTCTTTTCCGCCTTTCCTTCTGACTTATTTGTCTATCAATCCTTTTTCCTCACAGCAAGTCTCTCAGAACAAGCTCAGTCGCCCAAAGACTTACAAGCTCATTCTTTTTGTAACATGATAAATCAAGACGGACTTCAATGGGACGAAGGCACGTTTAGTCTGGAGCCCAAATGGACCAGAGATCCCAGTGTTACAGACATCAAGACAGTCTTACAACCTATTCTCCAACCTCATGACGACTTTGACATTACATTTGTAGCTCAGGGTGCTTTCAATAAGCTTTACAAAATCTCTTGTGATGGCCATTTATTTGCAATGCGCATTTCTCTACCGGTAGACCCTTTCAATAAGACGAATAGCGAAGTCGCTACGTTACAATATGTGCGCGAAGGAGGCAGTCTTCCAGTCCCGAAGGTCTGTTCACACAACTCGTCTGCCGCCAATCCAATCGGGTTCGAGTGGATTCTGATGGAATATATGCCCGGGAGGCCACTTCGTGAGATTTGGAAGCACATTACATGGGATGCAAAAGAGGCACTTATCCAGAGACTGGCAAAGCACTGTGCCGCAATGTATGAGAATCAATTCGACCAGATTGGGAACCACCATTTACTTGAAGAGGGACAGAAAAGCTTACAGCCACTGAAGCTGGGTCAATTAGTGTCAATCCCGTTTCTATATGGAGATCATCCAGTGCTACCAATACCAAGGGGTCCTTTTCGGACAAGTCGAGAATGGCTGGAGGCTCGATTACTGTTCAAAGAGGCGGATGCCACCAAAGCTCTTGCAAAAAGTGAGGACGACGATGAACGCGAGGAGGCAGAGACTATCTTGAGCAATATAAGACGGCTGCATAGGCATATCGACGAATTCTTCCCCTCGGACTTAATCGAGAAGACAATGCTTGTTCACCCTGATCTTTCGCAATCAAATGTTCTGCTTGACGCAAATGGTGAGTTGACTGCCGTAGTAGACTGGGAATGTGTATCAACCGTGCCACTTTGGCAAGCATGTAATTACCCTCGTCTCATCGAAGGAAGTGAGAGGTACCAGAAACCAGATGAGAATACATACGCCCACGAGGAAAATGGCGAGATCAATGAAATCTACTGGTATCACTTAGAAGACTACCAAAAGACGCAATTACGGGAATTCTTCCTTGAACAGATGTCAAAGCTCGAACCGGGTTGGATTCAGGTGTATCAGTCTAGCCAAAGGCTGAGAGACTTTGACATGGCAGTAGAAAATTGCGACGGTCCCTTCTCTCTCGAAGTCGTGTCATTGTGGCTTGATCTGATTGAAGATGGAGAGAAACCTTACAAAAGCTTGGAACGACGTCTTCGAGGATACACGGACGAGCCTTAGCCTTGAAAAGACATGTCTTGCACTTCACTTTCCAGGCAGAGCCTTCCGTCACTAGATCAAGTCATTGTTCAAACGCTAGATTCTCGCGAATACGGACGCATGAGAGAGTCCTGGGCGATCTAAGATATCTTTGTTGGAATCAATAAATTACACCCGATCTTCGTTTTGATTCTCGAAAATCCAGCCTTCAATTTCCTTTGCAAACTGCACCTCGCATGCGATACGTATGTCGCCGTGTATATATCAAGAGATGAGAGAGCGCCGCAGAGACGACTATTGAGACGATGAAGCCAATTGAGCGCTGAACCTCCCAGGCCAATTGACTTGAATGACCGAGCTATCTGGAGGCATCTATCGCTTGATCCCTTATGAATCTTGTCGCAGACCATCCAATTTGTCGAATGAGACTCAAAGCTTTGGAGATTACTCACGCCAGCCACCATAACCAGTCTGCGACAGGGTCCTTCCAAGCTTTCGGGCAAGGTGAGTTGGCTGGTAAATCTGCAAAATTCGCAATACTCGCATCTTCGTGACTTGACAGCAGCTTGATATAATCGCTTACCCCAAGCAACAAAGGACCTCCAAAACTAATGACGCTGATCAGGAAGAATATAGTACTAGATATAAAATGACTGAATTTCAGAGGTCGTGATAATCTTTGCCGAGTCATTACAAAGAGCAAAAGTCCGCGATATAGACAGATCGGCATAGTCAAACAAACTACAGTCACCAGTCCAACCGTTGAGCCCGGTAACGTAAAGCCTTCCAGCTCGATTTGGCCATGAATGAGGCCGAAGCTTCGGATTGTGATTGATCCGACGGGAGCGAAGACTAGAGACCATGGCGTCTTGAACTTAGCGCGATGCATAGAACTCTGCTGCTGTTTTTCGTTGACTCCCTGAGGCGACTGTTGGTCCACAAGACGATTGCCTCCGCCAATAGATACTCGCGGTTGGGAGGCATCGAACAAAATTTGAAGCAGCGATAGAACGGCAGTGCTTGTGCCCAATATCGCGAGTTGCAGAATTTGATGGTCGTAGAGGGCATCACTACCATGACGTGCTCGTCGGGTGAAGAGGAAAATAGAAGAAATCGACTGTGAGAGCAAGAGCAAGTGGATGACTCCTTGTCGGACTTTGCTACCACTGAAAGTTGGACGCCAACACACCGTTCCGCTAGGGATGCACCCTCGAAATTTTCTCCAGGTAACCGACCAAATAACATGCAATACGACTCTCGGATTTTGTTTCGATCGCCCTTAGCCATGATCATCTGCACTGTAAGTAGTACTAAAGGCAGAATGAGGCACTGTAGCGTTCCCCCAACTGGGCAAAAAAGCATCGTTAGAAGCCATAATGGTCTAAACCTTTCGTTGCGAAGTCTTAAGAACTGCCAGAATGCTGCCAGGACAACGGAGTTGACGACAAAAAGCTTGACGTAGAGCTCACGGGGAGTTCTACGATTGTTCAAAGGACAAAACACCTCAGTCTGATTCATTTCAGATGATCTGTTCATCGAGATAGCGTGATTGAAGAATGAAAGGAGACCTAACTAAATAGGAGGGTTCTTTTCACAGAGACCCAGAAGTACGTGGCACCAGCCTTATACATTGCATAGCCTACTGCATCGCCGCAGGCTTCGTGTCGGATAATACGTGCCCCTTGTGCAAGTTTCCATTGCCGAAACTTTTCCGACCAGTCGTTATTTGGAGGTCGAAACACGAACAGATGAAATGCAGGATACAAGAAACCAAACAAAATCTTCACCTGGCGTGAAATACGAGGTCAATGGGTGACTGATTTGCCTGATGTACTACTCTACGGACCACAGAGTTCCTGTACCATTCAACTTTTCTGCAGATCATTGCTCTTATAATCTTCCCCTCCCGCAGCCTCATCTAGTTCCACGGCTTCCTGCAGCCCACAAACCTCGAACAACGTCTTTGGTCCCACTCCACTCCCCTGAATGCCCGTAATACCGTGCTCGTGAAGTTTCTCGTATGCCTCCTTCATCGCCATGTACGCCGGTGCCTGCATCACCATTCCCGTCAGCATGATCACAACTAACGTCCTATCCCATCAAAAGAAGACCAAAAGCACTCACCAAACCCGCAAACGAAAAGATCATTATTCTAAACCCCATTTCCCTCGCCTCCTCGACCGTGATGAGCGGACTATGTCCATTCTCCACGATGTTCAAAAGCAACGGCCATGGTTTCAGCTCCTCCACACACCGTCTCGCTTCCTCCTTACTCTTGAACCCCTCCAACAGCCCAACATCTGCGCCGAGGTCTCTGGCCGCTTTCAAGCGCACCATGCACTCGTCGTAGCCGTGTTGCTGATTCGCGTCGGTGCGGGCGATGAGCTGGATGTCCGATTGGGCTTGGTCGATGGCGTGGCGGGCGGCGCGGATGCGGGAGAGGTAGACGTCGTTAGAGACGACGCGTTTCCCGCCGAGGTGGCCGCAGCGTTTGGTCAGCACTTGGTCTTCGATGTGGAAGGCGGCGACGTTGGCGCGGATGTATTGGGATACGGTCTGCGTTACTGTGATTGGTCCTGTGAGGGAGGCAGGGGACTTAGTAGGCGGTAGGGGTGGGACTGGCCAGGGGTGACGGGGATAATGAAGGTAGTGGACGTGCAAGACTTACCGCCATATCCGGTGTCCATGTCTGCGATGAGCTCATGGTGGTGAGGGTTGAGGTTGGCAATCATGTCGGCGTTAGAGACCATGTCGTTGCGGGAGGCGATGCCAAGGCCTGCCATGCCTAATTTCGAGGCTGTTGAGCCTGCGCCCGTCTGAGATTTTGTGTGTTAACCACAGACTGTATGGTGGTGAGGTATTGGTCTGTAGCAGGAACTCACCATGTACATAGTTTGGAAGCCAACAGACATGGCGATACGAGCGGACAAGCCGTCGTAGACACCGGGACAGACGACCAACTCATTTGTGTTTTGGAGACGAAACTTGAGCCGTGTGGCTGGCGACAGAGATGCGTTGAGGGAAGAGTGGGTCGTCGTTGGTGAAGTTGCAACCTTAGCCTGGAGGCCGTCGGCGGGAGAAGTCACCTTGTCCACACTTGATGGTTCGCTAGCCTGGGTGCTGGATTGTGGCATCTTATCTTGAGAGGTGTCGTACTCAACTTCCTCTTGAACTACAATGGCCTTTGGTGGACTTTCTGGGGGAGTATTCGGAGCATTGGTAAAGGGGGACTTCCTCGTTCCTTGAAAGCCCTTGTCAAACCCAGGGACAGAATTTCCTTCTGAAGCAATGTTCACATTTTGTAGGGGCGATCATTGCCCGAGAGAGTCCTATCAGTCGTCATTATGCTTATACAAATAGCCTGTGGGGTTGCAAGTGGAATAGATAACAGAATTAGGGCGGAAGGAAGATCAAGATTTGAATTTGTAGGATTGAATAGGTCCGAGTATGAGTGGGCGGACACTGCTTTCATATAGTCGCAGCTTTGCCCAGAAGCCACCGGTCCCGCGTTGTCGATTCTGTCCTCCTACCATGGTTCTGATCTTGCATGAATCCCAAACTACCAAAAAGGTCTGCGAGTGGTGGTCCGTTCCACACGCTAAGTCTAGTCTTGCGAGAATGTAAAAGTACGCTAAAATAATTACTCTGATGAAGAAAATGTCAACATTCTGAGCTAAATTGCTGCTGATGATTGGCATGTGGTGCACCGTACAAATCAGAAAGCATTAGGACTCTTGCTCAAGATATCAGAAAGCATCGGATACTGCACCAATTGCACACGTTAGCGGTCAGAATTGAAGGTGCCTAAGTGGTGTGTGTGGCCATCCAGAGGTACTTTCACTGTATAAAACTTCACATGGACTCACGCCATGTGAAGAGCAGTACTATGTTCCTGACCATTGAGAGATACAGCAAAGGTTCTACGAAGCCTCACACCTTGTGGAGCACATGGCAAACTTCTAAATACCAAGTTTGGCCAAGTCGATAAATGGTTTTCTTCTTTGAGAACAGAAACACTTCTAAATTGCTCCAGACTGCATTGAGTAAAGTAGCTTTCTATCCGGAAGGAATCTTCTCAGGCAAGGTTGAGTAGCCGCAACGATGAAGCCTCTAACACGAATCGGTCGCATGCCTTTGGACCGTCGACTGGAAAGGGCGTCGTGCTCGTGCCGTCCCGGTATGATTCCCTCCCTTTTTGGTAAAAGTCTCACCAAAATCCCGTGTGGCGCTTATCATATGGCCTTTCCAATCGAGTTTGTCAATTCACGTCAGAATTCCCGCTGGGACTGGTATACCGTAAACCTGAACGGGCTTGATGTCACGCCTAGACGGCAAGATGTAGATGCAAGGCAAAGCGTCAAAGGAGCCATCTCTCCCCAAGGTACGATAAGACATCCAAGGCGGTGGAGCAATGGAGCACATGGATAACGGGTCGAGGGTGGTTGAATTCCGGAGAACCGGAGTGCCAAGCCGTAAAAATCCCGAGGCAAACCTCCTCGCAAGCCGTCCCAGTACGCCGCTTTTTCCACTTCATCGGTGACGACATACTCTAATATCTGTTCGAACTACCAGGCTTGATAGGTCCCCTAGCACACTATGAATTGCTCGAAGCACAGGCCGTTTCCCCGTATTGTGTCCCGAAGGAAAAAACTTGCTTGGCATTCGAATCCGCTCTAACATGGAAAAAATTCACATGAACACAACGACCTTATGAACATTGATGACAAGCTAGCAACTCCTCATGAGAGCAGAGAAAGATTGCAGGAAGACATCGTCATGGAACCGCGACAACCCGACCATACCAGCAAAGACATCGAGAAGCAGTCCCTCGATCCGCTCCCACCAGCGCAAATCCCCTCCGCTCCCTCCGCGCCCTCGGTCTCCTCCCTCTCCTCCATCCATCCCACACCAAAAACCCAGTCCCATCTCTCAACATACCACCGTGCCCAAACCTACCTCGCAGCCGAGATCTCCACCACCCACACCGACCTCCTCCTCCTCTGCTGCTGCTTCATCTCCGGCCTCGTCGACTCCACTATCTACGACGCCTTCGGCACTTTCGTCTCCATGCAAACCGGCAACACTGTATTCCTCGGCCTGGGTAGCTCCACGCCGCACAATACCTCCAAGCCCTACGGCTGGGCGAAATCCTTCGTCTCCCTCGTCTGCTTCGCGCTCGGCTGCTTTAGCTTCTCGCACTCCACACGCCTGCTCGGAAACTTGCGGCGAGGGACCCTAGCGTTGAGTTTTGGCGTGCAAGCAATATTGGTGTTCATAGCGGCTGCGGTGGTGCAGGGCGGAGTGGCGAACGGGAATATCAATACTATTACGGATGATATAGATTGGTGGGAAGTGCTGCCCATTGCGTTCTTGAGCTTCCAGAGCGCGGGACAGATTGTGGGCAGTAGGGCGTTGAGCTTGGCGGAAATTCCGACGGTGGTGTTGACCAGTTTGATACACGATCTCACTACTGATCGGATGTTGTTGGCTAAGCCGAGGGAGAATGTGAAGAGGAATAGACGAGCAGCGGGCTTCTTCTGCTTGCTTGGGGGATCAGTGGCCGGTGGGTGGATCGCGGAGGGGACTGAGAGGATGCAGATACCGCTGTGGATTGCGGGGGGAATTAAGGTCGGCATTGCCATTGCTTGGGCGTTGTGGCCAGCGAAGAAGAGATCGCCTGTCTAAGATGGTTGTATTTGGCAAATTAAGATTAGAAGCTCACGCTAGAATCGACGTTGTCTGGATCGAGCCATACTCCTGACTGCTTCCCCTTTTGTAGTGCCACCGCGCCCCCTGCCGCCACGTCCGGCACTGTTACAATATTGGCATTCAATGCAATATCTTCCACCCCTGACCAAAATTTGCCAAGCTTACCTCCACCTCATCCGTCTTGATTATGCCTTAAAAAAACGCCCACCTCCTATTCAATACCACAGTCCAAAGACTTCACCAGCTGCGCGTGAAGTATCAACTACGAAGACAGCGGCTCTTCACAAGTTCATATGCTCTTGGCGCCCATGGTCAATTAGAGTTCTCGAGAGAACGACCTTTCGCCCATCTTACAAGCGTTGGTTGCATCCTTAGGGAGACGAGATTTGTTGTTGGATGCCTCGAAATCCAGACTCGTCGCCCTTCAGTCTCATGTTGCTGGAAGCGGCTGACTAACGCATCCCAAATAGTCAGAGGCAAAGTAGATGAATGGAGAGGCCCATAAATCGATGCAGCTTTTTTCTGTGAGAGTACTTGATTTCTCTGGACTTCAGCTATGCATTGAGAGTTCAACAACTTACTCTTTAATTGAGAATGAGAGTAAAATGATATGGATAGTGTCAGTCGGCTTTAACCATCTGGTAGCAAAGAGCGAATTTGGGGTTTGAACACCTCGCAAAAGAAACATGAGACGAATGTGCCAGCTTGATCATAATCATTTCATATGAAACCCTGGGAAAGCCCTGACATTTTTGATCTATTCTCTCCGTGACGTTCCGTTACCACTGGGCGCTCGTTTAATGTCAAATCATTACAGTTGCGTCTTTGGCAACTGCAGCATATCAACTTGGTTTCGTTGCCGGGTGTTCCGTCCCTTGTCATCCTTTGCTAGACAATTAAAGACATAGCACATTGAGTACAAAAGTGATTGAAGGTTCTAATTGTTCGGTATCTCGTGATAAGGAAGAAGGGCAATTCCATGTATGTCGATGTCCCATGAGATAAGGAGTGGTTTTCCTTGAGGCGTCTTCACTGGCCTTGAATCAAATATAAAGTTGCAAAGCGTTGTCTCCATATCATCATCAGGTATGCCCTGATATATGTTGTCCTTGGGTAGGTGGCCTAAGCACTACCAGCAACAAACAAGTTTCATGTATCATCCTCCGTTATCATCACCCTCTTTGAGACCAAAGGACTCTGATCATTGATGCGCGCGTAGTCATGAGCATCCATGCACGCGCGACGACTAGTAAGCACAGCAGGTCCCGTGCGCTTCATCATCTCTGATTCATACGCGTTGATAGCATTCAGAAGAGACGGCTGCCGGTTGGGACTTTCCTGAGTATCGTGGAGTATTGGAAGTAGATGCTGCACAAGGACTGCAATATCTGCGATGCCGTGGTTGGCAGCCTCGCCTCGAACTATTCACGCCAATCAGCCAGTCATTCATACGGATGAGAGGTTGTCATGCGCGATATAGCCTTGGAGTTTTGTGGGTGAGGGGAAGGAAGCCATACACATAGTCATAGCATGCGCCGCATCTCCGATCATTGTCGCTCTTCCACCTAAGGTACCCCACACTCCTTTCTTGGGCACCCAATCTTCCAGCTTGATGGCTTTTACATCCGCTCCCTGCTCCGGAATTGCTTGTACCATCCCCCGAAAAGGCTCAGCCCACTCTTTCGTGACGTCTTTCATGAATCGCACACGGTCCTCAACATTTGCTGGAATTTCGGAAGGTCTATCCTGTCCATGCCATCCTGGACGATACGGCCAGCTGATGATGATCTGGCACTCATATCCACCCGTCTCTTGCCCCTCACGCAATTTGTAGCTCGATGGAGTATCGAGAAAGGAGAAGTACAAGAAGGTGTCGGTTGCAGGGTCGCCACCTTGGAAGAAAAAAGGATCGAGAGCCCGCAATTTCAAGGCTAGAGGCGGAGGATAGGTGATGGTTACGCCCAGTAGGCGCACGGGAAGGGAAGTGTTCTTTCCCAGCGAGGAGGGCTGATGGGAGAGGGTTATGAGTGCAGGGCGCACCCGTGAATGAATGCCATCAGCACCGACGAGGAGCGTACCAATCGCAGAGGTAGAGTCTGAAAAATGAGCTGTGACTTCATGCGGAGAGTCGTCAGTAGAAATAGAGGTCAAGCTTTTGGACCACTAAATCGGGTTAGGGCAAATTAGTACGACGACGTCAATCGGGCAACGGGGCACACAACAACTCACTTGAACATCCAGTCCATCCAATAACAGTGCTCTCAATCGCTCTCGAGAAACGCGTATTCTGTTCGCCGGCGGCACCTTCCACCTTGCTTCACCGTTTTGCAGGTCGAAAAATAGAAAATTTCCGTTTTCGCCTTTCGCACTAGCGTCAGGGTCTACATACACGGAATGGAGACGGTCAACCAGATGCTGCGGCAGGAGCGAGATGAAGGTATCAAGAGACCAATGAATTGTCAGACCCCAACCGCGACCTCGGAAAGACACAGAGGGATCACGCTCGAAAATAGTGAAAGGAATATCGTTCTTCTTGAGAGATTGGGCAAGCACAAGCCCAGTGATGCCAGCGCCGATGATGAGGACGTGTGGCTTGACTGCAGAAGAAGTTCCGTTCGATAGAACTGTTGCCATGATGTCTACTGGGACAAATGTTGATAGGATGCTCCGAAAGCCTGCTCTATAAAATACTTCTGCATCTTTCGGAGGAGCGGCATCGCTCACTAGACTGCGCCTCATTGTCCCACTATCGGACTTTGTCCTATCCGATTATTCCTAGGGCTGCCATGGAGATACTTTTGAGTATGTACAACCATATGGCTTTACCAATTCTCCAACATCAGACCAAGATCCGTCACAGTTCACTTGGAAGTCTTTGCCACCCAATACCAAGGAAGCCGAAATCCTCGTCCCCATTATTTACAGTCATTCTAATATACATACCTAAAGGTCTTGTTTTCCTTGTCGGTCTGATCTGCATATAGCTGCTCCATATGCTCACCTTCGACTACTGTCTCGACGGGCGTTGCGCTCCTGCGCTTGTTTGCCCAGACATAGTACGAGAAGAGTACGAATGACATGACCGCACCGGCTGCTTGGGTTGCGAGTACGGTGATTTTTGCAGGAGTGTACTTCGGCGCATCCTTCGCTTGAAAGGTCTGAGGTCCAATGATGTTTCCGACACTGAAACTTCCAGAGATCAGAGCAACCGCAATGACTCTCTTGGTGTGTCCTGCTACATTTGATGCCGTCCATTGGTAGATAACGATCAGAGTCGCAGTGATGGCATTGACGAGGTAGATACCAGCCAGTTGAGGAGCCTTCCCCTTCCCAAAAGATAACAAGCCGCCACCGATGATGCCTGGAATGCAACAAAGGACTAACCAGGCCCATCGATTTGCTGTATGTCGGACACCAAAGCCGACAACCAAAGTGCTTATGATAGATACAATGCCTGAAGGCATATTAAGAAGCGCAGCGTCGGGCGGCGTGTATCCAAAATTCTTGATCAAGGTTGCGGAATATGTCGTAACAACGCCACTAGAGATCGAAATCTACGACTCTCATATCAGCAGTGCCCAATCTCGAATTCATTAGGTCACCCACTAAGATCGTCAGAATTGTCATTAGCCATAGCTGCAAATCGAGCAGAAGTTCTACAATCTGCTTTGGATTGACCCTCTTCTGGTCAATACCTGTCTGGTTGATGGCGACATGTTTCAAGAGGACGACTTTCTCGGCTTCAGATAACCACGAAGCCTTCATGGGCGTATCCGGCAGAAAGATGAGGGTCAGAAAGCCAATGAGGACGGTGACAAGCCCCAAGACGACAAACATGATCTTCCAACCCTGGAAAGAAGAGCCTTTGACTTGTTGAAATCCGTAGGAAACTACTCCTCCAATGATTTGGCCGAACCCCAAACCCATGTACCAGATGCTGAAACGCGGTGCTGCCTCGGATTTCGTATACCATTGACTACTGATCAGCATCAACGAGGGAGCAATTGCGGCCTCGAAGATCCCGAGGAAGATTCTTGCTGCCAATAAAGTGCCATAATCTTTTGCAGCAGCTGTGCAGGCGGTCGCAATGCCCCAGAGGACAACATTCGCGCCAAGCCACTTTGCCACTGGCACCTTTTGAAGTACAATAGCTGAACATGTGAGTCAAACGTAGGCCTTCAACTGGATCAGACACTACAAACCATTGGGGACCTCAGCTATCAGGTAAGCGGTAAAGAACCACGTCGCCGCATTCGAGAACTCGTTCGGCTTCAATTTCAGGTTCTTATTGAGCCCCATGACAGCAGCATACTAAAACGTAGATGAGCGCAATCACCCGTCGGACTTACGTGCGGATACCTACATTCAATGAAACCTTATCAATGAATTGCATTGTGTAGCAAAGAAACATGATGGGCACAATCCTCCAGTCAATCTTTCGGCGCAAGGCCCTCAATTCGTTCGGAGTCGCCTCTTCATCTTTGTGGTTCCCGGATCGTTGCACAAACCAGTATGCTGCATCCAGATCCTGACCCGCTGTCGCAGTTGGCGTGCTGCCTTGGCTTGACGAATCGCGTTTTCGCTCTTCGATGGCCGCTTCCGGGTGCTTCGCTGAAGCCATACTGGTTCTCACGGGCTCTAGGTGCCTCCAAAAATGCCTAAAAGTTGCGGAAGAACGCAAGTGACACAGTTGCATAAAGCTGGGGAAGCACGTTCCATCCAACCGCGGAACATGCAAGCGAGTGGGGCCCCGTTTTACAACAATGTCAGGCGTAAGCAAATTGTGATCTGCCCGCTATCTCATGGCATTCCATGGCGACGCGCAAGTGACATTAGTGGCATGCAGGGTTACTACGCTAGACGCATGTTGGCAAGAGCGACCAGCCAAGGCCCACGAAGGAAGGCACGAAAAGCCAAGCTGCCCATTTCATGCAGGTAGGAAACTTGGCGCTGAGGCTTTTTAACCCACGTCGAATGAATCTCGCCAGTTAATCAAATTGTTGATGAAATTCACTCTTCACGAAAACGACTTCCATCATTCAACAGCAATCACCTGCCGTACTTCGATACGTCAACATTCGGGTGAATTCAGTATGTCTCTCTCGCTATCGATTGAGATTGCCAAGGCACGACATCGAAGGTTCATTTCATCGCCCCTAGCATCTATGCGGGATGAGGTGTCGCTAGTTGGCTCTATTGGACAATGGCTTCGAATTGGCGTCTGAGGGAACCCTTGTCGTGCATATGGAAGGAAGCTCCTGACCAATGCCAGCCACGGCCCAACCGCAGATCTCAAGCCACACGGGATGGCGCGGGTGTAGGTTGCTGCCATCGTAGCCGATCCATGTTCGGGGGGGACGTCCTCCCCCGACCTCCCCGTCCGACATTTCCTAATACATGCAACCTCTCAGGACGTTCCTACTCTATGTTATCCGTCAGACACCAACAATGTCTTTCAAAAGGGCAGGTACCTTGAATTATAAAGGTGCAAGTAGCCGACGCGGCAGTGATGATCATTCGGAGCACCGAACGGGGTGCGCCTTTGATGTGATAGTCTCATCGGCTGGATGTTGGCTGCCCCTGGGGCCTGCATGGGAGCTTGACAACCCTTGTAGCTCACTGGCGTCCTTTCGTTGCTCTTTCCAGTTAGCTACGGGGTCTCAATTCCAAAGATCTGGGCGATGAAAGCTCACAATCTCTGTCTGAGCTTAGGCTTTACCTGAATCAGCAAGCTTCATAGTACCTGCGTCAATGGCGTCGACTTAGCATCACAACAGGAGCATGTTCAAATGGATTCCGAGGGGTTTCGCTGCGGCCATTCTGGCGGGTGACAACTGCACCGGCAATGCGTCGAGCGGGATATCAGAGAGCCATTATCTTGACTTCTCGTCAAGCGAATGGCTTTTGAATGCTCCTTTCCCTTCGATGTCATCAATGATTGCTGTCTTACTCTACCCTTCGTTTTCTGTGCTGTCATATCAAAAGAACGATCAAGATGGTCTGGATCAACAATGGTACGCCTGAGCTCGACCGCGTATCACAATACCAAACCATTTTGAGCGTCTGTATTTCTCTGTCCATCCTGACGACGACTATCGTATCGCTCCGTGCCTTCGCCAGAGCTCGCATTCTCAAAGTACTAGGAATCGACGACTATGTGACCTTCTTCTCCGGCGTAAATTGTACCTACCCATCCCACACAGCAGAGGTACTAATTGTCGCACAACTCAGATCTGTGCAATCATATATAGCGGTCTGTGCATTGGACAATCAAAATGGGGTCTTGGGCTGGACATCAAGCTACGCCCGAAGCAAAACATTGACGACTACTCTACGGTAAGCACCTTACCTCATCTCTCCACGCTGCTGCCAATAAGCTGAACACACAACACCTCAGATCAACTTCGCTGGCCGTCCATTCTACATGTTTGGTATCCTCGGGTTCAAAGTTGCTCTGTGCTTCGCCTACCTTCGCATCATGAAATCCAGCTCCTACAACTTCTACCGCGCGCTCACCTGGTCTGTGATGATAGCCTGCATCATTGGCCACGTTGCGGGTACCCTCGTTCTAATCTTCCAATGCAAGCCAGTTCAGAAGTCATGGCGACCGCGCACACCTGGCAAGTGTATGCCCAACGATGCCACATTTTACGGGCTTGCAGCGGTCACGATCTTCTTTGACGTCGTGATCTTCTTCTTGCCCATTCCGTTACTACTGAGACTCAATATCAGTATGAAGAAGAAGCTCGCGCTTGTCTGCGTATTTTTGCTAGGGCTGCTCACGACTGTCTGCTCTGTCTTGAGGATGGTGCAGATCGAGACGATTGCGAGGACGGGGAACTCGACCATGCTGGTCTTGTGGGGCGTCATCGAGTTGAACATTGGAGTAAGTTGCCTTCCCTTACCTTGCCGCTTTGCCTGACCTTTTCCACTTCTCCTCTGAGTCGGTCCATACTACGACCTACTCAGCAGCTACTGACAACCCTCCCCTCCTAGATCATACTCACCTGCATCCCAACACTGGGTCCCTTATTCCCCTACTTCCGCGGCACATCCATCGAGCGCACGCCCTCCAAACCCTCTGCATATCACCTCTCGGCCATCGGCTCACGCACTCCCCAACGACCCCTCCGAACCTCTCATATCTCCTCAAACGAGAAATACGGTGAGCGCACACATGGCACACGGTTCTCCAACGCCGGCATCAACGACCTCAGTGAGAGTAGCAGCGAGGATATGGTTAGGCTGAAAGATAATCCCGCGGGCGCGGGCGAAGGGATTGTGAAGAAGACATTTATCAGGATTAGTGTTGATAATGATGGGGATGTGGAGAGGCAGTCTGGTGATGGGGCAAACGTTGCGAGGGCGTGGTAGGCACGGTCTCGGGTACAGTGTACGGGTAGAAGGTGCGCGGTGTTTCGGTTTCGATAGAATAGATGGCTGGAAGGTATGGTAGAAGGGTAATGTTCGACTATTGGGACGACTTCATGGGCTACGACGCCCGAGACCTTACGCCTGCTGCTGCGCGGAGGCTTACTACTATCATTTCGACTAGGCTTGCAACGAATTCATGACTTCCACATCATTCGCAACGGATATAACTTCGCTTTCTTCCCTAAGTTGTACCGATGGCCGAGTGGTCCATTATTATTATTTAGATTCGATCGTGGCTGGTGGACTGCCTAAGAAATAAGGGATGCTTCTAGGGAAGGCCCCCGGGCTTGGCCGCCTATTTCGACCAGCCGAGCTCCCTAGGGCAGCAGGATTCGAAGCCGCTACTTTCGAGCCCTCGGCCTTCTTCGCAGTCTTTAAGATGCATTCTCCGCCGCTATTGCATTTCCTTAGTAGTCGAGATAATCCTTCTTTTCTCATAGAACGGTCTTTTTCTCGATAGGCTGCCTCGTGCAAGAGAGCTGCCCCTCATGCTAACGAGTAGTCTCATTGGTCAATTAGACGCGCTGTGCATTAGATTTGCTGACGAGCTGAGGGGGCTGTGCCAGCGAGGAAACTTTTTGAAATCAGGCTTCTAAGAGAAGTACATCTAAGACAATGCGACTTTTGAAGAGGTGGACAATGTTAGGTATTTTCTTTAATGGATCTAACCAAGAGGAGCGGCTGCCAGTCATTTGAGCGCCGAGCTACTTGCATTATGCCTTGACATTACGAATCAAGTTTTGATACCTGCGAAGACTTGATCATCGAGCATGGCGGAGGTATTAGGGGCCGTTTCCAGTATCACGACACTGATTGAGGTTTCGTTCAAAGTATCAAGATATCTCTTAGCCGTCAAGGATGGGCAGAAGGATCGGGATAGGGTCCGACAAGAGATTTCCATGATCACTGGCATGCTATCTTTTTTGAAGGATCAAGTGGCCGCGTCGAATGAAGATCCTGAGATATTTGCCACCTTGCAGACGCTCGTCGCGCCTCAAGGGCCTCTAGACCAGTTTGCCGACTTATTGAAGCGATTAGAATCAAAGCTGGTTGTGGGAGGAGGCGCCAAGAAAATTGGTAAATCATTCTTGTGGCCATTTCGGAAGGAAGAGGTGAAAAATATTCTTGCAAGCCTCGAGAGGCAAAAGGCATTCTTTGATCTAGCACAGCAGAACGATCATATTCGTCTTTCTCAGGCTATCAGATATGATGTTGCAGATATGAAGCAAAGAATGTCAGGTATCGACGAGAAGCTATCGCAATTGATGCTGGGTAAGCCTTGCACTGACAAAATGGCATGCTCAAGTTTTTAAGCGGTCTAGATCAACGAGCCGGTCATGAAGTCCAAAACACTCAACATGATACTCGGAGAAAGTCAGAAATATTTGATTGGCTCTCACCTTTGAATTTTTGGAATCAACAGCTTGACCTGTCCGCAAAGTGCGAAGTAGGCACCGGTGAATGGCTTCTGAAGCTCAAAGAATTCAATCAATGGGTAAACAGCTTAGGCGAAGTTTTGCATTGTTGGGGGATTCCTGGCGCTGGAAAAACATTTCTTGCTTCCAAGATCGTCCATCATTTACAAGAGCGGGAACAAAGCCACGTCGCATTCGCTATTGCATTCATCTACTGCAATTATCAGGAGAGCCATACTCAGACTCTGCAAAATTTGGTAGGCAGCATCGTTGAACAGATTGTACGAAGCCTAGGCCACGTCCCGCAAGGCCTTGACTCCCTATACAGTAAACACGTCAAGGATAGGACAAGGCCATCGCAAAACGAGCTTTAGCAATTGATCTATCACATCTGCAGTCAAAACTATCGAATCTATCTGATTATAGATGCCCTTGACGAATATCAGGACTCGCCTGGTATCGTCGAGATGCTGAGCCGTTTGCAACAATCTACTAGTATCAACATACTCATCACATCTAGACCTGTCATCTCAATTGAGCAGCGCCTAGAAAACGTCAGGAAGGTAGAGATCCGTGCGCACAACGACGATCTGAAGTTGTACATTTCTAATCGAATACCAACGCTGCATTGCATAAGATCAAGACCAGAACTACAAGCTCTAGTCGCGGATGAAATTATACATGCAGCTGATGGAATGTAAGGATTGAATCACCACGTTAGTCTAGGCTAAAACTCTCTGCAGGTTTCTACTCGCTCGTCTGCATTTTGATTCCTTGCTGGACAGAGCTAGCCCCAAAGCCATTAAGAACGCCCTTGAGAAGGTCCCAAAAGGGTCGAACGCCCTACCGTTCGTCTATAATAGTAAAATGGACCGGATAAATAATCAGACTTCATACTCCCGCGACCAGGCTATCAAAGTGCTCTCGTGGCTTTTCTTTGCCTTAAGGCCATTATCCATAAGCGAACTAGAAGCAGCACTCGCAATTGAAATCGGTTCAGAGGAGTTTGACAAAGACAACATCACAAATATTGACCACCTGACCAGTCTATGCAAGGGATTTGCAACTATTGATCGAGAGAGCGAAATTGTTCGTTTCTCACACTATACTGTTCGGGAATTTTTCGATTCTACACATGAGAAGCATCTACCTAAAGCGCAAGCCTACATTGCAAAGACTTGTCTCACTTGTATCTCTTGCATAAACTTTCAACAACGTCCACGGCGCGGCTCTGATTCCAAGTTGGAAAACTACGCTTTGCGTAATTGGGGTGAGCATGCCAGACATGCACAGAGCGAGCTTGAGAGTCTTGCCTTGACATTCTTTGGCAAGGAAAATAACGTGAAGGTAATCTTCAGCATGATTCAATATTCATTGGGAGATAGGTATTGGAGCTCGATGATTCCTGATCCTGAGCTTGCTAGCATTTACATGTGTGCTTATTTTGACTTGGATGTGTTAGCCAAGCGACTGATTGAGGAGGGCGCAAATCCACATGTCGGAAAAACTTTTTCGAGAAGCCCACTAGCTTGGGCAATCAGAGAAGACAATATCAATATCATACCACTGCTGATGGAATTTTCATGTGGTCCTCGATCAAATGTAAGCCAGAAACTGACGGGTCATCCCGAAAGACAATGGACATGTGACGAAGACGGAGACGGATTGTTGCATTATGCCATCAAAGCAGGCTCTACAGAAGCCGTCAAGGTTCTTCTGGAACATGACAATGTAGATATCAATGCTCAAAACCATAAGGGGAATACACCGCTTGCATTGGCGGCTGCATTTGGTCTATTTGGTATCGTCCGACTCCTCTTGGCTCGCGGTGATGTTGACTTGAATTTAAGAAATAAGTGCGGTAGCACAGCATTGTAGCCTTGCGGCAGCACACGGGCAAGAAACGATCGGAGAATTACTGCTAGGTCCTCACGAGCTGGATATCAATGGCGTTGGTTATTCTGGATACACAGGGTCACATTCTGGACCCTTGTCAATCCGCGGAGAATATTTACGGACATTGCAAGTCCTTTTGGAGCGCGAAAGCATTGATATCAACGGGAAACATAGTGGAGGACAGACAGCATTGATATTTGCTGTTAGGACCGGAATCGTCCAAGTAGTGGAGTCTCTGTTGTCGCGACATGATATTGACGTAAATGGCAAAGACGATGCAGGCGCGACAGCACTTACTTACGCTTCTCAGGCCGGACATAGCAGAATGGTGCGATTACTTCTACACCAGCCGGGCATCAAGCCAGATTCCCAAGACTTTGTCGGTCGAACTCCGCTCAGCTATGCAGTCAGCTATGGATGGAAAAGTGTGGTTAGCTACTTTCTATCTCGCAGCGATATCGAACCAAATCTAAGGCTTAGGAACGGCCGGACGCCGCTATTGCTAGCGGTCGTTGAAGGTGGTAGTAGATACGGCCAAGGGCGTTATGCAAGATCGGGGAAGTATGTGAAAGAGGAAGGGGAGACAAGGGATTTCACCGAGGAAGAAAACTCAAGATTAAGTTACGACATCCTAAAGCTTCTTCTTCAGCACCCAACAGTAGATCCTCTGGCTTGTGACGATAAAAATATGGGTGCTCTACAATATGCGGTTATGAAGGGTAACAAAGATCACCTGAGGTTGCTTCTCACTCATGAGAAAGTCCACTCATACCTTTGTGGCATTGTCAAAAGTGATGGGTATGTTTATTCAGACGATTTGGGGTCATTGTCTGGACACCAGGTCCGGATCAAGAAGTTTGACATCACAAGTGAAAACATGGAGTGTTGTGAGGCATAGACACCGTTTCTCACAAACCCAATATGTGAGAAGTAGTCACTGGAGGTTGATACCCATAACAGCATAATCGATACGGAAAATTACTATGCTCATACGAGCCGTTCGAGATCTCGCGGCAGCAGCAATCTCCAAATTGAAAATTGTCGCTCTTCATCGCCCTTAATTGGGTATGGAATCCACTCTTACCTGAACGTTATTGCATCTTTCCGTTGAACAAAACACAACGTTTGAGCGGCATGCAACACATCGTACTTCAATCGTATAATAGGCAGCATTAAAACACCTAACAAGCCATCCCACAAGTTACCCATGTGTAATGTAAGAAGCAAAGCTTCCATTCCCTGCGAATTTCTCGTGCGCAATCGCGACCTTAGCCCGGAGGTTGAGTCTGCCGCAGAGCCACCAGGAGGTTTGATCGACCGCCACTCTTTCCTTTATCACCAGAATGAGAAATGCTGGACCCTTGGCAACTTTCGTCAGATGCCGACGAAGTGCCAAAAATGCCCCATGAGCAGCCCAACTAAGAGGGGGCAGCGCCTCCGATTGGGCGCCACCTGACCGCAGCGAATGTGGCTGTGCCTCGAAGAAAAATTTCCAATTTTGATCAGCCTTCCATCTCAATCATCTCTTTCTTCAGCGATCGATCTTGTCACAATTAAGTCGTACTGCTCAACTTGGGCTCCTAGGCTATTATGGAGCCACTTGCAGCAATCGGCTTGGCCGCCAACGTTGTCCAGTTCTTGGATTTTGCTCGAGGCCTAGTCTCTGAGGCATTCGAAATTTACCAAGCTGTCGACGGAGCGACTTCTTCGAACGCTCTTTTGGAACGTGTTACTGAGGATCTTATTCAGATTTGCAACGGTCTAGATTCGACAGCCCATGAACGCGATGGTGGCTTCAGCAATAAGGCTGAAGCTCAGCTTGTGCCTCTGGTGAAGGTAAGACTCAGAATTCGGTCATTGTATTCAGCGCGCACGTCTCCTCTGGGTCTATCCTCGCATGTCTTAAAGCATTCCTGCATGAGATCCGTAACACTACCTCTGAGTGTACGAGCAGGCTTTACTAATGTCATGTTTCGGGCAGGCATGTAGTAAAGTAGGGCACGATTTCCTGGCAGCACTTCAAAAACTCAAGGTTCAGGGCAGTCGAAAGAAGTGGGCCAGCTTTCGACAGGCCCTGAGGTGTGTGTGGAGTGCGAAAGAAATCCAAAGATACCAGAAGCAACTAGAAGCATATAGATCTGAGATTGCCGCGCATATCCTTACCATATTGAAGTATGGCGTGCATGCCCTATTTTCTAAACGCACTTGCTGACGGAAACTCTCTCTTGATATTAGAGAACAACAAGATCAGATTCTGAAGGAGCAGCTGGGAGTGACGGCCAAAGTTGATGGCGTCGCCAATATATTGGACCGTCTTGCTGAAAGTCACCGTCGTCTGGAGATAGCTTCCGTAAATCAGTCTGCCACGTTGAGGAAAGAAATTACTAGCTCCTTACGAGAGGTGGTGAAAGAACATGGCAAGAACCCAGGCGGCGAGACGGAATGCATGGCGTTCCAACTTCCGTCAACCCTCCAGGGAAATCTGCGGCAATTGGCAACAACGAGTACTGTTTTGCAGAGGCAGATTGAAATTATTGAGAGCCTGAAATTTCCAGGAATGAATGATCGAGAAGACAACATTAAGATAGCGCACCCCGGAACTTTCACTTGGTTACTTGAAGATGAGACAGAAGACTACGACAATGACATTGATGAGCAGTCCAAAATACTTGACTGGCTTAGGACCGGGTCTGGCATCTTTTGGATCAGTGGTAAAGCAGGATCTGGCAAGTCAACATTGATGAAGTTCTTCCACAACCACGATAAGACTTATTCTACCCTTAAAGATTGGGCCGGTGACACACGCTTGCTTGTTGCCAGCTTTTTTTTCTGGAATGCTGGAAACACAATGCAGAAGAGTCAATATGGTCTTCTCCAAACGCTTCTTTACCACATCTTGAAGCAAGCCCCAGAGCTGATTGCGTCTATTTGCCCGACTCGCTGGCAGGAAAAGTCAAGCAGCTCTTGGAAACAGAACGAAATCACTGCGACTTTTACTAGGCTCAAGGAGCAGCACATAGACTTTGCTCGCTTCTGCTTTTTCATTGATGGTCTTGATGAGTATGAAGGTGACGATGATGACATCATCAGCACTCTGGATGAACTCACCTCTTCGAAAGCAATCAAGATATGTTGCTCTAGTCGGCCTTGGAACGTCTTTGAACGCGCCTATGGGCACAAAGACAAAGTCAAAATCAAGCTCCAGGACCTGACTCGTGACGACATCTCACGCTTTGTTGAAGAACAGCTTGCTGAGGGAAGGCAAACATTGAGCCTCAAGGTGCATCAGGAATCATACCAAAACCTTGTGGACGAAATAGTCGATAGTAGTGACGGAGTATTTCTGTGGGTCTTTCTCGTCGTAAGATCACTTCGCCGTGGAATGACAAATCTCGATACCCCTGTCGAGCTACAGAGCCGTCTACGTGAGCTACCCACGGAATTGGAGGCTTTCTTCCAGCATATACTCGACAAAACAGACAAAGTCTATCACCAGCAAGCTGCCCGTCTATATCAAATCTGCCTAGTGGCTCGATGCCAAATTTCGGCCCTCGACGTCAGTTGTTTCGCTGAGCAGGATCCGTTTTTCGGGTTAAGTGACAGACTGCTGGCACTCAATTCTTCTGAACTCTCAGGTTTGAGTAACGAAACTGTTGTAAGAGTCAAGGCTCGATGTCAGGATCTGCTAGAATTCACAAGCGCCAACTTGCAGTTTCTTCATCGGACCGTCAAAGATTTCTTAGAAACCAATGATATTTCAACACAACTAAAATCAAGAGCTGGGGCGAACTTCAATCCTCATAACTTTCTCTGCAACTCAATGCTCTTGCAGATAAGGTTGAAGGCTCGTCTTTCAAATCCAACAGCTATTCACTCTGCGTCATTTACCACGAAGCTTCGCTCATTCGGCCAACATGCGCGCAATTTAGATGACAATAACGAGCTGAATTTGACCCTCTTGACAGAGCTCGCTAAATCTGGTAAAGAATTCTCGCGAAAATTACCCACCGAAGCAGGATGGGGCACATGGCTTCCTTCTCATTCTCTTTTGGAAGAATCTAGTTTTCACGGATGGTATCACGAAGGTTGGCTTGCTGATGTGTTGGCTCATGACGGTGTTCGGAATTATCTTTCGCAAGGTATTGGTGGAACCATTGATATCGTCAGCCTAGAGGGAAAAGATGTTAAGAAGACTCCCCTCAACATCGCATTAAATCATATGAAAGGTCAGAACAGGAACAGGGAGGTCTTTCGCCTTCTAGACGAAGGCGCTGACCCAAACGAGGAAGATCATGGGGGTATTTCTGAATGGCGACGCTACATCATGTCAAAAAGCTCAAAGTCAGATGCATGTCCAGACAAGTGCAAACACAAGGAGTGCGAAACATCAGAGTGCGAAATTATCGAAGCACTTCTTCTCCATGGAGCTGATCCAAGTCTGGCTGGTGAAAAAAAGCGTTATTTTCAGATCTTGAAAGATATGTCATCGAAGGATGTTAGAGACTTAGAAAAGATCCGGATGAGTCTTCTGCCCTCGGTGGATGATCAGCAACAACTGGTAGACAGTCAGCAGAGAAGGCCATCTACCCACAAAAGAAAATCCCAAAATGGCCCATACCTGCCGTCTAAGCTGAATGACCGAGACACGAGAAAGAAACAAAGACGTGCTTAGATGCTATTGCTTTGTCGCGGCCGCCACGCCTAGCCTGCATCGAACAATGTCTTGTTCAAGGTATGGACCAGCGACAAGAAGAGTCGCTGGTAACATTCAGGTCTGTTCAAAACAGGTCGCACAATACCTTTTGGAGCACGACGTTTCTGAAACAATGATTGAATGGATCGCGACACCGAGTGTTCCCCTGTGGACCGAGCTTTTGAAATAGCTATGGCTTGCGGGAAGCGTAGGTGAAGATCTCAATTACACTACATGCTCTGACAACGTCGCCAAGGCAGCATCTATGTTCTCGAGAGTGAGGTACTCTCTTCCTGATGATAAATATTGTTTTCGACAGATTGAATTTGTGATAAAGCTCTGGTGGCAGTCTAGGCTCGCGTTGTATCTGTCGCTTGAGTCCACATTTCGTATGTGATGACCACAGAATCATACCGACGAAACCGTCCAACGAAGTCGAGCACCAAATTGGCTCGTAATGAGAATTGCTGTTGTTTACGTGTACAGACAAGAATCGGCAGGCAACCAACAATGAATTTTGTCACTGAAGATGCGACAGGCGCATAGCTCGGGGCAAAGTGCCTGCTGCGGGTTATTTGGGCGTGGAACCGTGTGTTGTACGTCACACGGCCCGTCTTTTAGGAGGTTTCATCAAATGACGCTTTATTGTTTATGGGAGGTTGACGGCTGGTGACAGTGTGTCCAACAGAATCATGTCGTTTTCTCCTTATACACAGCTCAATGTTTCAACAACATGCTACGCCTCGAATTTCTGAGAAAGGCACTCTGTTGCAACAGCGGAAGACGTGGAGGTTGAGCTTCAATAGAAGACTTCAAGTTCGCTGGGCCTGAAGATATATCACCGAAGCGACTAAAATTCTACGACTTTACAAAGCTTAGCCAGTACGAGAGTAGCGACCTACTTCATTCGAACATCCCGGTCTGCAGTATCTCTTGTTCATTGTCAAGCATAATGAAATCTGGTCTCGTTATGTCAGCTTGTCTCTTTGCTATAGATATCAATGCAAAAAGATCGCCCAATCAAGTTAACAATCTAGCTAAGCGAGTCATGCAAGTGAGTAGAGCACATCGGACTCAAACTCCTTGAATTGACATACCCCAAAGCGCATCGATTGTGAAGACGCAGCCTTCCCAGTCCTTCCGGGCGCGAGCGGACAAACCATCAACCACTTGATGGCAGTGAATTTCTTGGGAAACTTCCAAGGAATGTGCGAGGACCCCTTCGACGGCTTAGGCTACTATTGTGATGGCGACGGCCATATCCTACCGGCAGTCCCTAACACACTCCTTTACCAGAACCCGGTCACAGAGCCGTACAAGATTGCTTGCCTGGCTAAGTGCGTCTGCGCTCCTGATTACGAGTGGGACCCCGACTTTGGGACAGATAGAAGAGCTTGTGATAGCGACGATGATGCACAGCCAGTGCCTGGTGGAACGCAGCCTGGTGCCGCGCAGTCGCCCTGTGTATCGCCTTCCGCACCTGCCTCGCCCTCGCCTTCGTGGGGTACGCAGAACTTCTTTGATGGGGGTATCACGAGTGATGGAGATATGTATGGCTTTCCGGGAAATGACGACTGTAGTCGAGTAGTAGGCTTCTTAGCAACTTCGACGCTGGGCTATGGCCATAATCGCTGGCAGTACGCCGAGTTTCTTGATGTAGGTACAGCGTCATCGGGGAATCCTGATGAAGAGGTCCGCTTGCCGTACTCGTACACTCATGGTCAGGAATGCAAGAACCTTCGAAATGAATAGTGGACTAAGTTTAGCTAGGAACCTGTACTGTCACGCTGATGATGGAGAACCCTGTTCAAGGTTCTTATCACACACCAGATCGTGTTGTTGCTGCCTGGACAACCTTGAGTCACAGAGCAGAAGCAATCCGTCAACGCTGTGTATCGCCTTTCGGCGTCGGAGGGTGGGGACGTATTGGTAAGTTCCTTCTTCACCACGGTCAACCCTATCTCCTCCCTTCAGCAATCTGTCTCCAAGATCAAACAACAAACCAACCCATCCATACCCTAACTAATGTCCCCCCAGGCGAAGGCAGCAACGAAGGCAACCACGAGATCTACCCCCTCGCCATAACCCTCTCAGGCCCCAACTCCAAATTCTCCAACTTCCTCTCCATAAACTACGCCTGCGCGACCGACTACTCCGGCAACGACATCTGCAACCCCACATCCCCCGCACCCGACCACAAACCCAACCCCCCACCCTCCGACTCCGACAAAATCCTCGAAGGCTCCTCCTGCGGCGCCGACACAGACTGCACCTCCGCAAACCTCGCCAAAAACAACCTAATCTGCGCCCTCGAAATCGACGCGCCCATGATATCGCCCGCGTTCAAAAGCGCAGTGTGCACGTACATTCCCAACGTCGCGGCGATGATCGCAGCAGGCACATTAATGGCGAAAGAGTTTGTGGGAAGGAGGAGGTTGCTTGATGATGCGAATGGGACGATTAGTGCGTTGAAGACGCCCACCTCGCCGGGGATAGGGGTCCTTGAGGGGCTTTATTGTCCGTGTAATTGCACGTATTGTTCGAGTGGGTGCTGTATGAGTGCGACGAAGCTGGTTTTTGATGAGGGTTTGGGTGTCGGGAGCGCGGTGGGGGTGGGGAACGGGACGGGGGTGAATGTGGCGAGGGAGATGACGGCGCCGAATGCGAGTGTTTGCTGCGATGAGGCGACGGGGGCGTGGAGGAATGATACCGTCTTGAGGGATCAGGCGGGGAAGTGGCGGGCTTGTAAGGAGGTGGGGGAGGGTGGTTCGAGTATCAATTTCTGAATGGGTGAGAGGAATGGGGTTATGAGCGTGAGCGTGGGTGGGGGTGGAGAACGTCTGGGGATGAAAAGACAGCTACTGTGTATGGCGTGCGCATGTCCGAGATACGTCCTCTTCTCATCTTCGAACACAGCACGATCCGGACGGAACCTTAAGGAGCGATGAGATAAGAGCATGAAAGTGGTGCGAACGCTTCGTGAATGCATCTCTATATATATTCATCAACAAGCACATTGCCAGAACGCTCATCTATGACCCAAACGCCAAAAAAGCAGGCTGGCAGAGACATCATCCTATACAAGCCTACTACTGTTCAGTCTCCCCTCCCTTCCCTCATCCATCTCATTCGATTCCCCCGATAAATCTGATCCCTCAAGCAGCACTCTCCATACTCCGTCTCAAAAACGCCGCAACCTCACTCGCCTTCTCCCTCCTCTCCATCATACTGAAATGATTCGCGCCCTGCACGACCTCAATTCTACAATTCTCCTCCCCACCCAGCAAGCCAGCGTAACCATTCGTGCTGAAATCCGAGCGCTGCTCCAGCAACCATCTCATCTCCCTGCCATCCTTCCCCGCCGTATTCGTATATCCCTCGGGCTTCCTCCCTTCCGTATCCTTCAGCACCCCATCAGCCGCCCAGATGAAATGCGCTTTCGGCACGCTCTGCCCCTGCCCCTGCGAGAACGGTACTGCTTTCGCGGAATATTTGTCCAAAGCCTGCGTGAAGGAGAGGAAATGCTTGATCAGCCAATCCGGGGGCGAGCCGCCGCCGAAGAGGCCGACGGATTTGAAGAAATCGTAGAGGGAAGCTGGGAGGGCGTCGATGCCGATGGGGAAGGGCGAGTCGATGAAGATGAGGCGTTCAACTTTGTCGCCTTGAGAGGTGAGTGTCTGGGCGGCGTCGTAGGCGCAGATTCCGCCTGCGGACCAGCCGCCGAGATTGTATGGGCCTGTTGGCTGGCGCCGCTTTATTTCTGTCAGGTAGGGCGCTGTGAGTCCTTCGAGGGAACAGGTTAGTTGCTCAGGGGTTTTCATGAAGGGACAATTTAGGCCGTAGATTGCGATGGTAGAGGAGGCGGCGGGCATGGAGGTGTAGGAGGTTGCGGAGCCGGAGCCGTCGGGGAAGAGCCAGAGGGTTTGGGTGGCGGTTTGGGGGTTTCCTGATAAGAGGATGGACGATGATTTAGGCGTATTTGTGGTGGCTGGCGCGGAGGGCGGGGTGGAGACGACTTGAGGTGCAGGAGCAGGAGGAGCGACTATCTTCTCTCCTTTCGGAGCGAGGCCTAGGGTGTCAGCGATTTTGTGGAGAGTGCTGTTGTCGGTGAAGAAGGTGTCGGATATTTCGACCTGGGGGAGGTCTTCTCGCATACGGCCTGTGATTGTGAGGATCATGAGGGAGTCCATGCCCAGCTCGCCAAAGTCGGCATCGTGAGTGAGTTCGCCTATGTCAACACCGGTTTCTTCAATGATTATTTCTTTTATCATGGACATTGTCTTGTCGGCTGGTCCGTCTTCCGTGTTCTCACTGTCTGGAGTCGTAAGACCTGAGTCGTTGGCTAACTCTTGTCCGTCATCTGAGGAGCCGATGGCCGGCGTAGATGGTGCAGTCGACTGGGCTGCGGTGGAAGCGCCGCTGTGGGTTTTCGAGAAGTATGTTTTGAAGTGACCCACGCTAGGGCATTCTGTGAAGATAGAAGACTCGGTGTCAATGTTCAGCTGCTCCTTGAATCTTCCCGAGATCGTCAAGGAAAGCAGTGAATCTACGCCAATGTCGTTGAATTCGGTCTCATCTGAAAGCTCTTCCCGAGAAATGCCAATCTCTTCCGCAAGGATATTCATAGCTTGGTCAAGCACTGGAGGACCTGCAGGAGGCGATGGAGAGAGATCGACTTTCTTTGGCGCTTGCACAGCCTTCTTTGGTGCAACTTTGGGGGGTGAAGCAGTCGATCTGGCACCATTCGCAGGCGGCAGAACACTATCTAAGATACGGCGTGGAATACCTTGGAATTTGATACCCTTGTAAAGGCCGACAATCTTGGCTTCGTTGAATATGAATCTAAGTAGATGCTTTTAGTCTCGTATAAATGGAAGTGGGAAGGGTCATACATACACATCACCAATGAAAGTGCTATCATCGAAAGGTTGCATTTTCACATATGTCTGGTAAGTCGTCGAGGAATCGAAATGCCGGATATCAGCAAACTTGACAGACTCCCATCCATGATTGATGTAAGCTGTCTTCTTGAGATCAACAGCATCATTGCCGTTCATGACAAATCCAGACAAATGTCCTAGAGAATCAAGCCAATACGGGGAGAATAAGAAATTTTCTTGTTCCTCATAAGTCTGAAACTTGACATGCGCCGTACCTTCAAGCTCCTTGCTATCCAGAATGACGTCCTCGAAACCACGGAATGCAGGGGCATACTCGACCATTGAGCTAAAGACACGGTAAGCCATGCCTCGCTTCATGAGGTTAGTATTTCCTGTGTCAACATCTTCACGTAAGCGCGTGAGTTGAGGTTGAATCAGATAAGCAGCACGCTGCCATTCTGCTTGCCATGTGTGGCCATCGCCGTATCGTAAGGCACAGGATGCGTGGTCCGTTGTCTTCTTGCCGTCCGTGTTGACGCTGAATATTTCGACTCTCCCTGCATTCATGAACCAGTCGACTTTGGCAACTGCACGAACGAGCTGCGTGCTTTGGTCTTTGCTGGCAATGAGTGGCTTCACAACCGACATATCCGCGATATCTAGCGAGCTATTACGGCTATTGGGGTTGTAGCGGTGGACAAGATAATCGCCAATGGTCAAGGCAATATCAGCCCAAACAGTCTGCAAAGCTCATCAGTGGACTGCCAATATGGAGAGTGAACGAACAGCAAACTCACCGATGGACAGAGAGCCGCTCCGTTAACCTTGTGCCCTTGCAATACCTGATACAGTGCGTCGTCCGCAATATCCGACTCAATCGTAATGGAAGCCCCCTTGTCGTCCCCCGACTCCTCAACGACTTTCTGAACAGAGGTTGTAGACAATGTTGGCTTGCTTGGATTTTCTGTGCCCATGATGGCAGGTTGCGCATCGCCTTTGTACAAGCACCAATCGTTCGCATATTGAATCCAATGGTTCTTGAGGTCCCAACTGTACGAGGGCAGCTGTAAGACCTCATGATATTGTTCATGGTCGCGATGATATTCATTCCAGTTAATCTCACTGCCCAAGGCATGAAGCGTGGAAAGAGTGCCCAAAATGAGCTTCCAAGTATCCTCTTTGCGACGCAGAGATGGTAATGCTGTGAACTTAGCTCCGAATGTCGACTTGATCATGCCTGAGCACACTGTGTGAGGCCCAATTTCTATCGAGATATCCGAGTCGTTGATAAGATGAGCTTCCTTGGCTGCATAGAGACCGCCAAGGAAGTTGACGGCTTCTCTGCAATGTCTTGCAAGATATTGCGGACCAAATGTACCAGCTTCAGTGATGACTTTGCCGAGTAAGGGTGAGATAATTGGAACCGAGGGCTTGTTGAAGGTGATACCACGAGCAGATTCTTCAAACTCCTTTAAGATCGGCTCGACTTGAGCAGAGTGGAAGGCAAAAGGCACACGAAGTTTCGTCGCCTTTATACCGGCATTTGAAAGATCCTGAGCAAATGAATCCAAATCTTCATTGGTACCGCTGATCACAGTTTCCTCAGGCCCATTGATGCAGGCAATCTCACAAGGCTGGCCTTCGATGAATGGACTTATGCGAGAAGCAGACGCTTTCACAGCTAGCATGCTGTGCGTGCCAGCCTTGCACTTGTCCACAAGGAGTGTAGCTCTCTTACCACAGAGATAGATAGCGTCAGTAGGGGACAGGACACCGGCAACATTGAGAGCAGCGTACTCTCCCAGACTATGACCAATGACTACGCTCGGATTTACGTCCCATGATATCCAGAGCCTTGCAAGAGCCATCTGCAAACAGGTCATTGCAAGCTGGGAAGTGACTGGAGAAACCTGAGAGATATCGGTTGCTTCTGGACTGCCCTCGATAATTGGTAAAATGCTGGTATACCCTTGATATCTCACAATACAATCAAGTTGCTGCATGTACGACCAGAAGGTGGAGAAACCCTTGTATAATTGCTTCCCCATTCCTAAATACTGCGAGCCTTGACCTGTGAAAGCGAACGCTATATGATTAGGAGCAGCGGGGATAGAGGTGATGCTCTCGTTTGCTGCTTTCTCAAGGCTTGTGGCAATTTGATCGAGGTCAGAGCCACTGACCATGAGGCGATAAGTACTATGCAAACGACGAGCAGTCGTAGTATAAGATAAACTTGCTATAGATAAACGGTTGCTGCTGATGTGTTTGATCAGATTCTGGGCGTTGTTCTGAGCGGCATTGATAGAGCGCCCGGAAACTGCAACAACATGCAGAGGTCGTGGGTTTTTGTCTTCAACCTTTCGGTGGGGAGCGTCTTCTAGCAGTAGAGCTGTGTTGCCACCAGCAGCCGAGAAGTTGTTGAGAAAGGCTCTACGCTTCTTGCCAGCAGGTCGTTCCCACGGAGTTGGCTTGAATGCAATGTGGACATCGCGCTGAGTAAGGTCTTTAGGGAAGTTGTGATTGATCTTGGTTTTGATCCCACAATGTGGGGGGATCATGTTTTCTCTCATCATGAGCATAACTTTAATAAGTCCAGAAACTCCTGAGGCGGCCTCAGCATGCCCAATATTAGCCTTGGCTGAGCCTAGGTGCAGTGAATCCTTGCGAAATTTGGCGTCTGGCGCAAATGTACCAAGACAAGATGACATTTCGACGGCATCGCCGTGCTGTGTACCCGTACCATGCATCTCGATGTAACTAATGTCTTTCGCGTCCACGTTGGTCTGATTGAGTACTTTATCGAAAAGGGAGGCCTGTGCTCCCATATCTGGTCTGGTAATAGAGACAGCTTCTGCAGAATGATTGGTCCCAGCTCCGAGAATCACTCCAAGTATTGGGTCATTATCGGCTTCAGCGTCTTCCAGTCTCTTGAGCAAAACGGAGCCAACAGCATCAGCACGGCAGTATCCATCAGCGCCATCGTCGAAAGTCTTGCAGTTACCTGTCCGTGACAGGAAGTGCCCACGATCTAGACCAGTAAATAGGTCGGGGTTTGTGAGGACGTTCGTACCGCCGGTAAGGGCAGTATCGCAATCACCATGCCAAAGAGCGTTGCAAGCAGTGTGAATAGCTGCAAGACTCGAGGAACAGGCTGTGTCAACATCTATGCTAGGACCCGAGAATTTAAAATGGTAGTTGACGCGTCCAGGAACAAAAGCGCGAATACCACCCGGAATATGGTATGTATCAATGTTTTGAGACGCATTGACCTCTCGCCAATCATCTGAACAGGTACCATAGAACACGCCAACACGATCACGCTGCGAAGATGGTGTTCGATTTGCGACAAAACCAGCTTGCTCTAAAGCTTCGTAAGCAGTAAGCAGAGCCAACCGTTGAGCAGGATCGCATTGAGCAGCTTCCTTAGGCGACATATTGAAAAATCTGGCATCAAAATGACCGGGGTTCGGAATGAAGCACCCATATGATGTTGCCATTGTGTTCTTCTTCTTGCCCGTGGGATCGACATGAGTTTTTACATCGAAACGCTCTGGTGGGACTTCTCGGTGAACATCAAGCCCTTGATAGAGTAAGTCCCAAAACGCCTCAGTAGACTCCGCTTCTGGAAATCTTCCGGATATGCCAAGAATAGCGATCTTTGACTGTTCAGGACGGCCTGTCTTCAATGACTCCCATGGTGGGACAGCGCCGGCAATGGCATTGACTTCGACTGCATTCCCAGCTTGACGGAGTGCAGAGTTGAGGGCTTGGATTGCATTTGTCGCAATGGGAATGAGATTGCATATCGCGTCGGACGACTTTGCTATCTGATCGCAAGCCTGGAAGACCTTCTCGAAATTAAAGGGCTGGAGAAGGATCTCGCGTAGGCAAGCCCGAATGAGCTCGCCAAAGCTGCTATACTGGACGATTTCTCCGGTCGTGCTAGAAATTATTGGAATTTTGGGAACGTAAGTTGTGTAAACATCGCTAGAGCTTTGTGCGAAAATGGCATCGATGTCCTTTTCCTTGTAAAGATGTGGAGCATGATATGGTGAATGTACGGGCACAAATTTTGTTTTTTGAGCGACGAATGGTTGATGTTGCAGCAGCTTTTCAAGTATTTGTGGACCGCCACTCACTGTGACGCTGTTTGCGTTGATGGCACTAACGTATGGCTCTGAGTATTTTGGGACACCCTCTCAGAGGTAAGCAGCTTTCATAAGTCTCCGACGCAGCTACTTACGTTAATTTGCGAAAATTCTCGCAGCGCAGGTGTAGCTGTGCCTTCGTCTATTCCTGAGACGACTACAGACCAGTCATGCTTCGTTGACCTTCTACAGATCCGATCACGCATTTGTAGGGTACGGAGACCGGTCCGAAAGGCGATCAGCACCGTCTCCACTGCAACAGGAATGAGGTCCGAGACAGCATGAGCAGAGCTGATGGCTGCTGCTGCAAGTAGTCCCGTACAAAGGCCACTGAAGTATGAACCGGAAGCCAACGGGTATACTCGTGCTTCTTCGCCATAATAGCTTTCATTATTGTTAGCTTTGTCAAGTGGCATTTACAAAATGGCTTACGCTATGAACGTTGCGATCTGATGGACACAAGTCAATGCTCCTTCGAGGGCGGGATTGTCTTGGATTTTCCTGTACCGCGTCAAGAGGTCAAGAATAGAGCTGAATCGAGGGAATTCGGCCCGCAATAAAGACGGCAATTTCCCAATCTCTTCCCTGACAGCAAAAGTTGCTCTTTTCAAGAACGCTTCCACAAAGATGTTGTCTTTGCGTTGAAATAGCTTGCGTATACCATCATCAAACGGGTTGGTTTGATCTCCAAAGAGGAGGATCTCTTTTGTTTCAGTCATGATGGGAGCGACATGAAACAAAAAGCAGGTATAGCCAAGAAGAGCTAATTACACAAGGGCTGGACCAAGGGCAAAGGGGCTTTTGGCAAGACAAATGGCTGCGAAAAGGGATGCAATGGCTGTGGAAAGGGTGTGACAACGTTAAAATCTACATAATAACATACGAGAGAGCGAAGACGTGAACTTGACCGTTCAGCGAGCGCATAGACACCAACTCGCAGAGCGGTAAAACCTTGGATATGCGCCAAGATTCGGGATTACTTTGCGTGATTCGCTGTCGAAGGTATTCATCGGTGAAGTCGGTGATTACCGAGAAGACTGAGGTTCAGAATAGTAGGCAATCACGCCAATGTTGCTGTCCTCTGTGCCTGCTAAGCCATTTTCAGTGGGGACGATAGAATTACCAGATCCGCTCTGATGTGGCATTTCAACATGATCACGCATTTTCTGGCAGGAAAGATCTGGTCAAGTACCGTACCCAATGTAAAAGGTCTTTCCTCTCTGTCATAGATGCTGCTGGGGTCCTGTGTTCCCGGCGGGCTATTCTCATAGCACGCCACTAGGCTAGGGCTCTTCGGCAGATCGATCAGCTCCTAGCCGTTGGAGCGCCGTCAGAGATGTAAATCGGCTCAAAGTTCCCGCTCGAACATTGAACATGATACGCGGTAGTAATGAGTGGATAAGCTGGTCAGTACCAAGGCTCAGATCGGGCCCTTAAGCTGGATCTGGCAACCTCCGAGCGGTTCATTTATCCGAGCCATGTAGGTACCGTCCTCTGACACTTCATCGACTAGTTCTGGGTGGAATAGAAAGCCTATCACGTGGAAGATGCAAGATGCGAATCGGTTGTTGTTGATTCCCGGCGCGGTCAACGCGTGTAGGCCAAGGGCGCTAGTGATGTCTACACTGGACCAATTGGCTCGCTTGAGCCTTGGCAGAAACTTAGCGTAGCATGATGTCGCTTGCCGATATAAAAATTGTTCGCACCGTTTACGGATAATGACCGGATCTGCAGTTTTGCTGCAGGGTTTGCAAGGGTCATACGGCTGTGCAGGTTTCATTTCTATAGGTCAAAGAAGTCTAGTCGTTCATCTTTTCGCGCTCGTGAAACCCATACTTTACGTTGCAAATGAAGGAGTCAGTACAGTATGCGGAGAACAACTTATCTTTTACCATGTGAGGAGATCCTATGCAAATTGTGAGCCATGGGTAACATTATTCGGGGATGTGATTAGCCTTGCTAGTACCGAAAAGGCAGGTAAAGGCAGGTAGTTAGAGAGCAACCATATATTTAGCATCCTGCAGACAGATTCAAGGGTTTAGAACCGTATATGCCACGAGGAACCCTTCACGCTAACCGTGGTGTAATATTGTTGATATCAGTGCAGCATTTACCTATAAAGGAGTGCTGGGAATCTCAAAAAAGACCTTGGACCAGGGTCCTGGTGGGGCGTGAGTGACATAGGCACAGATAAACCCGTCATTCATTGATGTATAGATCTCTTGTGGACAGGCGATCGCATGCAGCATCAAAGAACATAAGTTCGCTGTCCGTACACTTCCAAAATTGCTCGAAGACTATAATTTTGAGCCCGGACTAGCGGAGCTCCATTCGAGTCTCCTACGTCTTCGTACAAGTCCAAAGCTTGGTCCTTCCCCCACCCTCTTACAGCAGCGATAGGCACTTCTTTTCTCTGAAACTGGCTAATTGTGCTTCGATTCCTGCCATTTTTGAGCTTAATCGTTCTACATTGAGTTCCACAACTGTCCCTGGTCTATGGCAGCGGCTTGCTTGGCACATCGTCTCGGATATATCACATAGCCTGTGAATGAGTGAGGGAATTAAAAGCTAAATTGATCGCTGTAGGATCTGGCTATTCCACCATTGTCCATCCCAATCCCTGACCTGTTGCTCAAGGCTCTCTAGTCATAATGGGTTCGTACGGTGAGCCAGTTCTGACAAATCAAGCTATTTGGAGTCCAGAAGCAAAGGCAGATGTCGTGGCTGGAGAGGCAGAAATATATGAGCCTGGATCTGGAGAGCTGCTAGTCAGGAATGAATGTATATCCTTTGCTCCGGTCGATTTCAAGAACCAGAAGTGGGTCAATCTCAATTCATTGTGACTAGGGGCCTGGCTGATCTGCAGGTTCCTGCTGCACCCGATGAAGTATCCTGGAATCCTCGGTAGTTCGTTCGCGGGAACAGTCATCGAAGTGGGCCCAGATGTGAAAGACTTCGCCCCTGGTGATAAGGTAGCTTGCAATAGACCAGACTATGGGTTTGAGGATAGTCGATATGGAGCTTATCAAAGGTATGCTGTTGCTTCCGTGAGGGAGACCTCAAAGCTGGAGACGAATACCTCTATTGAGGATGGCGCGGCGGTGATTCTCAACCTTGCTGCTGCAGTCGCCGCCATGACGATACATCTCAGGCTTGATCGACCACCTTTGAAAGGCCAAGCGCCGTGGAAAGGGAAGAAGGTCTTGGTTTACGGAGGGTCTTCGAGCTGTGGCGGATATGCTGTCAGATATGCCGTCGATGCAGGTTACGATGTGGTTACCACATCTTCGCCCAAGAACCGAGGTTTCGTACAAACTCTTGGTCCGATTGCCGTATTAAACCACACCGAATCTTCCGACACGATCGTGTCAGCTCTCGAAGCCAACGGTCCATATGATGCCATCTTTGATTCGATCGGTCTCCCCAGCGTCACTAATGTGTTTCTCGACTACTTTGGGGACAAGGGTGGTGAGTATGTTACCCTTCTACCGCCACTCGGAGGGGAGAAGCCGATCCCAAGCAACGTCAATCGGCGGTTTGGGTCATACATTCAAGCACTTGTTGAAGAAGCCAATGAAGAACTTGGTCAGTGGTTCTATGAGCAGTATGTGCCACAAGCGCTAGACTCTGGTAGGATCATTCCAACGCGACAGATCAGGGTAGAAGGGGGTCTGGGCAAAGTGCAAGAGTGCATTAACCGCATGGGTCCAGGGGGTATTAGTGGTCACAAACTGATAATGCCATTGTAGTCAGAACAAAGTATTTCACATGTGCCTTGCAAAGTGTAGATAGTCGAACGTTATTTTCTCCTGTGTCGCCCGATAGTTCAACTAAAGTGAGGGTCCTGCGGTGGTCATGCCCCAACTCGTGTCATCTCACGATTGTTCAGCTTCTCAGGGATTGGAGCATGGCGTATCCTCTGAAGGCTCCTCATATGTACTGCTGTCGGTTGTATGCAACGGGTGTTTGCCTGAGTGCAGCTTTGGCCTCGGTGGCGCAGTTTTCAGCAATGGGCATTTTGAAAGACCATGCGAGCGATTGCGCTAGGCGAATCAAATAATGAATCGCCGGATTCCCGACGCATTCTTCTCGGGAGGTGAGGCTCGAAAGCTGGCTGACTCTTCAGATCTAAGACATGCAGTGCTGTTAACGGCATAGAGTCGTGTGACAAGGCAAGCCTGGTTCGGCCCAGTTGGTCGTTAGTACTAGGCGTTTCAAAGGAAAGTTTCATGTGTGGAGAATGACTGGATGGTGCGTACCCGATGGATACATGGCTTGTTGTCTCGGGAATCTTGCATCATCAGGTACGGGGACAGTCACATCTTGAGCTTGAAATGTTGAAATAGTCCCCGGACCAAAGAGGAAGTCATTTCAGGCGCTAGAACAGGCAGTTAAAAGCGGCGGGGGACCGTGCGGACAGCAGGCGGGAGGGAGGAATTCAGGGGCCGAATGCTTGGCACGGATGATCTCCACCGAAAGATTGCGTGCATCTTCAAACCACCGAATTCAGCTCTATCTTGAAGATCGTCAGCTCTTTAGCGTCTTTGAGGATACCTGACCATAGTAGGTCCAGACGTTGATTTGCTGATGCCGTCCTGAAGAGTGGTACCTGCCCCGGCCCGGTCGACCCCAGTGTCAAAGCCTGCAAACAGTGGCGTGCCACAAGCCCTGCAGGGCTCAAAGCCTGTCCGCGGACGAATCAAACAGCCAATATCGCAAGGGATAGGGCTCCGAAGTAGGAAGAATAAACATAGATCACCTGAGCGATAGTTTGGTCTGTGAATTGACGTCTGCGTGGCTGAGGGTCAACAAGTCCAGATATGAGGAAAAGCAAGCGTGTCAGACCCTTTATGCAGATATACGGCAATACGAGACCACTCGATCATGAACAAACAACCCTCCGGAATGTGCTCTTGGCCCCACTGCATTAGGTCGCCTAGCATTGACTAAGCTTGACAGCCCCGCTCGAGTCCTTTAGCGCTTCAGCCTGCAGCTACATCCTGGAAGAACCACCTTAGCGTTAGAGCCATCGAGCCATGCGCTCAAAAGGCCTTCGGCGAGGCCTTATCGTGTAGGGCTGAACCTACGCACAAAGATTCACGGGCACCTGCCCCACGGCTGCTCAGTTGGCCTGCTTTGAATCAGACGTATTTCAAAGAAGGGAAGTCCTTGCGAAAGCTGGAGCCTCACAGCCACATTTCAGCTCATTGTGCCACAGACTTGATTCCACTGTTGATGACTCGAAGTTCCAGGCTAATATTCTCACAGGCCAGCCGGGCTCGTTGCGTTCGAATCCACAATGATAACCCGCGCTTCGGGAATGTGTGAACTAGATACAGCCACCCCTAGGTACTTTTAAGATCTAGTCATACCCTAATAATACACAAGCACCCAATACAAACATTCCTGCAAAATACCTCGAAAATCAATCGATACTTAGCTCATTAGACTGTTCCCAGGGTGGGATCATTCCTGACAGCGAGCAATACTGTTGAGCTCAAGGTACTCAAATGGAGAATAGCAGAAGCTGACAAGCATCCAACCGAATGTCTAATCAAATAGGCAATCAATCCTCCAATCCAGCAAAACGAACGAATACGGAAGGTACTAGCGTGGACCATGCCGCTTTACCACGTGCCCGCTTTCCCCGCCTGGTTGTGCTGACCCCCCTTCCCCTTCCCCCCTAGCCTGGACTGAATGCAACCTTCTGGCCTGATGACGCCTCGCATCTTCTCCAATACATTTGGCACTCGGATCCTCAACGCTGGTTTGAGCTCGCTCCGTGCCTGAACGGACCTCCGCTATCTCTCACGCCAGATCGCCTGCGGGAAGCTTACCATCATCCTTTAATTCTCTGGCCAGCAGTAGCCGACATAGCCAGTGAGATTTGAGGCTATACACACCTACTAAAAACGGCAAGTACAAGGAACCGATCGTAAGGATCCTCCATGCGAGGCTCCAATTGTCTTCCTGACATCTACTTGGCTTTATATTTGGCCTTGCTGCAAGCCACCATTGTTCTCCATCTACAATCTTAGCAGCACCGTTGAATGAAGATCTTATTGCACGTGGTGGATTTGGCCATCTAAAGTTGATTTTCGCTGGGTATACTATTCGCTGCGATAAGCATCCGCTGCGAGATCTTTAGACACCCCAATCTATCGTACAACAACGCCTCCACAAAGCGATCACTATGCCACAAACAACGCCTACGGGACAGAAGTTGAGAAACTCATGCGACTCGTGCAACCTTGCCAAAGTCAAGTGCTCTAAAGGTCGACCTTCGTGTACGAGATGTGAGGTGAGCGCCATTCACGGCCTGCCGACCCTTTCGAATGTGATACTACACGACATTGCGTACTTTAACAAAGTTCTGGCATTTATGGATTGGTAGGGCTGACGCTTTACGTACTAGATTCAAGGAGTCCAATGCATCTATGGGGTATCCATGAGAGCGGGAAAACATCGCGCGGCTGGGAGTAACATCCAGAAGCCAAAGCCAGAATCTGCGGCATCAAGACATTCGTCCTTGAAGGACACTCCACGGCAGAACTTTTCAGAGGTCAAGCCTGAACCGTATGACGCTACTGTAGCATCGATGATTGAGCAAATGCCTGCCAATGGCGATTGGTCTTCAATTCTGGCCGATGACTGCAACCCCTACTTGATGCCAACTGGAATGGATCTCGAGACCGATAAATTCAAACATCAACAATTCTCAGCACACTACAGCGACGACTTTGCAGTGCGATCACCCTCCGATCTGTCACTAGACCCTTCCCATCTTATGAACCAAAGCTTCTTCCGAGGCAGCCCACAGACCTTCCCTGATTACTTTGAGAACCGAACCTTAACCAACTCCACCCTAACCTCCACAAACCAGTCTCAACCCACCTCACGGAGAGGTAGTCCCGTAGCCTCCTGCTCCTGCAACCAAAAGATTCTCCAACACCTCCTCAAACTCTCCTCCATTCCTGAAATCTCATCCGCCTACGACGAAGCACTCAATCAAAACAAACAAATCATAAACTTATGCCATAACATCCTCGAAGACCAAACACATCACCACCACGACATTTCATTCGTCCTAACCCTGACCGCACTAATCGCAAAAGTAATCTCCGTCTACGACGCCATCTACAACCCCTTCAACCAACCCAACCCCAGCCCAAACCCCAACGACCTCGCAGCCCTAACAACAGACCACCTAACCACCTTTCACAACCTCGACATGGCCTCCGAGCAAATCGACCCAATCTCCATGTCCGCGCCCTCCAGCACTTTCCCCACTCGACCCAACACGCCCCCTTTCAGCAGCAGTCTCAACTCCCCACACACCCACGCCTTCCCGATGCGCCTGACACTCGGCACATACCGCCTCGATCAAAAAGACGAGGAGAAGCTCAAATGGGATATTTTCAAGATCGAGCTGTCGAAGGTCGGGCAGCTGTTGAGGGCCTTCGAGCAGAAGTATTGCGATGGGGGGGTCATGGCGGTGCGGGAGCCGCAGAAAATGTTCGAGGCAAAGGCGTATGACGATATGGTGTTTTATCTGCAGAAGCGGTTGAGGGTTAGTATGGAGATGCCAAGGGGGGCTATGAGCGCGTTTGTTTGAGAGGAAGAAGGGGTTCGGGGACGTACCATTATTGTTGGTATGTATCTTGGTATTTGGGGAGGTTGGTCTGGCATTTTTTGCGTTGGGAAGTGGGAAAGAAATGCTTGTTGGTTTCGATCATCATTGCGTGGGGAATTAAAGGCAGAAAAAGCTGGCGGTGGTTATCCGTGGAGTTTTTTCAATGGCAGCTGGTTTGGATTTTGGGTCGAAAGCATTTCCATGGTGGGAATTTCGTCCCGCCTGGTGCCGCTGCATTGGCTTTAAATCGTCGACGATTGGTCAGTCACATGTTGAATGTATTATGATATCCTTGAACTTGTATTCACTCTGTTTCTGCTGGCATTATTCTCGTATCTGTTCATAACCTTCGTCGCATCATTATCTCCTCGAGGGAGGCATAGAGACGCTCTCGTCACGGCAAATAAGTCGAGCTTCACGTCATCAGACTCTCGCACGTCCCACCCGCTTCGGTGCCGCCCAAGCAGCGTTCTTCGCCTCGAACTCGACCTGCCGGGGTTTAAACAACGATGTAAAACTCGCGAAAGAATACTTGAACCAGAAGAAGCGTGTCGTTGCCATGTTGAACTAGCAAAAGAGCCTCAATTCTCCAAAGGCCGGCGAAGGTAGAGAAAGAGAGGAGTCTTTATATATCTGGAGTGTTGACGGGTGGTTCACCGAGAGCCCCCATGAACGAGCGTGCGAGAACCGCATATCGCGTCAAAACGGGGGCGGTGAGGGGGATGCGGATGTACCTCCCCCTTTCGGCCAGCGAGAGTAGATGAAGCTATTCCCACCCCCTATTCCCACCTATCCCCGAAGGCCGAGTTTAGAGCCCATCCTGACAATTCCCGCCGACAGAGTCGCCCAAAATAGTCAACGTCTGTTCGTCGAAAGTAAGGTACAATTTACCTTTCCTCGGCCTCTCCCCTAAAGGCGATAAACGACGGCCCGTGGGGCACCGGTGAGCGAACAGTCAGAACCCTGCTTGCTTTGTCCCTCCTTGATTGGTTGGGATACGTGGAGAACGCAGTCACCGACAGGGTTGGGAGATGGCTTGGGTCAGGAAGCATAAGCTAGTGCTAATTTTCGTGCCTACTTTCGCTGAGGAGGTGTGGACCCCTGGACCCCCTTTTCCTGGCTCATAAGGCAAACGTAAAGGTTCTTTGGGGAGGAGATAAAGTTATGACATGTTCCATTCAGAAATCTATACTCTATTGTGTGGAAAGCGTGTAGATGTGCTGAATCAGATACCGCTGCAGACGCCGCCGTCCTTGCCGATTTCTATGAATATGGAGACGGCGTGATAAGGCGGGGGGAGATGGCTATAACCGCCGCATACCGAGCGCGTACATCTACTTCTGTCTACCTTCCGTCATGTCTCAAAACAGAAACAGCCCTTTCTCAGTCTTTGTCAGGAGCGCTTGTTGAAAAGTCAGGGGTTCCTTTATTCGCCCTCATTGTCTTCTCCGTCATCGTCGTGGATACGAGTACTCTGTAGAATTATGTGAGTATCCTAGGCCTGGCACATGAGGGGAAATGCTCGGTCAGCGCACCTTCTACCATAAAAAGGGGCTTTCGTGTCGAAAAGCGTTTCTCTAAACGAAAGTCGTTTTTGTCTCGTGGAGCAAGTCAAAGCCGATTACCGCGCTCGGATTAAGGCAGATTGGAGGATATCGTGTAGATGTAGTCGTCGGCACTCGAAGACGGCGGTAGATCAGGTGGTTTTAGGAAACCACCTTGCGGGGAGGAAACAAAATGGAGGGGTTGTGTTCGGTTTCGACGATGCTGTTACGGATCTGAGATGATAGAATGTGTTTGTATCGCAAAATAAAATGCAATGAGAGGAAGAAAGGAAGCCGCCAGAACACCACTTTATATACCATTACACCAAAGTCTTGCCCCTATGTCGCCCCAAGGTATCCTCGCTTCTTTCTCGTGCGATCTACACAAACGTGGTCGTCATGCAAGCCCAGGCGAGCCTTCATCTTCGCCATCTTGAGCCCTTGATTTCGTCACGCCACAGCGAAAAGCAAATACTCTCGCAATCCAAGCAGGTGAGTAATTTGCTATCACGGCCGTAGCACGAAACCCGATGTTTCCAGGGTGGCTCTGACGTGCAAATGTCCACGGGTCCATATACACACTTCATTTGTACCCTGAGCATTAGCAAGCTCAAAGCTCAATTCAACTCCGACAGTGAGCAATGTAAGACACAAGATCATGATCCTCTCGCATATGAAGGACTGTACAATCATGTTGTCCCAATCTAGAGTCACCAATTAGAAAACTCCATTCATTCTAATCAATAGGGATGTAGATGATATGCGTGGTGTAACAGGCCCCGACTTTCATCAATAGATACGGTAATTAGAAATATTTCCTTGTAACCCAGTAGTATTCCCGGCATTACTACCAGTAATACTAGTGGTTCGGAGTATTATTATACCGAGTATCAACTTTCTCCACTACCAGTATGACTAGTATGTATCTCGATACTAAAGTTCAATTCCTGGAGAAAATCATATTCTCGAGGATATGTTTTTTTAATAAGTGATCAGCAGGCTCAGCTTGACAGAGCAGCAGGCTAAACCTAGTTGGGATCAGCCTTCTTCAAGCTATTAGTTTGCCTCCATACTACACTCAATAAAGCTTATCGGCTCACCCACTGAATAAATATACCACTGGTAATACTGCTGTACCCCCAGATTCCTCCCAGTACAGGCTTACAAAACCCTGATCTGAAAGTGGCTTCGGTCACCAGGTTGCCCGACTTCCGATCGGCGATCGACCCTTCCCGTCTTTGATCTTGAACAGAAGGGACTGGAAGGACGGTGATCGGAGATTGTACCTTTTTTTGACAAGTATTGATGACATTGTCGTTAAGGGTGAGTGGAAGGGGATCCAGCGCAGCGTTTTTCGTCTCGGTGGATAGAAATGGAGGAGTGTATGTATCGTTTTTCCTAGATTCGGCAGGACCAAGTCAAATACTAAGAGTAGAAGAGTAGATGGCCATGTGGTATGGTTGCTATGCAGGAAAGTGAGAGGGGTGAGGTGACAATGGGATAGTGAAGCATGGTCACCTCTCAGGGCCAGGCAGTCCACCGCATTCTGTGCTGAGTAGGTGGACAATGCAGAAGACTTGTTATCCAGGCCTTTTGTCCTCCCGATTTAGTCTTATATCTGCCCCTTCTAGAATTGCAGGGGGGACTTCATACCTCCGTTTATCAGGAGAGATAATCTGAACAAACTCATCTCACCCAACTCACGGACCCACATCAGGAACAAACTTGCTCTTCCTCCGTATCACCTTCCCATACTTATAGAAAATCAACGGCACAGGAATCATCGCCGCACATAAAAATCCCAAAACACTAGTTGCCCATTGCGTTCCCAACGTATGAAACATCGCGGTGGCGAACAATGGGAACCCTGCTCCCGCTAAGCTTCTAAAGAACGTATTCGCCGCAATGGCACTGTTCGCCAACCACTTATAGCAATCGACCATATACGTCAGTGACTGCACGAACACCATGATGATGCCCGCTCCAATGGGAATGCCAGCGATACACTGGCTTACCCACAGCGCCTTGACGTCTGGGAAGGAGGACCAGGCCCACCAGAACATGCCAATGGTGACGACGATGCCGCCGTGAAACATGGGCGGAAGGCGAGCTTCGGGGGACACACGGCCATTTAGGGCACGGTGTTTGGGCATGTAGACGAGTTTGCTCCAGATGGCTATGTAGCCTCCGCCAACTATAACGCCAATAAAGAGCGAGAGGAATGGCAAGGAGCCTATGCCTGAAGACCAGCCGCGGTCTTCGTTGAAGGAGATGGGGAAGGCGACAAAGAACAGGTAGAGGATGCCGTATACGAGGCTCATATATCTGCGAGAAAGGTAAGTGGATAGATAGAACGAAGGACGTAAGGGGCAAATTGATGGGCTTACAACGTGATGAGGACGAGGATGGGCTCCAAATAGAACATCCTGAATGGCCGGGTCAAGTACACTTCCAAGATAACCTTGCCGCTAATATAGTTTTCGTCCCCTTTCGAATGAATAGCCCAATTCTTGGTCTGGTATCTGAGTCGCTTGGCTTCTCGATGCAGTACAGCTGGTGCGTATGTTTCAGGCATGAAGATAGCACCTATCAGCAAGCAGAAGAAACCAAAGATTACTGTCAACCACTCTGTCCACCGCCAGCCGAGATAACTTTCGACCACAAAACCGCCAACCACAGGCGCTATGACTGGTCCAGCAAAGGTCATGACTGCAAAGAGGCCCATCGCGGCCCCTCGCTCAGTCTCGTCCCAAATATCAGCGATGCCGCCTCCAATGACGGCAAGTGGGGAGCAGCCGAAGAACCCCGCCAGGAAGCGGCAGATGAAGATTGTGTAGGCATTCTGTGCTACCGCAACACCAATCTGGAGACAGCTCATGCCAAAGACGCCAATCAACAATGGAGCGCGACGGCCGAAGAGCTCAGACATAGGTCCCCAGCAGATTGGTCCGAACGCGAAACCCTATTGACAACGTCAAGATGCGGAGCGAGGAGAAGGATGCAGCAAGCTCACCACAACGTAGAGACTAGTTCCCAGCACGGTGACTTCCCTGCTGATATGAAATGCCTCGGCTACAGCTTCGGCACCTGTGCTGAACATGCTGCTCGTGAATGTTATGGCCAAAGTCAATATCGCCATGATGACCGTGACCACCCATTTGTATCCGCTGCTCCATCTCATAGGCTCCAAGGAGGGGTCGAGGTCACTAAACTCAATGAGATTGGGATCTTTTCCTGGCTTCAGATCGCTTGTACATGTACTTGTGCTTGTTGTTCTTGGGGTAGTCCCCGTAGGTGACTGCTTTTCCAGCTCGCCGCCATCTGTCTGTAGGGTATGTACTGTTGTATCTGAATAAGTATGGAGAGGTGTACCGATCGTGTCATCTATGTGTCCTGGCGTTGAGGTACCTTGAGGAGCTGCCAACGACGAGAGCGGCCGGTGTGTAATGTCATGGTCGAAGAGGTAAGGGAGGATGTGAGGGGTAATGCTGAGGTCTGTGAACAAGCTCGAAACTCTGTTAGATTCACGCTTGATGCTGTCAGTAGCCGAGAACCTCTTGCGATTAGGATATGTGAAGTTGAGAGACGCCATAGAAAGAGAGCAAGCAATGCAACGAACGACACCCTAAGGGGAGAACAGTCTTGACCCAGGGACAACTGATAATCAGAGCAACAATGGAGGGAATGTCTGGACGACGGGATGAACGTGATATCACATTGAAACGTAGTAACGGAAACGCCTCCACAGCATGGTAGCGGAGTCCGGTATAGCAACATACACGAACGGTCTCATGTGGGTGCCATATGCTACAATGAGCCGAAGGAACCGTAAGCACATGCGTGCTTTTGCCCTGAGTGCTTCGCTAGACCCTGCATCTCCTCGCCCGTTCAACGAGCTAGAGTGTACAGCGCCCACACAACGGACTGGATCCTCAATGGATCTCAAAGTTTTGCTCTGGTCGATCAAAAAGAATTGCCGACAGAGTTGGCCACGAAGGGCAGCGAGGTTGTATTGGGCATGTCCGGGGAGCGAAAGTCAATTCGTCGCCAAGATTTTATGGATGAGTCAGATCGACCGGGCCGATAGTCTCATCCGATTGGCTAAGAGGGTTTCCCGTAGATTTGACTCTCCTGCGCTTTGAAAAGGCAACTTCATCCTCCATCTTCGCAGAAACGAACAGCGATACCTTTCTCCACAGCTACGGCTGTGCTACGGCGTCGTCAACCATGCAGTTGGATCTAACAGAGATGAGTGATATTCGTGATTACGCAAGGTACACGCGTTATTCTTCGGAAACTTGCGGATGCTTCTTCGCTCTCACCCTCATCCGTACAGCGATGAAGTTTACATATCAAAGCCTATCCACAACGTTGTGGATTTGATGTCGATAGGTCTATCGATCAGTTCTGTTGATAGGCTGGCTATGAGTATCACAGAATTGCGTTTTCGCTTTACGAGACCTCAAGCCAAGCTATGCAGGCTTACCGGTGCTCGGGGATCATGAGGGTTCAGCGAAAACACTTCAGGGCACACGATTAGAAGACCCTTTGTAGGCCACGATATGCATCTCTTTGTTCGATTTCTTGCCTACGTTGGTGAAACAAAGGGTAGGCAACTAAGATTGTTTCCATTCTAATTGCTTTTCCAGCGCCTTTTCTAGCATTCTTATACTATACACCGTGTGACCAATTTTCGCCCAAGGGTTTGATATCGCTACTCAACATGTCTTTACCTAGTGTCATCACTTCAGGATTGTCGGATGCTGAGCTCATCACAGACAAGAACCGATGGGCAGTAGACCAAAATGACACCCTCATCAAAGAACTCGAAACCAGCTTAAGCGAGAATGCTCAAGTACTCACACCACAGCGTCCTGGCTACAAGCAGGCTATCATCAGATGGAGTGATGCCATCGAGAAGACCGCAGGGGTCGTCGTCTACCCAAAGACTGCTGAAGATGTTAAGGCATGCCTTGCCTTTTCCCAACAGCACTCAATTGATTTTGTCGTTGCTGGTGGAAAACACTCGTCTAGTGGGGCATCATCTACCGACAACGGCCTAGTCATTGATATGGCTAAAATGCGGGAGGTCACCGTTTATCCCGAAAGCAAGACGCTGCGTGTCCAAGGTGGCTGCATCTGGAGAGATGTTGATGAAGCCGCCGCTGAGTACGGTCTGGCTATGGTTGGTGGGACGGTCAATCACACTGGTGTCGGTGGTCTGACTCTTGGTGGTGGTTACGGTTGGCTATCAGGAGAACACGGTCTCACTGTTGACAATCTTCTCGAAGCTGAAATGGTTCTGGCTGACGGCAGCATCAAAAAGTGTTCTGAGAAAGAAAACTCCGATTTGTTCTGGGCTATCCGTGGTGCTGGCCACTCGTTCGGTGTCGCCACCGAGTTCACTTTCCAAGGTGTAGAGCAAAAGGAGCCCATCTGGGCTGGTGCTATCGTCTTCAATCCCGCTGAGACTTTGGAACCAGTCGTACAAGCCATGAATAACCTCAAGGCTACTAACGACCCGAAAGCAGGTGTCGCGATGGCTCTAGGCCCACCTCCTTTCTTGCCAAGACCCGGTATTGTCTGTACGTGCTTCTACAGAGGTCCACAGGAAAAAGCAGAAGAGGTCTTCGGTGAATTTCTTGTCATACCTGCCATTAAGAAGGACTTGGGCATGCGTCCATACTGCACCATGAACTCAATGCTCAACAACGTCGCCGACTACGGCGGACGCAAGTGCACCAAGGGTGCCTCAGCCATCTACCCTCTCTCGCCAATCTTCGTCGCCAGCATTCTTACCGAACTTGAACTTTTCCAAAAATCGCTCCCTAACAACCAAGCCAGGAGAACCATGGTGAACATCGACATGTACTCCACCGACAAGTGGTGTTCCGTGCCCCGAGACGCCATGTCCTTCTACAATCGCGGCGATTATCAAAACGTGATCATCGGCCCCTACTGGATAGACGCCGAACACGACCAGACCGCCCGCGCCTGGGGACGCCACATCCACTCGCGCTTCAGACTCGAGATCGATTGGCGAAAACAAACATTCAACGACGCAGCTGCCTCCCAAGACATCCGCGAGTACGGAAACTACGACGGTTCGTCCACCCACCCCCTGCCCTCCTCTTGCATTCATCTCCCTCTCTCCCTCCCCTGTTCCTTCATTCCCCAGAAACACACAACGCTAACCAGCTTCCCACCCCACAGGCACAGGCGCCTCCTCGCAAACAATCTTCGGAACGAACTACCCCCGCCTCGCCTCCCTCAAAGCACAGTACGACCCCTCGGACCGCTTCAACAAAGACTACGGTTTCGCCTCCGCCTCGCGCGCCGCCTCGGCCGTCTCCTCCCCCACCCCATCCGCACCCTCCTCCATCCCCGCATCCTCCGAACCCGCCTCCCAGCGCTCCACTGCGCCCTCCTCTCCGAAATCCGAAAACTCCAATCCCGTCGAAAAGATCGAGTCGCCGCCCACGTTCACAGAATTCGACGCCGCAGCCACGGGCCTGGCGCCTGAGCAGGGGCAGGGCGACGATTTCCTCGTCGAGAGGGCCGTGGAGCAGCATGTGAGGTTTAAAGGGTATAATCCCTTGGTTGCGCAGGGGAGTGGGAAGGCTGTTGAGGCGGGGACGGAGGCCGGAGGGGCCGTGGTTGGTGTGGGCGATGTTAGAGGTGCAAAGACGGGTAAGGTGCCGTCCGGGGTGCTGGGGGAGGAAAACGCCTTCGCTAATGGGTCTCAGCAGGTGGGGTTTGAGGACCCGGCGGCCGTGTGGGTGGAAGGCGATGAAGGGGGGAGGAGGATGAGGAGGGTGTGGATAGGGCGGTTGAGGAGGCGCTGAGGGTTATTGAGGAGAAAGAGAGACGGGGGAGTTTGGTTGATATGATTGGGTAGGTTGGGTCGTTTGAAAAATGGAGGGTGGGGAGGGGGCATATAGACTGTATAGCGAGTTCATTCACGCTTTCGCGTTCTTTCTCGGACAATTTCGGTTCTCGTTGTCAGCGTGCGATAAGTTTTAAGTGCCGATGACGTCCTCCATCGCATGAGGTGGCTACATACTTGATCCTCGAAAATTAGTTCATTTGACAGGATTGACTATTCTTCGTAAGTCATATTCATCATTGATCCATGTATACAAAGATATCTATGAAAATTGTTTTATATCCCTCCGCTCCCCTTTTTCTCACCCCTGCCCATCAACCACACCAGACTCCAAAACAATCTCACACATGTGCACGAAACCTCGAGTCCACAAACCCTCTCATCCACCTCCTCCATCACCCATCCCTTTCAACCCCTTCACCTTAACATAAACATCCGTCCCCCACCCCCACAGACTCTGCAACTGTATCCCACCCCCAAAATGTTCCGCGTACGCTCTCCCAAGTGGTAATCCGTACCCCAAGCCCGCGAGTGTGCTTCCACCACCCACACCACCACCTCCTCCCGCCCCCGAGATGATGTTCAGCGCATCGGACGTCCCGCTATGCTGGCTCCGTGATGCGAAGTCAGTGGTGCTATTCATAGAGGTATTGGTGAGAGAAGGGAGAGGGCGCGGAGGAAGTGGCAGAGTCGAACGTTGTGAAGCTATATGCCCAGATGTTCGGGAGAGCGGCAGGGGGAATACCGCCGCCGCGGTCACGGATGCGGATCGTGACGCCTGGGGCTGCTTCCTCGCTTGCCGCATTGTCGACATCAAGTGGTCTTTTGGTTGAAATGGGTGCGTTTTGGAGTAAGGAGTCATAGGGGACTGCTGACCCGGCGATCGTGACTTCGACTGCCTCTTTCTCGTGCCCTTTCTCTACTGTTGCGCGGAAGGCGTTCTTGAGGAGCTCCGTGATTATGTATTCGAGATGCGTTGGCACATACGCGAGCTTGGTCTCTGGTTGGCCATTTATGATGACGCTTGGTCGCACACCGTATGTGAGTTCGCAGAGCTCGCCGACCCAGGACTCGCAATTGCGGACGAGGTCGGATATTTTGAGGGCGGTGTCAATGACGCCGATTTGTGATGATGGCGTGTCTTCCGCTACGTATTGTTTGCTAGTGGTACTTGAGCCTTGGCTGCCGCAGTGAGGTTGTGAGGACAGGTGTAGTGCGATGTGTTGCTCGGCGATCAATCTGGTACCAATCCTTGCGCGTAGATGCTCATCAAGGAATTGAGTTACAGCTGCCGGGCTGATGCAGCGACGGGATTCGAGGAAGCCGCGAGCTAGAATTGGGATTGTGTTGTTATGTGTTTGGACGAGATCGGCCATTACTTTTGTGAATTCCTCTTCCTCCTCCAAGGACTGAATTGTGCGGTTGGAGTACCCAACAAGCGTCGATAGGGAGTGCATATAGATATTGTAAATTCTTGCAATATGAGGATTTGAGACGACGATGAAGGGGAGGTTTCGAAGTGCTTTGAGGCGGTGAGCGAGCCGGATGGGGATGAGGGAGAGGGAGAAGTTGGCGCTATCGAGGAGGGAGGAGGTGGAGAGCGGTGGGCGGCCATGTCTGCATCAATCATCAGGGGTACTTCCAATTGAGACATTGTTGGAGGAGCTACCTCACAAAATCGGCCAAAACCAACGAATGGAGTGGTTTCGCAGCAAGTCGCGCAATAGTCTCATTGTCGACGGTGTCCAAAGCATTTGAACCGGGCGTGGCTTGACCCGAACCTGCAATTGGGCTTGCTGCCGCAGAAAGGCATCTCGAACCGCTGATCAAAAGCGTAGCTTTGGGTCTCCAAGGAAGAATATTATGTGTGGCTCGTAGAGCCATGAAGGAGGCAGCAAGGTTGGAGATAGCAGGAGTCTAGAATTTGGATGCTGCGATCGTTCGTCTTGGCGCTTCCGACGATCAGGCCAACGGCCTTGCATGCGAAGGGCAGGGATCCTGGCTTAGAGGAAAGGGGACCAATATTTAGTGAATATGTATATTGATGAACTCATTAGACTACATAGTTCGCACAGTCCTTGTTTGTATCACTTTCACTTTGGCAACATATATAGTTGCGTACTGTTTTGCGGCCACTCCGCTGGCGACCAGATGATATGTCCCTTTCTAGTGATGCTGTAGTGACCGTGCGCCTGGCTAATGCAATTTTTCCCTTTTGATCCGTTATCGAAGCACATTTGTTGGCTCCAGATACCCATGGAGCTAGCCAGACTATCTTCCCAAAGATGCCTACTGCGTCGTCATCTTGCCATCCTGCTCCACGTGGATGTGCTCATTGGACTCAAGGGTGTGGACTGTGTCATTCTGGAACTCGACACTGTAATTTATCAGGATGGTACTGCGTTCATGCCAGAGATTGTGCGCACGTGAAGCCCTTGATGAGCTTGTACTCATGGCGGATGATGCCGCCTTTCTCGACGGCGGTGTCTTTGGCCCTGAGATATGTCTTAGTCCGTGATGCACGCGATTTCTACCCATATTTCTCACTTTTTAAGTTGGTCTTCGCTTCCACCCTGCTTGAGCGTGATCTAGCACATAAGTCAGCAATTATTTTTCCACCAGCGTCATTCGCGATGGCTGTTTACGTTGAACATGACAGGCATAATTGCGGTATTGCGGGTTTGATACTGTCTCCTCTTGTGGGTTGAAAGAAGGATGATTGTACCAGATCACGGAGACTTTTTGGGAGGATTTGGGTCAAAGCGTGGGCGGCCAAATGAGAGAATATAATGAGATCTTACAAGAGAAACTTGCGTAATCTGACGCTTGATAAACCCCACTCAAGCCCACGCAAATACATGCCGCTAGAGAAGCAGGGTTCGGCCCGGCTGAACACGTGCGTCAACGCCAAGCCAGGCAGAGACCCTGACTTCGCCTAATCTTTCCACTTATATCTACCGTCTTTTCTGTTATTCTACTGTGATGGGAGTGGAGGGAAGCCAGGACTGCGACGATGGAGGAGCAACAAAATCGTACTCATCGCAAGAAAAAGGAAAAGAAGAAGCACGATGGAGGCAGGCTGATCAATCTCTGCACTCTATTCACAAGCTGACGGTTCGTGCAGATAAAAATCCAAAAGCCTTCGCCTTCGCCAAACCAGGGAAGCTCAAGAAACAGGCAATCCGCTCTCATGAGGTAAATCGTTCATTCAATCAAGCAGGCTGCATTGACGCCATCAGATCAAAGAGAAACGCCTCCATGTCCCTCTCATCGACCGCCTCCCCACAGACCCACCACCCCAAGTCGTTGCGGTTGTTGGCCCTCCCGGTGTGGGCAAGACAACCCTTGTCAAGTCTCTGATCAAAAGATATACCAAACAAACCCTCTCCTCGCCCGTTGGGCCTCTCACAGTCGTCACTTCTAAGCGGAAGCGCCTGACCTTCATAGAATGCCCGTCCGATTCTCTGGCCGCCATGATGGATGTGGCGAAGGTCGTGGATATAGTTCTCCTGATGATAGACGGCAACTACGGCTTCGAGATGGAGACGATGGAATTCTTGAACGTGCTGTCAGCGTCAGGCATGCCAGGGAACATCTTTGGCATCCTTACCCATCTCGATCTATTCAAGAAGCCGCAAGCCCTCAAAGATGCAAAAAAGAGGCTGAAGCATAGGTTCTGGAGCGAACTATATCAAGGTGCAAAGCTCTTCTATCTTTCTGGTGTGATCAATGGTCGATATCCTGATCGCGAGGTGCATAATCTTTCCCGCTTCTTGAGTGTGATGAAGAGTCCGAGGCCGCTGGTATGGAGAAACAGTCATCCCTACTGTCTAGCAGATAGAATGCTGGATGTTACGCCGCCTACGAAGATCGAGGAAAATCAGAAGTGTGATCGCACGATTGCGCTATACGGGTATCTGAGAGGGACGAATTTTCCTGCTGAGGGCGCGCAGGTGCACATACCAGGAGTCGGGGATTTGGACGTAAGTGCTATTGAAGCACTGCCAGATCCTTGTGCCACGCCGTCTATGGAGTCAGAAGTCGCAAAGGTGACAGGGAAGACTCAAAGAAAACGACTGGGAGAGAAACAGAAGGTGCTTTTTGCGCCTATGTCTGATGTTGGTGGAGTGATGGTGGACAAAGACGCTGTCTACATAGATGTCAAAACCAACACTTTCGATAAAGACGCTCAACCTGACGAAGAAAGAGGGCTAGGCGAACAGATGGTAGTGGGTTTGCAAGGAGAGAGAAGGCTACTCGGGCAGGCCGAAAATGGGGTGAGGCTCTTCACTGATGGTAATCTCATGCAGGACGACCCAGAAGTCGACATGGGGAGAAAGGAGCCAAGAAAAGCTCGAATCACGGAAAGAGAAGCTGCGGATGAGGATGAAATGCCTGACGATGCAGGCTTCGTGAGTGGTGAAGACAAACAAGGTGTTGATGTTGATACAAACGATGATGTTTCAACGGAAAAGCGTGGGAAAGCTCTCAAGGACTCAAATATCACTACACATGGAAAGCTGGTGGATGGTGACGTCGCATTCGCCGACAGCGACTCAGATATTGGGTCTCTGTCGAGTGCACAAGACCCGGAGCTCGAAAGCGCGTCTGAAGGAAGTGAAGATGATTTAGATGAAGAGGATGCCGCTCTGCGATGGAAAGAAAACATGACAGCAAATGTCAGAAAGATCCACGGCTCAAACAGACAATATTTTGTTCCTGACCTAGCAAAGATGCTATATGACGAGTCCCTAACGGCGGCGCAAGTCGTAAGCAGGTGGAAAGGAAAGGCAGTGGATCAGCAATCAGCGGAGGCACACGAAGACTCAGACGATGAGAACTTCTTTCGGAAAACGCAGCAGCATGAAGACGAGGCCCTAGAGGATCGACTGATGCCAAAGTACGATTACGACGCTCTCACCCAGAAATGGCAAGATCTAGACAATCTCGAGGCCTTACGAAAACGTTTCGCAGCTGCAAAGCCATTCAAGGAGCATGAGGGCGAAGAAGAGGATAGTGATGGAGAAGCTGCAGACTCTGATGAAGGCGATGGCGATTTCGAAGACCTTGAAGCGGCAGACAACTCTTCTCCTAAACCAGAAAAGGTAGACAAGGAGCTTTCGCTTGACGCCGAGCGAGAAAAGAATGCTCGTCGTAAAGAAGAGCTTAAGCTACGATTTGAAAACGAGGATGCCGAAGGCTTTGGTCGGCAAAATGATCAAGCAGCTAAGGACCCAGATGAGGAGTTTGGTGAAGACGACTGGTATGAAGCCCAAAAGGCTCAGATTCAGAAGCAGCTCACCATCAACCGCGCCGAATTCGATTCGCTTGATGAACGCTCCCGCGTTAGAGTCGAGGGCTATAAAGCCGGTACGTATGTGCGGTTGGTCCTTGAGAATGTTCCTCCTGAGTTTGCCTTCACGTTCAACCCTCGTAACCCTGTCATCATCGGCGGCCTGGCACCGACCGAAACCCGCTTTGGCTTTGTGCAAATCCGCATCAAGCGACATCGGTGGCATAAGAAGATTCTCAAAACCAACGACCCCTTGATCTTCTCCTTAGGATGGCGGCGCTTTCAGACTCTCCCAACATACAGCATCTCGGACTCCCGAACGCGCAACCGTATGCTTAAATACACTCCTGAGCACATGCATTGCTTCGGCACCTTCTACGGGCCATTGATAGCCCCAAACACCGGATTCTGCTGCGTCCAATCCTTCTCAAACAAGAATCCCAACTTCCGCATCGCAGCTACAGGCGTAGTTCTCAACGTCGACGAAACGACTGAGATCGTCAAGAAGCTCAAATTGACCGGCCAACCCTACAAAATCTTCCGCAACACAGCCTTCATCCGGGAAATGTTCAACTCCGCGCTGGAAATCGCAAAATTCGAAGGCGCCAGCATCCGCACCGTCTCCGGCATCCGCGGCCAAATCAAGCGCGCCCTCAGCAAGCCCGAAGGACACTTCCGCGCCACCTTCGAAGACAAAGTTCTCATGAGCGACATCGTCTTCCTGCGCGCCTGGTACCCAGTTCGGCCCCACCGCTTCTACAACCCGGTGACCAACCTCCTCGAACAAGCCGCGAACAACCCCCCCTCCTCCTCCACCCTCACCAATCCCGCAGATCCCAACCTCAGCCCCAACCCCACCCACTCCCCAGCTCTGATGCGCCTCACGGGCCAAATCCGCGCCTCAGCCTCCCTCCCCACCCCCTCTCTCCCCAACTCCTCCTACCGCCCCATCGACCGCCAAGACCGGCACTTCAACCCCCTGCGCGTCCCGAAAGCGCTCGCCGCAGATCTGCCCTTCAAATCGCAGATTGCGACAATGAAACCGCAGCGTAAGCAGACGTATATGCAGAAACGAGCGGTCGTGCTCGGCGGGGAGGAGAGACGGGCGAGGGATCTGATGCAGAAATTGCTGACGATTAGGAATGAGAAGGTGGAGAAGAGGCGGAAGAAGCAGGAGGAGCGGAGGCTGCCGTTTCAGAAGCGGATGGAGGAGGGGAGGAAGATGAAGGAGGCGAGGGAGAAGAGGGAGGGGAAGGAGTACTGGAGACGGGAGGGACGGAAGAGGAAGGGGGAGGGGGTTGGAGGGATTGATGAGGGGAAGGGAGGGGGTAAAAGGGTGAAGAGGTAGAGCACGCACTGTATGCAAAAACTCAGCGACAAAATTCAAGATACAAAGCATCAAGATCTACATATTCAAAAATTCCCTACATACCCAAACCACTATCACAAACCAGCATATCTCTCCCTACCTTCCCTCCACGCATCCCATCCCATCCCTTACGCATCCCTTACCCACCCCTTACCCCCCTTTTCACCCCCTTCTCCTCCAAACCTGCCCACAAACACCCATCCACATGCCTCAAGCTTCGGGACTTCTCCGCCTCTTCCTCCCCTTCCCCTTCTCCTTCACGACACCCTTCCCCACCACCTTTCCCACAGGCTTCTCGTTCCCCTCTTCCCCCTCTACTTCCTCAAGTCCTCCTGTTACCCTATCGGTTTCCCCCTCTGACCTCGGCTCTGTCCCCACATCCTCACCCCTCACCGGAGGCTGTCCCCTGCCCATCCCCGCCATAGCAGTCTGCATCCGATTATGTGCCATGTTCTGCCTCGCAACCACCATAGCGTGCAGTCTGACCGCCTCAACCTGCTGCTGTGAAGAGGAAAAGGGGGTCATGGGAGCTGTGGGCGCTTGTGGGCGCGGCTGTTGGGTGGAGTAGGGGTTGGGATATGGGCCGGGTTGTTGAATAGGCTGCTGGGTGCTTTGTTGGGTAGGATAGGTAGGGATGTGGTGTTGAGTCTGGTTTTGATAAAGGGTGGGGCTCTGGTATGCCGCAGGGTGCGGCAGAAGCCCAAATGGGCTGGCGAGGTCGTGCGAGAGGGTTGCTGCGTGCCGGGTTACGACGTCTTGAAGGGGAAGGGGCGAGGATGATGCCCGGGGTGGGGAATGCGGAGATGGAGTGGCGCTTGATGAGGGCGCTTGCGGAGTGGCTGGTGGGACAGGACTTTTGTGTGCCAAAGGCGAGTCTTGACTTGGTTGCGGCCAGGGATTTGTCGGGCTCCGCAATCTCGAGGTCGACGGTGTCAGCGAGGGCGACATTAATGTTGGCGTTCTTGGGGCGAGAGTCAGTGGGCTGGGTCTCTTTGGTTGGTGAGGGAGTGTCCGCATTGAGCTGCTGAATTGAGTTGTTTGAGGTGGTCGATTAAGGCCTTGAGGCTGGGTCAGGGGATATCTGTCATGGATGGTCGGCTGTAATAATGATGATGATGATTGAGATGCGTCATTCGTTTGGGGTGAGCTTGGCTGCTGAGTTTGTCGCTGGGTTGAACGTTTGTCTATCACTTGCTCGCTAGCACTTTCTGCAAGTCCTGGATTGGTTCGAGGGGACTTGGGCGACGCTTCAGGAGTCGGCATCTGCCCTCCCGACACTGATGATACAGGCTGCGGTCGCTTAGGTGAGGGCTGTGTAGGCGTCTGATCTTCACTTATGGTGGGCTGATCGTCTTTGGTAAACAAGGAGCAATACACGCGCGTCTTCTGTATCTCGGCACTCAATTTAAGGTCGTTGATATTGAATCCGCAGTATGTCCAGTAATCCATGGCCCTTTTTGCCTCGTCCTCCGTATAAGGACCCTTCTCATCGGCATCCTCCTCTATCAGGGGTTCAAAATGACGATCCCTGGTTGCCTCGCGGACGCTTTGCTTTCCAACACTTCTATCCCCTGCCAGTATTCTGGTATGCGTTTCTTGCATGAGATTATAAATAGCTTGATTCTCTTCGTTGCAGGCAACTTGCCTCTGCAGTACTCGTGTCTTGATTTGCCGCCATTGTTCCAAACTGATACGAAGAAATAATCGAATACTGTCTAGGCGGTCTTTTTCATTTGCTCTCGGTGTGATGGCAGCCACGCTATTAATCAGATCCTGTTGCAGGCGATCAGAAAGATCTTCCCATTCCGTTGGTGTCCTGAAGGAAAGCTCTTGCCCAGGGGGTTCGTCGTCACTATCTTCCATTTCGTTCATGAACTGTGCCTCTTGATTGACCGTGCTATTCCAGTGATCGGCACCCTGGGAGAATTGCTCGCTTGGAGAATACCAAGGCGGTGAAGGTGTTTTGGTTCTGAAGCGGCTTCGCCTTACGAATGGCTCTCGACCAGGGGGGATTAGAGAGTCGTCGTCTTCCGTCATTAGCCTTGCACTGTCTCCTTGATTGTCGGAGAAGTAGCTCATTTCGGATTGATCGTCCGAGTTGGCAGACGGATATGTGTATTGAGGATCCTCGTCTGTACCAAATTGCAAGGGTTGCAGGCCTATTGGGACCTTGTCGGGGTCAGAATCGTCTGACCCGAGATCGTCTGTGCCCTGATTGTCTATGTCAAAATTGTCGGTGTCAAAAATCAACGGCTCCACGCTCACTATGGCCTCCTCTGTAGGCTGCGTAGGCTGCTGATAGCTGTACTCGCGGGGTGCAAACAACTTTCCAGGCTGTCTTGTTTCTCGTTGTGGAACTTCCACACGATCATCAGTCTCGTCAGCTATGCAGCAGCCACGTTAGCTGGAAGTAGTACAGAATGCTACCCACAATCAATAGAGCGGTAAGAAGGGAAGTCGGTGGTATTGATTGTGTTGGACAAGACGTACCTCTGCTATTCCGCTGCGATCGTTGAGATGGGCCGGGGTGTGACTCGCCCCCAGTGAATGCTTGATAACGTCGAGGTCGCTCTGGGGGCGTGATGTTATTGAATAATTCTTCGTCAGTCCTGGGACGCCGAACATTGGGTCGTAGGTTTCGTCCACTTGGCGCCTCGTCCGCCATTGTGCTCCTTTGCAACTTTGTTCACCAGTAGACTTCGTGTGGCACTGCTGGTGGAAGTATAAATAGATTGTTGATATATGATATGTCGCGCACAAGATGTCGACCAATGTATTCGAGTAGTCCATTGTTGGCATATTTGTTCAACACTGCGTGACCTGTGATACGAGTTGGGTATTGCTTGGGAAGGCGCGTCTCACCCGAATGCGGGTTGAGATGTGAAGGTACGGAATCCGTACACTAACACCATTGGCTGTGTCATTCACGCTTCTTCAAACGTGTCAAACAAAATGAAGAAGATGCGGGGCACGATCTGTACGACCATCAAGAAGCGGACTGTGAAGTTTGGTATCGCATTAGCCAGTGGCAAGTCAATAATCTATGCAGGGGTATCTCATGCTTCTATAGTTCGTCTTATCATGCTGTGCGCCTGCACTATGATCTCACTGATGGAAAGGCTCATACCCTTCCCTGCTGAGAACACCATTTGTTTCGACTTGCCCATCCCCATCCATCTCCATATCCATGTCTTCGTCATCGTAGTCCTCATAGCTCCTTTTAATTTTGCCATTTGCTGGTCCCAACGCCACAGCTTTCTGCTTGTGGCTCGCTTGAGACATTGTTGCCTGAACTGAATCCCTTTGCGCCTTTAAAATCCCTTCATATGTCAAAAGTGTGTTGCGCAAAGAATCATCAAAGGCTACCGCGAAACGCTGCGCTTGTACGATCTGGATAGCGGTCACGACATCATGCGAGTACATGGCCATGATATAGGCGACAATGAGAGCAGCCGAGCGTTCGTTTCCGGTTTCGCAAAATATCAGGATCTTTCCCGTTTTTCTCCCTACACCGTCGCTCCCGTTCGCCGTTGTGGGGCCAGTATTCCGATAGACTCGGCTCAGATGTTCGTTGATCATTTCGATCCCTCTTGAAAATTGTGCGATTAACTCTTGATTTCCTGCTACATCGATGGCCTTCATCTCCAAATTCAGAGCCTCTGCAGGCTTGCTCCACAGCATCCGTGCCTGGGCAATCAGGATGTTTCTGACAGCTATCACCATTGTGATCCCCTCTCTTAGCAAGAATTGTGTATCGCGAGCGGCAGAACTTGGACCAAGGTACAGGAATGGCAGCACCTGCTGAGCATTCCGTCGGTCTTCGTACTGCCATTCCAGCATCGTATTCGTCTTGATGAAGTTGTTGTACGTGACGGTTTTCAGAAATTCGGTGTTGGCGAAGCCAGAGGATTCAAAATTATGAGCAGCATTCTGCAATATCTGGAGCTCCGGTGTCCCAGTAATAGAGAGATTAGGTGGAGGTACAATAAGGCGTGGAGGAGAGGGAACACGGTAAGACCAGAGCTGGGCGGGGGAATGGGGTCGATCCATGCTTTTCACCGAGTATCTGGCTTGATCTTCGAGAGGTATGAAATAGTAGCTTTCAGAGGTCATCGTGAGCTGTTATGTCCTAAGAGTGAATGGTAGAGCTATGGGAATGTGGGGTAGATTGCGAAGTGTCATAGTTGAGAATGGCAGCGACTTAAGAGTCCTACAGAACAGGCATTTGAAATTTGTGACTAGAGGATGAGATCATGTGGTGTGAATGTTGAATAGATGACACCGTCAAAGGGGATGATGTGGAATGAGCTCGTGAGCCTCCTTTGTCATTTTCAAAGGCATGAATTATGCATATCAACGCCAAGCTGATACATCAAATTTTGTGCAAGACGTCCTGGCCGTAGGATCTGATCCTCCATCTAAGGCCCCAATCAAAAACGCGCTAGCCTCAACGCGTGACGACATTATGGATAATTTGATATGCAGGAACCGCAAATTCTCCTGAATTCAATGTTGACCCTTGGCTCGTATAATAGTACACTGTTTCTGGCAGTGTTTTTGATTGACCGGGGACTCACACGGAGCTCGTGACAACGTGGAATTCCAGCAGCGAGCATTCCTGACTGCTTGCGCTTGACTTTGCCACCCTTTCGAGTGAATTTCAAACCGGGCGAAGTGAATTGAATTGACAACAGCACCCACGCCGAACTCCCAACGTCAACACCTCCTACCCCCCCTCAGCCTCCTTGATTGTTGCTGTCTTTTCCATCGTCTCCGAATCTTTTGCGGCATGTCATCCTCGCCCATGACGCGGAGATCATCAGAATCAGACGCCGCTGAGGGCTCAAGCCCCCCATCGTCCCCTCCGTCTGCGGTAGACTCTGCGTATGACCCCGCCATCGAAAAAGCGCAGCAAGAAGAGAAAAAGCTAGCAGCCGAGTCAAAACGCCAAAGACAGGAAGACAGGAAGGCTGCTAAGAATGGCGATGAGGCACAATCCAGCAAAGATACGCTTGGAGATCTGGATTGGTTTCTGAGCCGAAGTCAAGGGTTCTCAGGAACCATCATGGATCAATTGCGCCAGGCGCTAGAAGCGCGCAAGACCCAAACGACCAAGCAACCAAGCCTTGTTGCAGGAGGAACAATGCGGGGATACCAGCTTGAAGGCTTGACATGGCTAACGTGCCTCTACCAAATTGGGTTGAATGGTATTCTAGCAGATGAGATGGGTCTTGGAAAGACCATCCAGCTTATCTCGTTTCTCGCTTTTCTCAGGGAGCACGGCACAAATGGTCCCTTCTTGATCCTGGGACCGTTGAGTACTATTAATAATTGGCTGAAGGAATTCAAATTCTGGACTCCACAGATTCCGGCAATCATGTATCATAGTAATCCCCAGTCTAGAGCGCAGATCCGCAGGCAACAAATGAAAGGAGACGCCAAAGGTGCAAATTTCCCTGTTGTGTGTACATCATACGAGATTTGCATGCGGGACAAGAAGTACCTGGCAAATTATCCTTGGAAATTCATCGTCGTCGTAAGTTTTAGGTTTTTACACATGAAAGTCGCAGCGCTGACAATTCAAAGGACGAAGGTCATCGATTGAAGAATTTTAATTGCAAGCTTGTCAGAGAGCTGAAGCAGTATCCCTCCGAGAGTCGCCTCATTCTGACAGGCACACCACTACAGAACAATCTTGCTGAACTCTGGTCGCTCCTCAACTTTCTTCTACCAGAAGCGTTCTCGGACCTTGAACAATTCGAGAGCATGTTTGATTTCTCAGATGTGCATGACAAGGAGAGTCACAAGCAATTTATGTCGAAGGAACGCCAGCAGCGTACAGTGGCTTCTTTGCATGCGATTCTGAAGCCTTTCCTCTTGCGCCGTGTCAAGGATGATGTTGAAACTAACCTCCCGAAGAAACGTGAATATATACTTTACGCTCCGCTCACCACCGCGCAGAAAGAGCTGTACAGAAAGATCAAGGATGACGACATTCGTGCCTATCTTGAACAACAAGCTATTAAGCGTATTGGGGAAAAGCTTGAAGACTCTAGAGTGAGCGAAATGAAAGGCAAAAAGCGCAAAGGGAGCAGTGGTCTGTCTACACCAAACAAGAGTGCGAAAACATCGCGAAGTACAACGCCAGCCAGCAGCATTCGTTCCGTTCGAAGAGGCAAGGGACGTAAGACATATGAGGAGGTCAGTGACGCACAATACTTCCAAGCTCTCGAGCAAGAAAGTGAAAGCGATGCTGTGGACTCAGAGGAGGAAGCGGAGAAGGACAGGGCTGATACCCTTGCCAAGGCTCGTAAGTATTTATCAAAGCCGTCGGACTCCTGACAACAAGTACTAAATGCACCGATAGGCAAAGAAGTCTCCAATAAGAAATTGCAGAATCCTGTTATGCAACTACGTTTGGCGTGCAATTCACCGCACCACTTCTCATGGCCTTGGGGTACCGAGGATCCTGACGAGACATTGGTCACTGACTCCGGCAAAATGATCATGCTTGACCGATTGATACCTCATCTGTTCAAACAGAAGCACAAAGTAATTCTCTTCTCACAATTTAGTAAACAGCTTGATATTCTCGAGGAATGGGCGGCTACCCTCAGGGGGTGGCCTATTTGTCGAATAGATGGCTCCGTGAGCGCTGATGACAGGCAAGAAGCCATCGAAGCCTTCAACACCAAAGCTTCTCACCGCCTCTTTCTGCTCAGCACCAGGGCTGGTGGCCTTGGGATTAATTTGACATCAGCAGATACCGTCATTCTGTTTGATTCTGATTGGAACCCCCAACAAGATCTTCAAGCCCAAGATCGAGCACATCGCATTGGCCAAACGAAGCCAGTCATCGTCTATCGCCTCGCCACTAAAGGCACTGTCGAGCAAACGTTACTTGAAAAGGCGGACGGTAAGCGACGACTCGAGAAGCTCGTCATACAGAAGGACAAGTTCCGTAGTATACTTGACAAGAAAAGCAGACAAGAAGAGTATGAGGAGATTGAGGATATCCTCGCGGAGGATGAATTCGAGAACTACGATCCTGGGGAAGGAGCGGAGATCTTGAGTGAAGAGGATCTTAAGACATTGACTGACAGGAGTGCCACAGCTTACGCTAAAGCTGCCAAGGGCGAAGGGACGAGTGGAGATAAATTCAAGAGTATCGAAACAAAGAAGGGACAGGTCGATATTCTGGGAAGCATGGCAAAGTAAGCAGTTGTCGTGGTAGGAGTGTTTGGCATTTTCCTAGCGCTTCAGCATCTGTACCATTGTTGAATGAGTGGCAGCGCGAGCTTGTACAACCGCTCCTTGTGAGTATGCGGAAGATGTATCACATTCAAAACAGCAGCGATGCAGTCAACCGGAAGATGGACCTTTCCCTATGGAGGCAGGCGCTCGCGTTTGCACTGTTACGTGAATGTGAATGTCTTCTATGAATGCTTGATGCACACACCCTAAATTCACTATTTGCATTCTCAAAGCAATTCAAATAGAAGTGATACTTCGCGAACAAGATTGCCATACAAACCTCTTCAAAGACTGCCGGGGTATTGGACCGAGATTCTTGGTGTTAGGAGACAATCCTGGTGTTCATTTGCCACTCGCGGGTATCATCTCCTTTGTCCAATTAAACAGGTGAACACCAGTCATAACACTTTCGTCCCCTCACGCGCATTGGGGTCTCGACAGAAATTTTCACTTCCCTCACATTCTTCTCTTCGTCTTACAACAACATTTGACTCCACCGCGATCTAGACTTACCTACATTGAACCACCGTCAAGATATCACTCTTAAACGAACTCGTGTCGATTCCATCATGGCACTTGCACTCCTCCAGATTGGGTTCTGGGCGTGGCTGGCCATCTCCCAAGCCCCGACCATGTTCTTACCTGACACAATGAGCGACACCGACAACTTCCTCCAAGACTGCGCTGGCTATAACGACTCACGACGATGGACTAACGGTATTTATCCCGGATTCCCTACCAAGCAGCAATTACGTGTCTGCAGTATGCACGCGAAACGTTTCAGCAACGAGGGCTCCCAACCCCCCACACGCACATACCAGACCCCGGCCCCCAAGCTGATTTTCCCTGGCCCTTTATCGTAGCGCTGCTGCTCATAATGATCATATCGACATTATACTTTTGGCCTTTTTCTATACGCAACAAAGCACACGTGGCAAGACAGAATGCATTGCAACAGACCGAAAACATAACGAGCACCACGAGCCACAAGACCAGAGAAGTCACCAATGTGCAGCGACAGGAACCCAATGTGCAGCAACAAGAGCCCAATGGGCAGCACCAAGGGCCCAATGAGCAGCAACACCAACCCACTCCAGAACTGGACCAGCCCATTGCAAATCACGACAAGAGCACTTTGCAGCAGCAAAACACCAAGTCCAAAAATCAGAACGCCAACGCACAGCATGAGAAGGCCATGTTAGGAAAAGGTAAAGCCGAGCTAGAGCATGATGATTCCAACTCAAAGCACGAGAATGCCGAGTCGAAGCAACTAGACGCCACTCCATATCATCAGAAGCCTAACTTGGAGGAAAACGAAGCCTTTGTAGAGCAAAATGGGGCTGATACAGGGAAAAAGGATGTCAATCCGGAGGAAGCACGTGGTAAAATTTTTGTGATGCCACTTCAAGGCAGAAAGGTAGACCTTCTGGGTTCTAACAAAGAACTGATAGCATCATCACCTGGATCTTGCAGCCCTCGACAACACGCTAAACAGGAATCTGTCAGTAACGTCGAATCACCTACTCCAGGCGGGACAAAAGGCAAGAGACGACGTCGCAACGCGGCGAAAGATAAAGTGAAATTCGATACTCCCAATTCGGATCAGCCTAAGAAGCATCTTGACCACCAGGACAATGCTCTCGTCACCAAAATTGCCCCCACCACCGACAGTGGCCCCGTCACCGATACTGCTCCCGCTCCAGAGCATGCCGAAGTGAAGCAAAAGAGCAAGCGCCACGGCCACAGGGCTGGACGTAATATGCGAAAGAGCCGGAAAACGGCAATTAATGCGGCTGATGTCTCGACCTCCGCTACATCAGATTAACTATGACTGATTATCGACTTTGTCTCATGCATCTTCACTTAATGCAGCGGCTTTCGACCTGCCTCCGCTTCGGCGTTGTAGGCTGTCAAGATGCCCTCATTATTGTGTAAAGATTGCGAAAATGTTTGGCAGCCTTGATCAAAAGTCGGGATAGAGGAATGTTGTACACGAGATCTTATTTCCATAGTGTTGCAGGCTTTCATGCCGCCTCCGCTCCGGCGTTGTAGGTGGCTGAAGATGCCGCCACTATTGGAATGTTGTTTGGCAGAGGAGGACATACAAGGTGAATGGACTGAAGGGATGCACTAGTAAAAAGACATCTGCAATGCTTGGTTCATGGATTACACAGGGGAATGTTAGTTTCGTAGTGTTGCGGGCTTTCACGCTGCCTCCGCTTCGGCGTTGTAGGTAGCTGAAGATGCCACCACTATCGAAGGAATTGTTCGTCAGGTCAAGGAAAGGTTCGAAGCAATAGGGATGGAACATAAGAGGCACGACATGCGGGCATGATGGGTCGGGGGAGGGAAGTGGTCACAACATGTTTGCAATGATTGTATGGGTCCCATGGAGGGACGGAACCTGAATGTACGCTTTGCTTGCAAGTAATTTCCATGTCTTCGATCGATTCTGATCTACCAAAAGAATTCGATCCACAGCCAATTCTACGAGTATAAGTTTCATTGTAGATGTTGTGTCAAGTCTTCATAAACAATGACGTAAGATATGTTGTCTTGAATGAACTGACACATCAGCCTAATTTAACTCTGGCGATCCAAGTCTACCAACATATTTCCTCATTACCACGAACCATACTTTCGAATGCTTCAGCAACTACGTCGTCTTCGTCTCAGTATACACGATTTCTCTGCGATAGTACAACACTAGAATAGAGCCATAGGGCTATCGACAAGATCGTCTCCGTCGATGAATACCCTAGCAACCGAGATTCTGCTACTCATCACAGAGCAAATTCAAACATTCGAAGCTGAGGACCAAATTGTGACGCTCCAAACCCTTCTCCACGTGAATCGACAGTGGCACGCCTTTGCAAAGCCGGCTCTCGATCAGATCCTAGACTCAAAATACTTTAGCATGGTAGTATTGCCGCCATGGATGAAGAGCAGGACACAAAAGGAAGATATTAGAGAGTCTCTGTGGCAACTTAACGCTCTCGAAGCATACTACTGGAGTTTCCGGCAGCATCCTGAAAAGTATCGACGCTATGTAATGTTCCGCACGATCCCTTCTCAACCGATTGGTCTCTCGTGGAATGAAGAGCTGTCTACCTTTGAAACATCAATCGTGAACGATCCACCAAACGTGCAGTATCTTTGGCCCTGGGCTGAGTGGAGGACTTTGAAAAGGGGCAAGGCTTATCTGATTCATCACTTCCTCGAAGACCCCACGTGCCCTTACTTACAGTGCAGATATCGCCAGAAAGGGGACATGATAATGATATGGTGGGACTTCTCTAAAGGAGCTGCTAAAAGGCAACATCATCTACGCGGGGCAATTCGCCAGGGAAATCTCGATATCATTGGACTTACAGGTTTCGTTATATGCCTTTATATCTTGATACCATGCTTTCTTGCGATCTATCACCGATCACAGCATCGCACTGAAAGTGATCCGGTTGCAGCCACGCCCACGGTCATACGCCTTTATCGCGGACAGGATCTAGGGACTGTCGTCGCAGGGCACACATTCACTGCCATGGACAATAAGCCACAGAGTTCAATGTGGGTCACTATCCCGAGTAACGACAAAGACACTTGACGAGACGTCAAATGAGACACTGTCACCGTACAAAGAGTGTATGGCTACTTTTCTATCTTTTAAAACAATGTTTGTAACGGTATGAAGGGTAATTCGCGAAGTCACAAGGCTGTCAATGTAAATCATGCGTGAGACTGCAGCTCATTTACGGGGGCAGCAAAGACTTTGATCAATATTCAGATGATGCTGTCGCCCTTGGCAACAATCTCTCTCAATATTCTATCTAGATCTCTGCTTGTGTGCGTACGTGAAGAACAGCTACAAAGTCTGTCCCACTTTCGCTCACTCTGCACCGTCAACAATACCTTTCACTAAAATCTACATGTCCTAAATGGAACTCAAAAACCAAATCTGCGTACATGGAAGAGTACGCAAGCTGTAATTTCAGGGGCAACCAGAGCAAATGTACTTTCACGGCAAGGAACTTTTCAGTGATCCTCGTCAGCTCCGTGTCAATAGGAGTCCTCGTGGAGACTTTTGGACCGTTGGCGAAGAGAGAATGAAGCATTTACGGGGCATAGCTCACTCATAAATTCTCAGCTGACGGAAAAAATTGGAGGCGGTTTGATTGTACTCAGAGCCATAATGGCCTTATGGATTCATGCTGAACATCTGGGTTTCTGTCCGCGAGAATATTTGGATTGAATCTTCTCCAATGTATCCCGCTATCTCTATCGTAAGGTTCCCGCGTCAAGTGTGATGGTGATTTGTTTGCCTTACAAAGGTAGCTCAAGAGATTGCCTGATTTTCCGCTCAAGACGACCGTCATTGTCCAAGATAGGAATGCCTTCTTAGAGCACAGATCATGCCCAGCCCTCGAGTTTCCCCGTAACTGAAGCTTTACACTGATACTGGAACCTCCCCGCCCGCACTTGTCCTGTTGTGACCGCGACGCGAGATAGTGGCAAATTGGCCGTCATTACACTTCATTTTCATTTGCCTATTTCGACTCTACACTCAACGCCACTCCCAGCCCCGCTTTTTGGTGGTACAAGATTCTGTCCGCTTCGTTTTCCTTCTTCGCTCATACATCTCACTCCCAACCAAAAATTCTTGATTCAAATAGCATATCATCATTATGCTCACTGGATACGCTGCTCGTCTCCTCATCGGAGAACTCAACAAATTGACCATGTTTTATATTTTTGCCTCTATCTCGATTGTTTTGATTTTTGCCTATTTATCGATCCCGAAAATCTGCAACCTACCAAAGTTTCACAGGACCACTAGCCCACGCGAGGGTGACTTAATCGTGAGTAGTCGTTCTTGGAGGTACGCAGGAGCTAATTTTCTCAGAGGGAAATTGAGCACCTGAGAGGCAAATTAGTGACTGAAGAATGGAATGTTTCTAAAGCAAACAGCAGAGTCGAAAGCTTCAGGCGCGAGGCGGCTGAGCGACGAGCAGCACCGTGCGAGTCTTGTCAGCAGGATCAGATTACCGAACGGATGCAGAGAAAGGATAAGAGGGCGCTTGGTGATGCCAGACAAGAGATTGACCGGCTTAAGTTTGAAGTGATACCCGCTTTGAGAGCAAAAATCCAAGCCGAGATCACCAGAAAGGTAGAACAGAGCTTGTACCACGAGATATCAGAGTCCAAAACAGGGGAGTTGACGTCGAGAGAAGAAGCGAGGAAGGCTCGTGAATGCGTAGAGAAGGCAATCAAACGCGAAAAGATGGCAGTTGCGCAGGCAAAAGAGTACAAGGCCCAGATCAAGGAACAGAAACTGCTTCATACCCTTGAAATGATCAATGCGACCAGTATTCAAGATGAATTACACTCGGAGAAAGTTCGATGTATCAACGCAGACCACGCCCAGGAATCTGAAAATTGGATTTCAGAGAAGGAGAATCTTCAGAAGGATCGAAAGGTTATAGAACGTGGTCACGAAATCCAGGTTCGGACTTTAAGCCAAACTCTTGCCAAACATGAAAGAATAGCGAAGGAGTGGGCCTGGACCAAGAGTGAGGCGAACGTTCTTGAGAAATTAAAGGAAATAGACATATCAGAGTTCCACACAGTCATCGATCCCGTTCATCAGAGATTAATCCAGATCATTGCTGCCATCCACGAGAGTCTGAAGGTCTCTCACCATATCCAGCACGGATGGGCATACCAGCACCATGTCACACCGTTTGACCCGTTTTTCTCGGAAGTGAAGCAAGTGGTACGCAAATTGAATGATCGAGCTGCAGTGGCGATCGTACAATGCACAGATAATACAGTTCCAACTTCTAAAGCCATTGAAGCAAAGACAAATGACACACCTGTCGTTCAACATTTGCACACTACTCAAGATAACATAAATACCTCAAGACAAGCCCCCAAGAATCCAGCAAGCTGCCTTATTACATCCGAAAAAGCTCATCCTCAAAACGCTCCTTGCAAGAACGCAGATAAGAAGCTTCCTTCGCAGACACGGCCTATTCTACATATAACACAGGAAAATGTCACTGCAGTACCAAGAGATGACATGGTACAACAGCCGCCCTTTCTTTTCGATCCCAAAGTGAAAGATACTAGCGGAAGCCAAGCCGCCACGCCAAAGGAGAGAAAGCAGTTGGGACCTCTGGGGAAATCTGACAAAGATGGTCTACGACGCAAGGTCGGGATTAAGGCTACCACTAAAGCATTCGAAACAGCCCTCAAACCGGTTCATACAGCGACTAAAGTTATTGAGTCTACAAAAGACAATGTCGAGGGCAGCAGACCCATTGACAATAGCAAGGCGGGCAAAGATCTTCAGGATCAGGCAGCAGGTCCGACAGCGATAATTTCAGAGACTAACAACTCAAGCGTGAAGACGGATAATGCAGGCAAAGAACATGAGGAACAGACAGCAAGTCCGGCAGCTAAAACTGAAGATATTAGCAGCACACATGTGGAAATAGATAAAGAAGGCAAGGCTCCTCATAAGAAGGCAATAAATCAGACCGCTCAGCTCAAAGAGAGCGAGGATGAAGATATTGAGATGAGAATTGCAGGCAAAGGTCTTCAAGAAGAAGCACCGAGTCAGACGGTTCAACTCGTAAAGAGCGGCGACAAAGATGTCGACATGGAAAATGCAGACAAGAGTCTTCACGAAGAGACAACAAGTCAGACTGTTCAGCTCGTAGGGAGCAAGGATGAAGATGTGGAAATGAAAACCACAGGCAAGGCTCTTCAAGAAGAGGCAATAAGCCACACCGCCGCTCAGCTCGTAGAGAGCAACAACGACGACGTGGAGATGAGCAATGGGCCCCTAAAGCCTGAACTTCATGAACAGCTACACGAAAAAAGGACTGGTTTCGGTACCAACACTCGGAACTCATCCGCATTCAATCCCAACACTATGAAATCATCTACCTTTGGGTTTGGCACCTCGAATTCGTCCACTTTCAATCCTGGCAGCCTGCTTTCGTCGACAGCCAATCCCTATATCACGAACACGTCTACCACGAATCCTCATACATCGAACCCATCTACCGCCAGTCCTCACACTTCCACCTCTTCTGCTTTTACTCCTTACACCTTTAACCCATCCACCGCCAATCCATATATCTCGAACCCCTTTACCGCCAATCCGTACACATCGAATAGGCAAACCTCCAATGTAGCAGAGCCTTTCAGTCACAATGTATTGAAGCCCTCCGGATACTCAATGTCCCCCAATGACGATATATCAACATTCGCCCCTTCTAGGTGGAGCTTCAATCCACCTCCATGGCGACCAACCTCCAATCAACCTCCGCCCACCTACGATCCGAATGAAGAACCGGATCCAATGCAGCTCGATCCCATACTAGCTGCAGCACCAACTGCCTCAGCTGGTGCTGCTACTGGCACTTCCAATCCTGCCAGCGGAGTAGCTCAGGGATCAAGTAACGGGGGCATAGACCTCGCAGCAATTGCTATGAGTCAGGAGGCTACAGATGTATGGGAGGCATCCACGAATGCAGCAATGCCTCCGGGTTTTGACGACGACGACGAAGACGAGGAAGATTAAATGTGGGTTCACAATCCCACTGACAAAGAATGTCGACGAATAATCCTCACCCTATTGTTTACCCGACGAAAATACCCAACTATCACCTAATTTGAGGCACAAAATCATTTGCTTTGTCACCTTTACGTCTGCACTATCACTTGCAGGTACATATTTCGCCTCGATTCTGTTTGCAATCGACCTTCCACGAGATCTTTATCATCATCATTCACTCTTCCCTACATCTCAACGGTGTCGATATCTTCTGCTTCGGTAAACTTGGCATGATGGCTTTCAACAGATGCCTCTGCCTTTCTCATCGAACGAGATTCGCAACTACTCACTTCTTCCTCGAATGATATCAAACGACTGCATTTCGCATGATGGCTATCTTTGGCTGCCGCTGCCATCACCGTCGGATGGGATTCGCAACCTTCAACTTTCCTTCGGCACAGCACGATACGTCTGTACTTGATATGATGGCTGACATCAGCTGCCTCTATCATTTACACAACGTGATCATCGCTGCCTCTCCTCACGACACCAGAACCACTTTTTTGATTTTGCGAGTTTGGGATTTTGGGAATGGTGATTTAGCCGGACTTGTATCCACGCACCCGTTCCTCGGATGCGCCTACTGACATTGCACGGTCATCTTTTGGTGACTGTCTGTCAGTATTGGCTGTGTCTGGGAAATCGGTGGCGGTGGTCAGGTCTGGCTGAACCAGGATGGTGGGATGTAGCAGAGATGACAGAGAGATACTTGTTTTTAACAAGATCGAGAATGGGGGGATATGACTGGGATGATAGAGAGGTTACAAGCGAAGGATATGACTGGGGTGGCAGAGAAATACTTGTTCTGAACAAGATCGACGGTGGACGGACATGACGGGGATGATAGAGAGATAATTGTTCTGAACAATATCGAGGAGTATGGCAGCTTGGATCTTCATTCATTTTCCTCACAATGTACGATTGCCTCACGGGGATCGTCTGTTGGCAAATGCAGTGTCTGGGGTAATTGTGGTATCGGTCAAGGGCGGGGTGGGGGGAGCGGAATGGCATGAACAGAGAGTCAAGCGAATGGGTTTCATCTTCAACTTTGTAGTTATGGTATGCAAGATTATGCAAGTGGTAGGCTTTTGCCTCTTGATAAGTAGATCGAACACAATTTTCACGACCATCCCAACATGATACTCGAAAAGTGATTCCCGAGTAATTTCCCATCTTATCCTGTACTTATTCTCCCAACACCCACCTCCATATCCCATTGTTGTCCAGTCAATCTCGGCAACAGTGGGATCTCCACTTGTCGAAACCCGAAGAAACCCCCCATTCCTTGCGTTTGAGCATCGCTAGTTCACGCTGACATCGCTCAGCCATTTCACGATGCACATTTCTCCTGACTTGAGACGGCGATGGGCCGAATAACTCCTGTACTGCCGGCGGCCAGAAGATCTCAGGGTGATACTCCAGAAACAACGCCGTGATCATAATCATGATCAAAATCGTCATAAAACTAATGGCTAGGAGAATCCCGAAATGGCGACACGGTGATCTGAAGGGCCCTCCTTCGAGAAAGGTCTCTATGTTATGAACCAAGTTAGCGAAGAGTGTGCTCACAAACCTCCCACAATACATGAAGAAGGTGCTCGCGACCCTCCCAGATGTCGTGAAGAGTGCGCTCACAGCTTTCGCACATTTCGTGAAGAAATTCACGACCCATCGTTGTGTACGTTTCTTATTTGAAGTCTCCACCATCCACTCAGACAGAATTCCCATAGGGGCTTGAAGCCGCTCTAGCTTCCTCTCCTCAACCGTCGACTCATCATACAGCTCCTTCCGAACAACAGCGACATCGCCGCTGTCATTGTACTCTATCTTCAGATGGTAGCACTTGCCGACTAAGTCCAGAAGCAGTTGTGCTTCAGTATTGTCTACCATCCAAACTTGCCCTTCGTTGTGGAAATTTGCTTGCATGTTAACGAGCCGATTTCGCCCTGATTTCGCGTCTAGGTCTTTCACTTTTTTGCTTGTCTTATTCCTGGTCCGCGCAAGCTGGAAGGTGCGGAACTCGGTTGGCGCAAATCTGAAGATGGCAGAGGACTGGAATTCTCGTGGCAGGCGGCTTATGCTGTTCAAGAATCTCTTCAGATTCGAGTCGCGTGAGCGTCGATCTTCAGTTGATGTTGCGATTACTTGCTCGATCTTCCCAAAGTGGGTTTGCTGCAGTCGGTCCTCGAGGAGCTCGCGAGCGGTGTCGCAGCATCTCCTTGTCATCCTTAGGTTGTGTAAGGCCTTGAACTCATCGGGCTCATTGTGTAGTCGGTCTTCTATGATTTGAAGCCATAGCTCTGGTGGTAGCTGATCAATAGCTAGGCCATTCATGTTCCCGGTCAGTGGACGTTTGTTGGAGTTTGGGTGATGTCAAAAGCTGATTTTGTGTGAAAGACAGAAGACGAAGTGTGATAAAATGCAACACTTCAGGTAGACACGTAAATCACTCCATCTGTCAAACATATATCATAGCTAAAAGTGATGTGTCGTAACAATCATTCAGCGGAAGTCGATTATGACTGGACAAAAAGATGGCCGTGAGACCACACAATACCTCGATGTCTTAGCGAAGTGTTGTTGATTAAGTGCCCCAAGATGAGCAGAGACACGATGTCGACAAGACTGACATTAATCTACTCATACCACGCGTTTTGGCTTCCGTTTTTCGAGCCAACTTGAGGAACATGTGTCAATTGCGAACCATGAATTGCTGCCTGGATGGTGACATTTCCATCTCGATATATCCAGGCATTGTAGTGCAAGTTTGTGAAACAATCGAAAAAAATAGCATGGGGTGAAGCAAGGATCATAAAATCGATAGCTCCACGTTACAATATCGCAGGAAGGCAATAGAAATGCTGTAGATCCTAAAAGCATACGTTCCTCTCTCAACCAACGGCAAATTCTGCTGCTTTGAAGTACGGCGAATGTGAATTTTCACCCTGTATGCAGGGCGAGCGTCGGAATACTACAAAAATGTCTCGGCCGTCTTTTCGGCCAGTGGACAATAAAAACTTCCTCATTTTCCAGAAGTCGACCAAGTCTGTCAGTCATCTTCCATGCCGCCATGCCACACGATTTCACAAGCAGGACAGTCTACCGAGCATACTCTAGTCTCTCGAGGGTTGTACAAACGCCACTGATTCGTCCTTCGTCTGACATTCCGTGCTTCCAAAATTGGCTCATTATCAGCATTAGCCAGAAAAATACATTCACTAGATTCGCGGGTCAATGGTTCCTTGCGCTGGCGTCCTTCAATCTTTCGTCCTTCAGATCCCTGTGGTGTCTTTTCTGAATTTTGATTGCTTTCTTCAATTTTCGGCGGGACCCTCTTTACAGGTACATCGACCTGCCTTTCTCCAGGCATTTGGAGCCTTTGCAGCTTGGTTCTGGTAGCTATAGAACTATGCCTCTCTCTCCAAATCACGAGGGTATCCGTGTCCTTGACCGTCTTCATCCGAAAATATTTGCATTTCTGTCTCAAAATGAGAAGCATTGGCAACATGGTGTGTTTATATCTCCAATCTGTATTGCTTTCCAGAAACGCGTTGATGAGGTCCCCAAAATTGTCCTCTTCGAATTTTCTCCTTTCGTTTTGTGTCTTGCCATAGTCTTTTCCAACTAGGCATAGGGGATCCAACATACGATCTTCCAACGTCTCCGCGAAATCACCTTCGACGAGGTATTCACTTGCTACATTACTCTCAAATTTCAATGGCCTATCAGGCATCGTTCTGAATATTGCGGAGCTTTGAAACCTTTTCGGTAAGGCCTGCACGCTCACGACATACTCCTCCATAGAGTGAAGTAGAAACCTGGTGTATTCCATCCGGTGCAGCTGCATGGGCCATGGAGGTATCAACACCCACGGGGGTAATTCTAGCGTATGCAGGTACTTTGAGAACAAGAATTTCTCCAGCGGGCGACGTGCAAGCCTGCTCCAACTACGGTTTGTCAATCGCAGACCATACAGCGCCTTGAGTTGATCTTCTTGACTGAGGGTCGACAGGTGACAAAAGATATCTGCCTGCAACTCGCCAGGAAGTTTGTCCATACCTGACCCTTCGAGTGAGGATTTATGATGTAGCTGACTAAGTAAAGCTACTGTCGGCAATTAAGTTGGGCATATTATGTTGGAGAATTTGAAATGTCTTGACAATTCGTTGAAGGAAGTATCGGGCTATGGTTTGTAAAAAAGGACACTTCAGAAACACACGCATTGGATTGTGGCAAGTCCCCCGCTTTCGCCACCTGGTCTTCACGTATCACGTCCATCCTGACTTTGTAAAATGCTACGGCAGACGGTTGGATGTAATCTCTTTTCTAGAAGCCCCAGTCCCATTTGATGGTACAGACTGCACAATTATCATCACAGACCTTCAACTCCGCTTCTTCTGCCTCCCTCAGACTGCTTGACTCCAACCTCGAGTCTTGTTGCTCCAAGTCCCATTTAATGGCACAGACTTCGCAATCATCCCCACAGCCCCTCAAACGTGCTTTCTCCACCCTCAATACTGAATCTTGACGCTCTCGCACCCACCGCTTGACGATCGCGGCTTTGATATCGTATCTCTCCTTCCACACCACGAACATATTTTTTCCTGCCACATATTTGACCTTGACATGCTTGTTCAGCACTCTGAAGGCGAGCAAGAGGGGCAGGTCAAGATGTACAAAGGTCCAACCCGGGATTTCTTGAATCATAGTCCTGATGTACTGTCCCCAGTGGCGACGAAGACTTGCGTTAATGGATATATTTATTTCGATAAAGCCTGGGCTTTTGAACAATTCCCAATACTCAGAGCGATCCAGAAACATAGTGGGTCTATTCGGGGCAAATCTATATGCTGCGGAAGATTGGAATTTCTTTGGTATTTCCCCGATGTTCTTCATGAAGTCTAACAATCTTAAGTATGTGTCTGTAGCCGTTGGACCCATCTCAGTCAGTGTTGTGGGATTAATACCGTCAAGGGGAGGAATAGTTTTCAGCTTTTTGAAGTAGTTTGAGTACAGCAGCTCCTCGAGAGGAATTCGAGAAATAGCGCTCCAGAAGCGACTCGTAAGCCGCAGACCGTAGAGGGTGATAAGACATTCTTCATCGTCAAAGTTCAAGACATGATCAAGAATTCGAGGGCAGATGTCACTCCACAGCCCCTTGATAGCTGGTTGAGCCATTGCGACCGGGATGAGGAAGTCGCTAGAGCTGATCTGGGCCTTTGAACTCCAGGATATGATATTGACGCGTGGTAAAAGACTTGAGTATCGTGCGTGAACAAAGAAGTCACTTATCAGGATACCGCCGTCAACACATAACGATGATGCCCAATCACCGTTGCCACCCCCGCTTCTTGTGTTTACACAAATGAAATCTCTTTAGCAAAATGCTGTTGCAATTCCGATGAGGATGAAGGAGTTATTTACTCATTGTTCCGACAACATGAAGTAGGTATACAATATCATACGATGATCCCTAGTATGCAAATGGAACACAACGCTCGTTGCAATGTTTTATACTGCGATTCTGCCCCTCCACAGAAGAGGCCAGCAGGTACCATACTCGCCATGCACCTCTCTGGCCATATGCTCACGTCACCAGAATCCTGCATCCCAGAGAAGCCTCCAAAGCGCTACCGTTCCCACAAAGACGATACCTCCATTACCTCGCAGTTCTTGACTCGGCAGATGTGGCTCAACAAGCGTCTCGAAGCGGTCAACGGTGTGGTCTCCCCATCCTTAGTCCCTAGAGGCTACTCGCCGAAGCGAATTCCAATTCCATACAATGGAAAACCACCGCAGGATAGAAAAGACTGGCCTGTCAAATGCTCCATTTGTGGAGACGGTTTCAAAAACCGAGTATCAGTTCGAAAGCATTTTCCAGTCTGCGTAGAGAGAAACGGAAATCCGGAAGGGAAGCGGTGGCACGATGCTTTTGAGTGCGATCAGTCGACATGGCATTACAAAAAGCGGAGTCTTAATGAGCCCCAAAATGCGAGCTTGAATAAAGAAGTCCCAGAGCCTGGTTTGGTGGGGCTGGTCCTGCCTTCGAATATTCACCTGAGGATAGCCCGCTATAAACCGGCTGCTGGGTCTTCGCCTGAACAGGCACCCGTACCGAAATCTCGTGTCGTCAAGAGGTAAGTGGCCAGGTGCAGTGGGATTAAAAAAGTTGCTGACGCTTCGGTAGTGACCCGAGGATTCCAAGTAGCTCGGATCCACTTCCAGAAAAGCAACAAATATGCGAGGACGACTGGTGGATGTCAGCATTTCTCAAGGGCTACGACTCAGGAGGTGGAGATACCGTGACCGATAATCAAAGCATCGACATGGACATCTCGGATTCGAGTGAGGCTCACAACTCCAGCACCCTAGAGATGTTAGAGTCCAGTGAAGATCGCAACCGCAGCAACATCGACATACCAGAGCAAAGTGATGGTCACATTTTGTGATAGGTGCCCCGTATTGAAGAGCAGAGCAGGAAAGAGTACACGCACCTCTCGATTTCCGTAGTTTAGGTTAGAGCAGATATACACCACTCACCGTCCCGATTCGATAGGACAGGCCGAATATACAACCACCACTCTTTGCCCAACCTTCCTCTCCCACAGCCCGAATCATCTCTCTTCCGCTTCTCATGCTCTCACACTCCCTCCCCCAACCACCGCAAACACCCCTCAGCATCTTCCCTCACCGCCACAACCCCATCCCGTTCCCCGGCCCACATCTCCCCCCTCACAAACCCCGCCCGCACCCCCTTCCCAACCCAGCGCCCCACATCCTCATAATACCCCTCCACGCTATAGAAAACCACCCGTCGTCTATGCACCCCATACTGATACAGCGTAATCATCTCCATAACCTCGTCCATCGTCCCAAACCCGCCGGGGAGGGCAATGAAGCCGCTGCCCGGCCCCGCGGCGGCGATGGTGCGCGCCATGTGGAGTTTGCGTTCTGAGAGGGTGGGCGTGAGGGTGATGGGGCCGTGGGTAGATCCTGTTGTTGAGGTGGAGAGGTGGGGGTGGTGCTCCGCTACTTTACTGCCTTTTTGGGGATTGGACGGGTTGGGTAGGAGACGGCGCTGTAGACGTGTCCAGAGGCTCTTGCTTCCCCCACCGGTATGTGTGTACTGCGCTCTTTCTTTCACGGTGGCCGCATCCTCGGGTCGTTCTAGTCCTACGATGCTCTGGGGAATGACGCCCTCCACGGCGTCCTTCCCACTCAGCGATACCAGTGTTCGTGCGAGCTCGCCCATGAGACCTCTCGTCCCTCCGCCGTAGACCAGATGTATGTTTTGCTTATGCATTGCTCGAGCGAGGGAGCGTGCGGCTTCGAGATGGGCAGGAGAGTTGCCGGAGCTGGAGGCGCAGAAGACGCATATTTTGGTTTGGTTGGAGGTAGAGGGAGGGTTCGTTTGGGGAGGGGGAGAGGTGAGAGTTGGGGCGCTGATTTGTTTGGTGGGAGGTTGGGACATACTCTAGTCATCAGGGTGCAGGGTGCTGAAGGTGTGAGGCATTGAGAAAAGAGCACGGGTTGGGCGAAGGTGGGCTCATTCGGGCGGTCGGCGGTGCAACACTCTTGAGGTAAGGGTGGATCAGAGGAGAAGGAGTGCTCGTTGAATCAGCAGCTTGCGCATTCGACGTCATGTTGTTGCATTAAAGGGATGAGTGCTACATAGCAGAAGCATTGAGGTCAGCTACTATTTGCTGATCGGTCGGCGCTAATGCAAGGTTCATTGGATGACTCAATCAACATTGTCAAATTTAGGGTTCTCAAGATAGCACAGAAGAGAATGGAATGCTAGAGACATCTATAGATGTGCTCATTGCGTAGGAAAGTCCTTCCTAATCAAGCAGGGTCTACAAATTTAAGCCGCTGTGCCAGAATCGATCGTCATGGCTCAATTCATGAGTCAATACGCTGATCTGGGAGTATATGTACATAAACCTAAGTTCAAACCCTTGTGTGAGCAGCTATCATCAACTCTAGTGTCCCGAGTCTTCGCTTGTATGATCAAAGATGGCGTATACCATCCAGCAAGTCGATCTTGACGACGCCGAAGTCATCACGGACATCTTCCGACAAGCCTTCGCTGATGATCATATCATGAGCCATATTCACTCTAATGTCCCGGAAGACATACAATGGGAGCATGACCTCCAATACTTCAAAACCATCTTATCGCAGGGCGGAACCTTCGGGGCACGTTGGTCCAAAGCTGTAGAGAGTACAACAGGGTATATAGCCTCCGCTTTGCGTTATGTTTGTGCTCATGTATCATAGCAAAGCCGTGGCGTTTGCTCGCTGGGTCTATCCCATCAATCTCTCACCTGAGCTGGAGGAGAAGAAGGCTGCCGCAGCAAGAATCCGCAGAGCACTTCCAGCGGGCTCGAATAAAGCATTGTCAGATGAATACTATGACAACTTGTGGACAGGAAGAAAAAGATGGTACGATGAAAAGACCATGTACTGTAAGTACTGCTGCTTCTCCCGAAGCCACTGACCGGGCAAATTCGATGCAGCGTTCTTCACTTGACTTAATCCACTCTAGTTCTCCACATTCTATGTGTCCTGCCCTCACACCAGCATCGTGGGCTGGGCTCTCTTTTCCTTGCATCAGGATTAGAAGCAGCAGATGCAGCAGGCGCAAAAACGCATGTGGATCCCACACCAGCTGGGTACCCAATGTATGTGAAGTGGGGATTCGAGGACGTGGATAAATTTTTCCTGGACATGAGCCCACATGGGGGCCACAAGATTGAGGAACAGGTAGTCATGGTGCGACATCCGAAAGCTACGAAGGCTTGAGTAGGTGGGAAAGCGATTGTATACATGTCTGAAAGCAATAATGCTGCGTCATCCGTACTCATCTCATCTTGGTTTCATCCGACATTCCGTTCGTAGGTATAAGCTCTACCGAGCGGCTGGCCTGTGCTCCTTTTGTTATTTCTCTTACTGTCCCCGAGCTTCTCCCGATTTCACCAACATGTTGCACAGCCAGCCTGGGAGTCAATCTGCCTTCGCAGCCATTGGAGGGTAGGATTTGCCTCCCTTCTCGACTTTCGGCTCGCAGGTGCACCAGTCGTCATCTGAGATATTATCCATCACGACCGGAACCTAACGTCAATCAATTTTGGGGCAATTTGGTCGTCTTTGATCGACGGACGTGCATGCCGCATCCCCACCAAGATGACTTCTCTGTGATAGGGAGCGCGTCAGCTATATCCAGAAGGCAATCTAACAAGCAAGACCCCCGAGTAGGCCGGATTGCACTTACGACAAGTCGTGCAAGTTCCCTTCTTACACATCTTGAAATTAGGAGGGTGTGATGGAACGAGACTGCGAGTAAATCAACATGAATGCACTAAATTTATGACGGCATTATGTAGCGCTAGATTCAATTAGGCGAAGACCTCAAATAGAAATTCTTGGCAAAGTCTGATGGCTTCGATCGCCTCGGATATTGCTTCTCTGATTCGGCATCACATATGTTTTTCACACATTCCCTGGCGCAAAAAGGCCGTTAGAGAAGCTCTCATGAACTACCTGTCAGGGCGTGAACAAAGAATAAGCCCGCGTTTCCTCCGAAATTGTCAAGAGCAAAGCTTCCAGCGTCACCCCCTCCAAGATCTCGGAGGAGACCTGGCGATGCCGAACATGGCCCGAGAAGCATCGTCTGAAGATCTTTCTCAGCTTGATATTCTTGTGTAAACTCTTTGCCTTAGCTACTTCCAAAGGTTTCATCGCCTTCGAAAAGCGACAACGACCTTTTACATATTATAAGATTTGCCATCGACGCCCTCAAACACGACCACAGCTGCTCTACTGAGCTTGCTACAATCCATCGATAACCCGTGGCTCGATATGTTGCTCTCCTGGCACAGAGTTTCGTCATTTTAGATTGACCTTCGATTGGTAGAGATGAGAATTCGCCTGGGAGGCTACCGAGATGACCTCGTGGGTCTTAATACTCGGAGGGTCTCTAAGATAGGTCAATCTCTTCGTGTATAAGCTTTGGCAGCCTACCTACAACGAAATGACTGGAACGCCTGTATGCAACCAATTCGTTGTGATCTTCCCGACCATGTCCGAGGATCTGATTTTTTATTCTCCGATCGAGATGTACGCCACTTGCCATGATCTCGAAACCAATCGTTAAACATAAATCGTGTGGTTTTCTACATAACTTGCTTGCATAGACGGTCTTTATCGGTATCTCAATGTCTAGATAGCCTGGATCTGGCAGGATCACTGGTTTGGATTTCAATATGAAGACGATTTCGAAAAGCTCCGTAGAAGCTATAAACGACAATGATAGCGCGACGGACGAGAAGAATCTTGTTAGGAAGATTGATTGGCATTTGATACCCACATTATGGATTATGTACTTTCTGTCCTACATCGATCGGACCAACATCGGCAATGCTAGGATTGCAGGGCTGGAAGATGACCTTCATTTCAGTTCAGGCCAATACTCTCTGTTGCTGGTAGTCTTTCTCGTCATGTATGTAATGACGGAGATCCCAAGCAAGTATGAAACCCGACTCCAAAACCCACTGGGAAACTGTTGCGAATAATTCTTTTAGCATGTTTCTCTCAAGAACCAGACCCTCTGTCTACTTGCCAATCATGATGGCGCTATGGGGTACAACTACATCTTGTATGGCAGCTGTGAAAAGCTACTCGCAGCTAATTGGACTACGTATTGTCCTCGGCTTTCTGGAAGCCTGCTTCTCTCCAGGCGTAATTTTACTCTTCTCGTCCTGGTATCAGAAGGAAGAGCAGGCCAAGCGTTTCGCAATCTATCTCTCAGCTGCGATCATTTCAGGAGCATTTGGTGGATTGCTTGCCGGAGGCATCATCTCGAGCTTGGAAGGATCACGTGGCATTAGGGGCTGGAGGTGGCTTTTTCTTATCGAGGGAGTCGTCTCGATCATCTGGGCTTTTGCATCGCATTTTTTTCTACTGGATTTTCCAGCCACTTCTTCCCAGCTTTCGCAAAAGGAAAAGGCCTTGGCTGTGTCGCGTCTCAGACCCAGAAATGACACCAGTGACTTTGGCAGTCGGTCCCCATTGCAGCTATCACAGGTACGTCACTCCCAGTAAGGTACTATGTCATACAACGCAATGTATACAGTCCGCGCTGTCTATACTCTTGAACCCATACCCTCTTTACTCCCTCACTTCTCCCTTTCCTCGCACATCTTCAATGTATCTATGGGGGATATTCTGCTTTCATGATTTGGAGCCAAAATCATATTCTGTCGAACCTCTTTCAAGACTCAATAAGCTAACCCCATCGCACCTCCAGGCATTAAAGACAGCCTTCTCAGATCGCCGAGTCTGGTTATTCGCCCTAGGCTACATGCCCATTGTTGGCGCGTCCGTTCTAACATACTTCTTCCCAACCCTGGTGGCTGGTCTGGGTTACAAAGGTACGAAAGCTCAGTACATGGTAGTCCCAATGTATGCCGTCGCTTTCACATGCAACGCCTTCTCAGGCTACTACTGCGACAAGTTCCCTCAGCACCGTGGACCAGTGGTAGCGAGCTGGCTTGCGCTTTCCATGAGCTGCTCGATCGCTGTGTGCGCTGCCTATGACTTCAAAGCAAGATACGTGCTCTTGGTGTTCATTACTGCCGGGCTGTGGTCGGCTAATCCTATAAGTCTTTCTTGGGCTTCGAGTACTCTAGGTGACGAGGAACAGGAAGTCAGGGCTATTGGTTTAGCTTTTATTAATTCGATGGGAAATTTGTCGCAGATCTTTGGCGCTTATCTGTTTCCGGAGAAAGATGGGCCGAAGTACTTGATGGGATTCTCGGTGATATCCGCCCTTTGTGCTTTTGGTGTATTTATTTATACTTTGTTGTATTTTCTACTGAGGAGGCCGGCCGCGAAGGTGCGAGGTGGATAAAGTGACATTTTATATCAGTGAGACAAGGCCCTCTTCAATATGTCGATGAAGCTCTGCCGCGTTCACGCTGAAAATGGTAGATCCTTATTCCCCTGAGATCGCGATGGGGCGGTCTTTGAGGAACGAGAATATGATGGGCCTCAAGAGCGATGAAAGTCCACAATTTACTCAATCAATGATTAAACACTTTCATCGCAATTCAATATATCGAAAGGAGCTCCTATACACAAGTGAAACAGACCTACGTGGGTGGATCTATCGCAAACAAGGTCATTTTGTCAGTACTGATTCGAAAAACCATATTTTCATTCTACGCTGTCTATCCCTGGATCTACAACAACAATCTAGGATTTTGCGATTAAGCTCTCACGAAGGACTTTCCACTCGGCCAGGATTGCGTCAGCCGCCTTCCATGTGTCGCTACAGGTAAGCCCGCGCGTAGCCAGTGCGAACAACCCTCTACACAGCCGATACTTCTGATCGTAAGCCATGCGCACATATTCAGGCCCTGCAGATTCCTCGAAAACTTGTTTGAGCTGTCTGTTGTCTTCCGTATCGGGCACCTCGCCTCCGCGCGCAGATTCTAATGGCCACAGGTCTATATCCTCATCGGTGTCTTCGGAAGTCTCGTGCCTCCATAGCCAAAGTGGAGGCTTACAATTGACAAAATTTGGAGCAACAACCGCTTCATCCCAGTCCAGAATTGCCGTGATCTTGATCGAGCCGTCTGATTTTGTTTCAGCCATAATGTTCCTTGGCTCCAGGTCAGTATGACAAAGACAGTTGCTATCTTGTAAGAAGATGTTCGCGGTATCCATCTCACGCACAATATCGAGCATTTTGTCCCAAAGCTGGACGCTTGGAGCCTCTTCGCTCAAATTTCTACGAACATCATGTGCTCGCCATCGAGCAATCTGGGTCTCAAAGAAGGATCGGGTTGACTCTTTGTAATTTGGCGATTCTCTGAGCTTCATCAGGTCTGTTCGACCAGGGTCTTTGATTAATCCGCCGCATCCATCCATGAGCTCGAAAGCGATGACGTTCAGTGATCCTGTTTCGTCTGATGATGGCACATCTGCAATGCCTGTCACGGGACTCTGAAGGGTAAACAGCGTTCGAAACATCGCGCCAACTTCACATGCAATGGTAGAGCGCTGTTCCTGATTCAGTGACGGCCACATCTGCTCAAGGCTCTCTCCAGGAATTCTCTTCTGTATGACATATGGACTCTCGAGTGGATTGTCTGAGCTGAAGTCATGTGCAATGCTCTGTACGACTGGTATCGAAGACTTCTCCCTCAGAAAGTTTAGGAGTGCCTCATCTCGATCTGGATGACCAAAATTGGGTTCACGTGGTTTGCGGAGGATCAGTCGGTCGCATGGCAAGTTTGGGTGCCGTGGTAGAGTAATTCCTGTAATACGATTGTAATCGCCGCCACACATTCGCTCAATCACCGGCTCGTGCTTGCCGGGTAGGATGGCGTCAGCGAATTTGATTGTTCGTGCCCATGTTAGAATTCGACTGTTTGCCACACGGCTCATGAGACCTTGCTGAGGGGGCCATAACGTGCGGCATAGCTTTTCGACCCTTGGGCGGTAGACATCCCAGGGTTCTTGGCAGTAGCGGAGTGTTGAAGTCTCAGTTCCTTCGGGGTAAGATGTTGAACTCGATCCTGATGCTCGCGAATGTAGAGATGTCTTATCGTCGTCTTCATGACGAAGCGTCTTGCTATGTGAGCTCATGGTACCTGAATATAGGCTGATTTGGAAACCTTGATCTCTGGGTGGACGAGGATTTCACTACATCTTAAGATCCTTATTTAGAGACACCGCTAAATAACAATGGGGACCAAAGGAATCGCCGGAATTTCTTTTGTTGAGAAAGTCTTTGCGAGGCAAACAAAGCACGGAAGTGGGGTTGAGAATATGCAAGGAGCAACTCCAAGAACATACGTGTCGGGACTTCTGCATGCAGCTTTGTGATAGGTCGATGAAACAAACACTTCAATTACGACAAACAGGTAGTATCATTTCGCTAATGTTCCCACCCGTGTCGACCAAAGAGTTGTGCCTGATAGTGTCCGTTCTCGGCACAATGAACACATTGAGGGTCCGCTTCTGGCATTGTCTTTGTTCAAGATGTGATCCCCGACACATAAGATGTCGAGCTCTGCTGAGTCAATGCTCTGCAACACGGCTCTTTCGGATCAATTTGGTATCGATCGAGCTCTCTCAGAATTATCCAATCCGGCACCGAGTTCAACGGCCATCCACCCGACATGACTAAAAGCCACCATTGCCCAGGCGGAAGAGGAGGGATGAAAAGCAACTGTCGTCAAAGAGGTGGTTTGTGCGTTGTGCACCAAATCAAGTGCAAGATCCTCAAGCCTGATGGCAAGGTGTGCAATTATCCACACCTCAAGAGCGAAGCCTGCCGGGGATGTGGAGCACCGCCCAGCAAATGAGTATCCTCTCCCTTGAGTGATAATGAGAAGGCCAACTACGCCTTTTGAGGTCCAATCATCAAGGACTTGCACAATCTATATCTAGATTTCTGGACCATCGATATCATTTTACCAAAGAGAATTCTATGTTCGGGATACGAGGCTATTTGGAAGGTATGACACAACCTAGCTTATTTGGAATACTGGGCTGGTATGATAAATGCAAACAGAAAATAGGAGTCTCATACATTGGATTGGACGTAGGTAAAGCATGCTTGAGTGTCAATTGATCCTTCATTTACACCACTATCTTCGCTCTATGTATGATGATGTGGATAAATCGATTGCTTTCCTGCATCGTATTCTTGGAAATTTTAGTCAAAGGATTTTTTTGTCGCCAGGAGCGAGACTTCTTGCCACTGTTACTGTAGTGGTAATCGAAGGTCTGAAAATCACGTATTCCGCAAGGTAACATCTTTTAGGTGAGCTTGGTGGTTGAGAGATCTTCAATGCAAGCGACTTCGTATTTGTTAGCCATTGATCCGATGCAATGAGCAAGACCTTCGAACGCAGCGCTCGTACTATAGCTATGGCTTTGTGCATTTGTGACTGTGATAGGAGCAGGATCGTGAAAACCTGTCACTCGTCGGTCAAACATAAGTTCCCAAAAGAATACAGATGTAGTACTGAAATTCTGATGCTTCTACCGTTCAACAAATTGAGTATCAGCAAGCTCTACACCCGTCTCATTACCAGCAACGCTCCCAGACCCCAACCCCCCATCACCCCCCCTCCCCCTCCCCCTCCTCCCCAAAATCCGACCACGTCCCCCAAACCAAAACCCTCCCCGCATTCCCCTCCCCAAAAGCACTCTTCCCCCCTCTAAACCCATCCACCACACAAACAAAAATGACCGTCTTCACAGCAGCCACCATAGCCTCAATATCCAGGGGGATACAAACACGCGGCTGGCCTTCATCCCCGTTGATATCCACCGTGATGTTGCAGTGGCCTTCGTGCAGCGAATACGGCACGTCCACAGCGTCGAAGTGGATTTTTTCTGACGGGCAGAACTGATTTTTCCCGTTGTGGCTTTCGTCTTCGAGGTGGTCTTTCATTCGTGTGAGTGCGGCGCGGCACGCGGCTTTGGTCATGGGCGGGCGTTTTGTGGGTACGAGGGGGTCGGCGTAGCAGATTGGTCCAAAATTTGGTTGGGGTGCGTTGGTGGAGTTTAAGGGTATTAAAGCTGGTGGTGGTGGTGCTGATGCTGGTGTTGGTGCTGGAGCTGGTGAAGTGAAGGCGTGTGATATGATGAAGGCGAAGAGCGTCCAATAGCGGAATGTCATTGTTGCTGGGCTTTCCACGTACATTTGATGCCACTCGTCGATTTTGTCCCGACTCGACGATGACTATGGTAGATATTATCCTGCTCTCTAGACTGCCTCAAGTGTGTTCTTGCTTCAATATCCACCACATCGAGCCCTTGAGTTTGGAGAAGACTGCTTATTTGTCAAGGTGATATCACGGCTCAGGAGAAGCATGCTAAGATCATAACATGAGAAAAGGCATGGATATTAGCTGCGGATAAGTGCATGAAATCGACGAAAGGAAATGTCTTGGTATAGAATTCGCCCCATGAGGTAGTATTTTGCGCGTATTCATATCTCGAAACAAGATGCGCAAAATCCTTCCGATTGGCTTCTGTCGCCGATTTGGGCGCGCATATGCGTGTCTCCGAAGTTGATGAAAGAGCGAGAGACATGCAGCCAGATTCGGTATATTTAGCACAATTTGAGGTCATTGGTAAGTCGGCGAGAGATACCAAAACGGGGAAGCTCGTACGGACAAAGAGAGGGGCTTTCTTGTTTCGTAGACATAATTTCTCCGTCGTGTCTCGAAGAGAATGTGGATACTAGTCATTATTGAGCATTCATAATTGTTCGCGACTCCAATCCGGCTTGGTATATCATCCTGAATTACGCATCGGATTTGCCCACTCCAATTTGAGTACCAATCCCATGGTTGCTACTGACACGGAAGAATCAAGGTAATTTGAGAGGCCATCGTCTCACTGAGTCTCAATGACAGCCTGGCCAGGTGTACGTGGTCGAACTCGTATCTTGAAGTCTTCCCAAGCTCCAACGCCTGCCCTAGAAGCGAAAAAGCCTTCGGTCACAAACTCCACATCATATGCTCGGATGAACTGGGAAACATCGATATAATCAGCGTTCATCGACATGGACATTCTGACTTTGATGCTGAGAGCACTTACCTGGAATGGTGCCTTATAGAGCTCCATAAGGGCAATCTCCTTACCCAAGCAAACCCGCGTTCCATAGCCCCACACAAAACTGTATTTCTCATACAATGCCACTTTCTCCGCGCTTTCAAGCCAGCGTTCTGGTCGAAAAACGTGAGCATCGGGCCCAAAAAGTGCCTCGTCTCGGCCTGTGATCCATGCACAGCAGGTCACTTGCGTACCACCGGGGATATTCATGCCTTCGATGACTAAACCCTCAGGCGGTGCCACGCGGGCGAACAAGTTCGGCGCAGAGGGGTAAAGGCGCAGAGCTTCTTTGACGCAAGCGATATAGTATGGGCAATGTCGAACAATCTCATCATACTGAGGCATAGCTGATAAGTCGCCCGCTTCGGTTGCTTTGTCTATCTCGGCTATCATTTTGAGATAAACAGGCTGATTGGTCACGGTCAGGCGTACTATGCTTTGGATAGCCGTCCCTGCGGTGTCAGCTCCTGCCATTAGTATGAGGAAAAGGTCCGCTTTGATGCGTTCGAGCTCGATGGGGGTGCCGTCGTCATTCCGTGCGTCCAGAATCCTGCGTCGACATCATCAGTATCTGGATCATGAAGTGCAAACAAAGTGCCCATACGCTTGCAGTAAGTCAGTATGATCGCGAAAAGTACCGTCTTCGAGCTCTTTGAGTCGTTGCTCTAGCAGCTGGTCACGAAGCCGCATGGCGAGTCCCCAGCCCGTCTTGTCTGTAGGCCTCACTTGAAGGTACTTGCCCATCCAGGTAGTATTTATCCACTCTGTGAATGGATACAAGCGCATGAAAAGGCCAGCTAGGGTAAGGCCGACTCGGAAATTTTCAACGATGCCGCCTACATCGCCTGCTGTTTCAATGCAGCCAAGAGGCGCGCCGAAAGCCACATCGGTTATCACATCAAATGTTAGGTATCTGATAGTGTTTCATGAGCAAAAGATGTCATGTCAGACGTCCTGAAGCACAAACCTCGGCCAAGCGTCAAGATCAAGTATCGTATTCTTCTCGGAAACTGTGCTGCCTATCTTGTTCATCCAGTGCTTGACTTGAACATCGATAAGAGGCTCCATCTTCTTGACATTGCTGAAGCTGAACTATCTGGTCTTTAGTATTCACTGCAATATGAATGGCAAAGATCTGTCTACTTACAGATCCCGCCAAGGGTTTACGCTGACGAGCGTGCTGAGCCCAGGGTTTCGTGTTGAAGACATTCTCTATCGGACCAAAGCTACCCCCGACGTATTGGCTTGCCTTATCTGCACGTCGATGATAGATGATAGGTAATGCTGAGCTAGGGCTGACAAGTAACTCCGTTGGTGTGATACGAACAACAGGACCTTAAGCGGCCGCTTTCAGTAACAAGTTCCACAGTAAATGGATTCCATAATTCTTGCAATACTAGTGAAGGAGCATGGGGACTTGCCATATTTTTTGCGGAGTTCGTCGCACACCATCGGCTCCCGGGCCATCAGGTCCTGATAAGCAATCCATAGTCGTGTCACCCCTGCCAAGAACGGACCAGGGAAATGAGAAAGAGGGTGAAAATAGCGGTAATGTATGATCTGATAGGAAAATAATGTCGCAGTAAGTGGTAGCAATGAAATTAGGACGTTTCTCAAGGTAAACGCAAGATACGCCGTCTGCACGAGGCTCGAAGCTGGATCGTCCATGTCGCGTCTCCTAGAACAGAGTTATTCAGGCGTGCATGGTATGTTTAAGCAAAGGAGACGGAAGCGTACCGAGTGAACTCAATTTTGCTAGGTGAGACAGGTAGAAGAATGTAAAAGAAGCGACCATGCCGTTCTATCTGTACTGCTCACTACCCCGCAGTGCCCTCCCACCTTCATGAGCGAGTATGCAGCCACAAGCGGGTGCTATGCATGCGTACTGCCTGATTAGGAAGCTCTTTGTAGATCACCCTCAGGAAAAAATTCGTAGGTATATGACCACTTGCCGAGGGCGTTGTTCGAAAAGAGTCTCGAAGCCATCGAATGCAGTGTCTGTTCACCTTCAGAATGATAATGAAGGGGAAGGTCACTATGTATTTCCAGGTGCTCCTCTTTCGCGAATGCGTACGCAAGATGCGTGAGTGTTAGCTTTGTTGTTTGGGTGATTCACGCTTGCAACGCTCTCATGAAATTGATGTTGGAAAAGTGTGTGGCATTGCGGCTTAAGTCGCTGACATCAATGTACTCGAAGATCTGACGACTGAAGCTGAGTCCACATTCTTTGTCAGCTGAATTGCTGCCGTTCTGAGTTCCAATCGAGCCGTGGTGGGAGATGTGCAACCTGATGCTCGTTTTCGTCAACAAACGAGAATCAGCTCGTCAGTACATGCTATGACCCTGAATGACACACATGAGTGGAAGTAGTTTTCAGGCTGAGTAGGCACAATTGCAGCTAGAGATTCATTCAAAGCCATATAATGTCCCCCATGTCGATACCGACGCCATTTGAGCCTCCAGATTCCTCGAGAGCAAAGACGGGTCCTCTGCTGGGGCAATTTCGGAATAGTATATGCATGTCATGCTCGCAATCTTGAAAGATGGTAAAAGTTTCATCACATTGGATCGTGTCATCTGGAGAGAGACGGTATTCCTGTGGACCACCGGCCAATCAGCTAAGACTAGTAGCTTGCGGCCATGTACAATGCAGGCGTCGCAGGCTAATGCAATGATAATTATTAGCTCAGGAAGTTCGCATTGACATATTGGCACATGCTAACGCGATCCTGGTGTCTTAGTAATCATAGGTCAGGTTCACACCATCGACGATATTTACATCACCTCAGTATAAAACTTCTCTATGTTGAAAGTCGGTGAGTAACTTAGTTGATTGAAATACTGGAGTACAATCGCTGGGACACCGCCGGCCAAGCCGCCAGTCCCGAGAGAGATTAGCGTCCTGACCCACTGAGTACCGGGCACTCAGTGTGCTGGACTCGGCATTTTGAATCCCACGAGAAGCGTCTTACGGGGTCAATCGTGGATATTTTGTACGCAGCTCTGAAGGGCCCTGTACTGCCTTGGTGTAATCAATTTCACTCATCTCAAGTTGTAATGGCGTATGACGACGGACTCCTCGGAGGAGAAGGCATACATGTGGATAAGTATGGGTAAAGATTGTGTCCGCCACAATTGAAAACGGGCGGTTGAGCAATTGTTGAGGTGAGCTTGTCTAGGCCTATCATCTGACTAGTCATGTGTAAGGGTAGGTAGGTTGCCCAGCCGACAGCTTACTCACGCTGCCACTACCTGCGACAGCAATCTTTCAGCCGCTTCTGTTTCTTTTGCGGCTTCTTTGGTTCAATAAGTTGCTAAAAAATACACAGAAATGCTGAAATAAGGAATCATTCCTGAATATGATGAATTGAGATCTATTGGCTCCTTTGAATGGATCATGAGTCTGATTGTCCCAGTGGGTAGCCAAACTCATGATCCACCAGAGGGTTCGTAGCCCACACGACGTACACGTTGATCTCGTTGTGGACCTGAGAAAAGCCCGAACCCCGGTGTTTCTGCCGGAGAACGTCACATGACTGAGGGCGCACTGAGGAAGTGTCCCGATCCTACCTCCTCACCCTAGCCTCCCTTGCCGCCCTTCTGGCCTCTTTGGCCGCCCTCCTTGCCGCCCTTGCCGCCTTTTCGGCGGTGTGCTTTGCATTAACCGCCATCATCCCCTTGCCAAAGGCTTGCACCTTATGTTCCCAAGCGTCATATGCGTACGACCACGCCGCTTCCCTCTTCCCCTCCCTCAAGGCGATTCTCTCAGCTTCGAGCTCGCTACGCTCCCTTTGGATAGCAGCCCGGAACTCATACCATTTGACCTCGTTGGCGAGGTTATGAGTGTCTCTGGCAAAGCCATGCCGGGTGTCCTTGGGAGGAGGCTGAAGGCGCTTGAGGGAGGTGATTTGGGGTTCGGGTAAGTCGGCGGGTCTCCGACGTGGGGTGGTTCGATGGCGGTGGTGGCGGTGCGGAGGACGGGGCGAGTACACAGCAGGGGAAAAGAGAGGGGAGTGAGGAGAGTGTGGAGGAGGGGAGGGGGACCGAGGTCACAAGGGATGAAGCGGCTAGGAGCGGCTTCGAGACGAGGGAGATGGTTGATGAGAGTAGGGAGAGAGTAGAGAGGGGAGGGAGGAGAGTAAGAGCGAGGTGGGTGACCATGAGACATGGTCAAGAAGGTGCTCCGGACAGGGCTCACACCTGGCAGCTGCCGGAGCGTCTCGTAATGGCAAGTTTTGATAATCTTTTGATGATTTCTGTTTGTAGCCGTCGAGAAGGGGGTCCCAGTGGTGTCTATTACCAAAGGGAGAGAACAAGAAAGGGAGTGGGAGGACGATGCAATATATAGTCCTCGCCAAGGAAAATCTTTAGAGAATTTTTGTTATTGAGAACCTTACTCCAAGCCACTTCAACCTCCACAATACCTTCGAGAAATGCAGCAGCAGATTTGGTCACAGAGTCACAGAGTCACAGAAGTTAAAGTAATGAAGGCGACCAATAGACTCGTAGAATGATAGAAGTCATCCAGTACCTAGAACTCAGAACTGTACCCGTTTCCACCAGGTCGTCAGAACATGATAGGTAGACCATAATTAGAAGTGGGGCCTACACCTGTCACCTAACAAATTTCCGAAGTCAATCGACGACCTGACTCACTTGACCAGCAGCCATAGGCACAAAGCAAGCCACATACGACCGTTCTGGTAAGTACCCACTTTCACAGACGCCACAAGAGTATCAAATGGGGTAAACAATGCTTGTAATTGAATTTGTGACTCCACCATGTCCCGCTTTGCCGCCTCATCTGGCACTCAATACGTTGTTAGACGTAGAAAATTCTGTGACTTATTTCGTCATCATAGTCCTTGTACTGTAGTCTATGTAGGACTAAGGATATTTACAAGACCAATATATTTACGCTGGTTGGTGGCTCTTGCCAATCTTACCCTCTTGACACTATCTCCCTTGCAACGTCGTCAAGATATTTGGGTTCCAGAAAGGGAGAATGTGCGAGAAATCATAACCGAGAAGTGTTTCCGTACGAGGGTACCCTCTTGTGCTCGCCAATTATCCTCTAATTCTGGCTTCTACTCAAAGCGACACGTTAAAAACATCGTTCGACTTGTTTGTGTGCATTATGCTTTTTACAAAGCACCTCGTGATTCTTCAGTGTATCCAATTTCGGCCATGTGGCTGATAAATGTGGATCTATTGTGGCTGTCAGATTCCCGGCATGCATGCGAGCTTCCATCTGCCGAATGAAGTACACAATAACTTGTGCATGTCATAATAGAAACTTCGCCTTTAATTAGGACATTTTGTGCTTGGAACGCTTTGGGTAAACCCTTCGGATGTAAATCAATTAGATAGTCGAGTTTTGACCTCAACCCAAAAAATCTAACTCCAATTAAGCAAGAGCAATCTGTGTTGCTACCAGTTATTAAGAGCGATTCTGAGATTGGGTGAGTATTGATTGATTCTCCTTCACGATCGATATCGATCATAAAGTAATAGCGCTAACACGCATATGTACATGACAATCTCCCCTCGACAAAAGAAAATGATCGTCCACGATCATGATCAACAGTTGAGCGATCGATCATAGACATCGTTCCATTGATCATAGACATCGTTCCATCGATCATAGACATCGTTTCATCGATTATAGACAACGTTCAATCGCGGCGCTTAACTTTGTCGAAATTGATATTTTGTAGTCTCGATATCAAAGTCCGTAATATGGAGACATAGTCACCTGCCTCCAGGCGACGTTGGGGTACGAGAACACCACCAAACCAGACCATGGAAGTCGAGCTTCCTGGATATTTGGTTTGCCAGAGTTTTGGTACGCGTAAGCTCCTCATGCACTGCCTCGGCGTTGGTAAAGTCTTGCAGGGCACATAAAAGCTCGCTGACACCTCCATTATGTCCGATATCAAGGTATATACGGAACGTTCTATTTCCGCCAGTATATTTTTCCCGGGTAACTTTGACTATGTTGTTCAAGAGCTGCTTGGTCCCGTTGCTGAATAGCACTGTCTTCGATTTATATTTGACACCTAGACTAA